TCCTTAAAGCTTCTTGTTTTTGCACAATTTGACAGAATATAGACTACAGTGATGAAGGGGCTGAAGGTTTACTAGATGCTGCTAGTTATATAGAAACACAACTCAATATTCCTGTGAATGAAGTATGTATTGGAAAATCTATTGTAAGTGAGGAGGTTGAATTTGAAAAAAGCCTTGTGCCCATGCCAGATTTAGTCATGGATGATAATCAAATAAATTTGACCCAGGATATGACTGTACTATTGAAGAACATGATAATCAGGTCAATTTCAACTGTTTATTGCATGATCATACATACAGTTGTCAATCTCCTTATAGACTGAAGCGTCAGTTAGAGGAGGTCATTGAGAAAGCTGAGTCACTTAAGAAAAAACTTAAGAACAGCAGGATGCAAAATGGTAGACTGAGAATGAAAGTCAATGATATGTCTTCTGTTGTTTCTAGTTTAACAGAGGAAGGTTTGTTAATGTTGATCAGGCTGAAATTCTTAACAATACCCTTTCAGGAGTGTCAAGGATATATTTAATAGGTTAACACATGAAGATAAAACACGTGTTTCTACCCTCCTGAGCTAAGATCATTTTCTCTTACATTGAAATTTTATTCCAGGAAAGCTTATGACTATGTACGTGAAAAGTTTAATTTAGCATTGCCTCATCCAAGAACAATCCGCACTTGGTATAATCCAATTGATGGTGATCCAGGATTCACTCGAGATGCATTTGTTGCACTGAAATTTAAGGCTGAAGAAGCTAAAAGAAAGGAGAATACCTTCTATGTGCCTTAATGTTGGATGAAATGGCAATTCGCAAACATGTTGAGTTTGATGGAGACAAAGTCTTTGGCTTTGTTGACATGGGAACTGGCATAAATGATGACGACTCACTGCCTGAAGCAACAGAAGCCTTAGTATATATGGCTGTTGCTCTTGATTCTTCGTGGAAAGTTCCTGTTGGTTTTCTAACTGATGGCATTTCTGGACAGATGAAAGCAGACCTGTCTAGAGAATGTATTGCCAGACTACATGATGTTGGTGTTAGAGTCACCAGCTTAACTGCTGATGGTCCATCTTCTCATCAAACAATGATGAAGATTCTTGGAGCAAAACTCTCTCCAGATAATTTTCAAGCATACTTTTTGCATCCATGTGATTCACGTTTAAAAATTTATACTTTTTTAGATGTATGTCACATGATCAAATTGGTGAGAGGTGCATTGACCCAATTGGGAGAATTGAAGGATGCAAACAATAACCTGATAAGGTAGGATTATTTGATTAAACTAGTTGAGCTGCAGGAGTCAGAGGGTTTGCGCTTAGCAAACAAGCTTCGCTCCTGTCATATTCATTGGCATTCACAAAAAATGAAAGTCAATCTAGCTGTGCAAGCACTCAGTTCTAGAGTAGCTGATGCATTAGAATATTGTGAAGGTATGTTAAAACTTCAACAGTTTAAAGGATGCGGTGCAACTGTGCACTTTATTCGTATATTTGATCGCTTGTTTGATGTTCTTAACTCTAGAAATCCCATAGCTAAGAACTACAAGGCACCAATTAGAATGTGCAATTATACGTACATAAAGGATTTTTTAAATCAAGCTGTAGATTACATAAGAGAATTGAAGACTGCTGATGGCAGACAATTCTCTTGCATAAGAAAAAACTGGATTTCTCGGATTCCTCATGTGCATTGAGGCCGTTAAGGATTAGCAGAGGAACTCGTTGTTTCGGAGAAACCAGTTCTCAGGTATTTGTTGACGTACAAAATGAGTCAAGATCACTTAGAGCTTTTCTTTTCAGCTGTACGAGCGGCGGGTGGATGGAATAACAATCAACACCACGTCAGTTTAAAGCTGCATACAAGCAACTATTGATGAGACATAACATCAAAGGAGGACATGGAAACTGTATTGCTCAAGATAGCACTGAAATCTTGACAAAGTAAATGATCGTTGCGAGACAAATGAAATATTGGCAGATATTTCTGATGTGACAACGGCAAGACGATATGATATGAAGTTGCGACAACCAATTGAAGAAGAGCATGACTATTGTGACGTGCCCAACTTCATTGCTTTGTCTGAGTATAAGGAAGCAGCTATATCTTACATTGCTGGCTATGTTGTTAAAATGGTTGCAAGAAAGATCACTTGCCAAGATTGTATTGCTGCTTTGCATACATCGACAAACAGGGCTCCAGACCTCTTTGTGTCTTGGAAGACTCATGGTGGCCTAAAAATACCAACAGATGATCTTCTAAAAGTGTGTCATGAGACCGAGAAATGCGTTATGCGAATGATAAATTCTTGCAACGGAAGTTTGCCATTGTTCGCATATCACAGGTGCAATCTCCAACACTGTTTTAACTGAATGTGGAGAGAAACGTTTTAGTTCATTGAACCAGCATGTACATGATTCTGTTGTTACAGAAGATCATATCTTAAAGTTGATTAAATGTTGTAGTGACGCTTTCGTGAAGATAAGAATGCATCATCTGTGTAAGACAGAGAACCATAAAATTCAAGGAAATAAAATCAGAAAAAAACTGAGCAAACTAGTATTGTTCAAACATCAGTAAAATTTACAACAATTACTCGTGTGAACGTATTAGTTATGTTCACGTGCATGTTACATGGGTGTTACTGGGCACATTTGTGCTTTCTAGGTCCCATGGCTTTACTTACGTACGTGTTACATGGGTGTTACTGGGCACATTTGTGCTCTAGGTCCCATGGCTTTACGCACGTACGTGTTACATGGTGTTACTGGGCACATTTGTGCTTTCTGGTATATGCCTGTTACAAGACATAATAATTCCATATGTCTTTCGTACACTAAGCGTCTTAGCATATAGAATGCAAAAGTAACTGCGATAATGCATCTTTAAAGTTATTTACCGTTACCAAGTAAGTTAATCCATGTTCTCTAATATTCGAAAGTTATTTTGCTAAAATTAATTTGAGTTTTTTTTTTATGCTGGCATGTGTTTCTGCATTCTCGAGATATACACGCGTGGAGACCACGCACTTTAAATTACTCTTGGTCTTGGAGGCGGAAAATTTAAAGAGTCGTTTTGACATTTGACAAGTCTTTGTTTTGGTAAGTCGATTTTTTTACTATTGCCTTTTTTATCCTTGTCATTATCGCTTTTACAATGCTTTTCTGTAATTCACATATTTAGTCGAAATATATCGGTGCTGTATTATATTTAACACAAAAAGCGCGTTTTTTCGGGCAACTTATTTTTATGTTCAACATCGGTGTTGCTTGTTTTTTAGTCTCGCAAACACAGTTAAAATAAAAGAGAAGTAAGCATTCATGCTACTGTTTTGCTTATAAATCATATGTTCAAATACTAATGTAAAACATAAACTTATACAAAGAAATTACTTAATCTCTTTGTATAGTGGCAGAAGGAAAGAAAAACGAACGTGTAATGGGTATGTTTTGTGAGTTATATTTTCAGTTTAACTATTTGTTGTTCTTACACTTAATATACTTGCAGAAGTTGATGATCAACAAAAGAGACCACAAAAAGAAAAAGTCATGTGGTCATCCTATGGTATCTCTACCAATTCTCATACCACTAAAAAAACTTCCAGTAGTGCCAGTACAATCATATTGAAATTGGAAATGAAATATAAATAAACAACAAAGAAATAAGAATGACAACCTATTCTGTCCTGCAAACTATAAAATACTTATTATATTTTTGAAATGTTAGGTTTTACAGTGAAAACATTCAAATACATTTGAAGTCTGCAATAGATAATATTTTCCAATTGCAGCATATGAAGAAGAGCACTACAAGTGTGGTGGGGACTGGTGGTGGTCCATCCAAAAGTATGACTTTAATCGTTTTCTACAGAATATTTTTAATCTACTTCATTTATATTATTGTAATACTTTATTATTTACAGATAGAAGAAACAAATTTAATGGTATGATGTAATATATTGCAATTCATTAAAGACTTTGTTGTAATAACTTATATTTTAATAGACAATACTTTTCAATTGCAGCACATGAAGGAAAGCACACAAGTGTGGTGGGGACTGGTGGTGGTCCATCCCAAAGTATGACTTTAATCTTTTTCTACTGAATATTTTAACCTAATTGATTTACTGAATATTTACTGAATATATACTGAATATTTTAACCTACATCTTCAGAGTCATTTGACTCTGAAGATGACCTAAGGTTGTCGAAACATCAGTCAACAACAACAAAAACAGTCCTTCTCAGGACTATACCAACCTGGACGATCTACATTTACAAACATGTTGATACTCCCGGTTCAAACCATTTACTTTATATTGCAATTCATTAAAGACTTTGTTGTAATAACTTATATTTTAATAGACAATATTTTCCAATTGCAGCACATGAAGAGGAAAGCACTACAAGTGTGGTGGGGACTGGTGGTGGTCCATCCCAAAGTATGACATTAATATTTTCTACTGAATATGTTTAAAATGTTTTGAAATATAAAATTTTTATGACCCTACTTGATTAAAATATTTTAACATTGTATTACCTTTGTTACATTACAGATAGAAGAAACAAATTTCATGGTATGGTATATAATATCATTATTTGTTAAAAACTTTGTTGTAAAATTACAATTTTTTCAATTTCCATAGGCAGATGTCAGAAGTGTGGTCTTTTGGTCACCACATAACTGAGTGCAGAGCAAGTAGGTTCATTTTTGTAGTATAGACTCTTGTTGTTAATATAACAATCTGAAACATTAATATTTTTTAGGAATGATGTGTAGATATTGCAAAAAAAAGGGCATGTCAAACAAACATGCCCTATTTTAGCCAGAAAAATTTCGTCTAGAAGAAGGGTTACAAATGTTTTCAAAAATTGCCAATTTAAAGGCAAATTAATGTAGTTTATTGAAAACAATGTTAAATGTGTTAATTGTGTTATTACTATATTTGCTTATAATATTTTATTGGATATTACAATTTATTTTATTTATATTTTTACATATTTCTTTTAATATATATTGGATTCATTTCTACCTTGGCAAGTTCATTTTTTTTTCAATTTCCTTTGATTGTACTTGGTACAACTGCTGTAACAGCACCCTGTTATAATAAGATACAGACCAACATTGACACAACATTTAATACATACATATTATTATATGGATTGCTTTTACCTTTTTGCAGAAATTCACAAATTTCACTAAATAGTTGTATACAGACAAGCCGTATATCGCATGTAAATCTTATTCACTTAATGAATCTAAAAATTCAAGTTTAGAGTAAGTTTATTGGTTCACTTGAGGCTAATATCCGTTAAAGGCACCTGTTTTTTGTTTGCATTATACTTCACTACAGTGCTCGCACTCAAAGTAAGTTATATCGTGAGAACAATGGTTTTATTTACGAGTAGTCTGCCGAAATGCATAGTGCCTCTTTCTAGCTGTAAATAACGATTCCTTTGAATTGTTGGTTAGTGTTCTGGTTAAAACAGTTCTTTAAGAACTATTACATTGTTATTATCACCATTCACCATGGTATTCGCCATTTTGAAATCCATCTTTAAATGGTTTTATTTTATAAAACATGTCATGAGCCGTTTGATAATAGGTAATTGCCCAAATTTTAAATTATGACCAATCAATTTTAATCATGAAAGGCAGTTAAAAAGAAAATATTTACCAACATTTGTAGTTAAGGTGAGTATTGGTGTTTTTAAAAATCGTTAAATATTGACATCTTAGATTTTCGCAGGTTTTAATCACCAGCTATATAACCGACACGATTACATCTCAAAATTTAAAACAACTTTACTGATTTCTATCAAAAATATTCAAAGTTTCTTACCTTGAATTTTATTCGTAATATCAATCTACATGTGCCGTGATACTTCAACGCCATGTTTTCGTAAAAACATATAAATCAGGAGGAGTGAATATTGAAAACATTTTCAAAGTGGAAGTTTTGACCACCAAAATCCGCCATTACCGCCATGTTTTGACCACCCGGCCGCGCTGATAATTTATAGTAATTTTGTTGTTTCCTCCAGTTATTATAGAACTCAATGGTTGTGATTCACTATAGCGTGGTTTGTAAAATCTGTTTCATTTGCATTTATTTGGAAAATCGTTTACAAACTACAATGTTAAATATTGATATGTATGCTGCTGTTCAGACTGCAATTTCGCAAGAGAATGATAAATCTCTGAATGAATTGAAATTGCGTTTGAATGAGGAATATTGTGGGGCGACTAAAATGTCTAGAGAGGAATTCTTATCATTGCTTTTGAAAGACGAAACATCATTGAGCAGAGAGTTCTCAGCAGAAATTTACATCCCCAAAATCGTGCGTAAGCAACACGAGGACAAAGGAAATGTATGCATGGCTTTAAGGTATCCAAACCATTAATATCAATTTATGCGACTATGAGATGTGGTTTATGTCTATTGACTGTTGTATAAATTTTAATGAAGCAGATTTCATTTTGTGCAGTGTATACTAAAGATCTATGGCTTGGGCTTTTAATTTTATTATAAATATTGGCATAAATTCAGCGAATAGTGAATTTATATTTGAACTTTGAATTATCTTCTACATGTAACTACGTTACTATGTTAGATATTTCCTGGCCAGTTAGTTAAATTTTTGTTGGAGGACTTATAGGAACACGACTTTTTTGTTCAATTTAGATCAGAAGTATCTGGCAACTGTCTCTACAGTTCAGTGTCATTGCTTTTGGCAGGTGATAACAGTTTATTACATATTTTGAGGCAGTTAACATCACTTGAGCTGTTTTTGAATGCTACTTTTTACTGCCAACATCCTTTATTTTCCTCAATTGTTGAACAGCATAAAGAATTCAACAACACCTCAAAGAATATTTTACCTTTGACAGTATCTCAAGACTGTCTAGATTCTGGTTTTGTAGGTGTTGATCTTGTCAAAAGGAGGCCTTTTGAATTGTCATGACCAAAAGTAGTCATCGTTTCTATGCATTTTAGCTCTTTCTTCTGTGTTGGAGACAAAAATTTTTACTTACTACCCAGATTGTGGAGAGAGAAGGCCTAAATCAATATTCAACTCTCTTGTTTGTCCCAGAAGAATAGTTAAAGAATCAGCCGATGCAATTCATCTTTTGTTTTGTTATAAAGGGATAGTTATACCAGATCAATGTTTCCAACCTAATCATTTTGTCCCTCTAGTTTTTTCCTAGCAAAACTAAAAGGACAATTTCTGGTCCAACATGCCCAGTGCCTTCAAAAAAAGCAAAAGCTGAAAAAAATTTCTGGGAATATCAGTAAGTTTTTTCAAAATGGAAAACCAGAAATCATTACAAGTGAGGTTTCTTGTACTAGGGTTACTGAACAAACCATTGAAGATTTACAGGTAAAGCCTAACTTTATTCACAATTTTGATGTAGCTACCTACTACAAAAGAGCTAAAGGTTTGAAAATGTCTGATATTTGTTTGCTTATTAAAATTTTTTAAACCTGATGAAAATTACACTTTTCCTCCTTTGAGTGAGAACAATAAAAGGTCTTTTAAATATGAATGGCTCAAAGATTTTACCTGGCTGTGTTATTCACCAAAAGAAGATGGTGCTTATTGCTTATCATGTGTTCTTTTGGACATCAATTCCCAGTAAATGCTCGAGAATAAACAATCTATTTCGTTCACCTTTTCGTCATTGGAATGATGCTGTAGGTACATTTAGGCGACATGCTGGAAATTGTAAGGGGGAAAAAATGGGACTACATGCATCTACTTCTCCAATTTTGAATAATATATGCTCTCAAATGTCAGGTGTAGCTCAACCCATTGAAAATATCTTAGATACTAACATAAAACTTGAAATTGAGCAAAATAGGAAAATTCTTAAACAAATTGTTGATACAGTTCTTTTTTGTGGAAGGCTTGGCATTGGATTACGAGGTCATCGTGACGATGCTCAATTTCACCCAGAGGTCGGTTGCTATTCAGTCAATGGCAATGTTGGTAATTTTGTTGAATCTTTAAATTTTAGAGTTAGAGCTGGTGATCAAACTTTGGAAAATCATTTGCTCAAATGTGGCAAGAATAAAAGTTATATTTCCAAGACCAGCCAAAACAAAATCATCAACTGTATTGGTCAGGTAATATCAGAAGATATTATAAACGAGATAAAAAAAAATAGATATTATTCTATCATTGCAGATGAAGCTGCTGATTCTTCTCACAAAGAGCAATTGTCCCTTGTTCTACGGTTTGTTGACTCTTCAATGAATGTTAAAGAAGAGTTCATGTGCTTCCTGCATTGCAAATGGGGTTGAGTGGTCAACAACTTTCAAAGCTTATTTTAGAAACTCTAGAGAAATTTGCCTTACCCATTATGGATTGCAGGGGACAAGGTTATGATGGTGCAGGGGCTGTTTCTGGGCATATAAATGGTTTAGCAGCCCACATTTTAAGAACTAATCCTAAAGCTCTTTACACTCACTGTTACAGTCATCGACTAAATTTGTCTGTCTGTGACACTCTTTCTAACGTTGAAATTAATAACATGTTATCTGTTGTTTCTCAAGCTGCCAATTTTATCAACATATCACAGACACGCAACATACCCTTTGCTGAGCACGTTAAAAAGTCAGATGTTCAGACCAAGAAGGCAAAACTGGTAAGTCTTTGTAAAACCAGATGGGTTGAGCGAGTTGACAGTCTTGACACGTTTCAACAGTTGTTTATCCCTTTAATCGACACTCTTCAGGACATGATAAACAATGTAAGCGGCGAGGTGAAGCCTTCCCTTGCTGCTGATGCTTCCCAGTTACTTTCATTAGTTACTCAATTTCATTTTATTGTTGCGCTAGTTATTACAAGAAATATTCTTGATGCTACTCTTCCAGTCACGCAATTGTTGCAGGGAAAACTATTGATGTTATGGATGGTTTTCATTTGATAACCACTTTGAAGAATGATGTAGCCAACATGAGGAAAAGCATTAATTTTATCATAACACTTGGTATGAAGAGGCTTTAAAACTTGCTGAAGAGGTCAACGTTCAAGAAACAAAAAAGCGAATTGCTGGAAGACAAACTATGCGATCTAATCCCCCCAGTCAATCATTCAAAGAACATTATAAACTAACCATCACTATTCCTTTATTAGACCATCTTCAAACATCTTTGAGAACTAGGTTTAACTTGGATAGTGTTAATGTGTACCGAGGATTATCTATCGTTCCCGTCAAAATGATGACTCTGTCGGACAAAGGAATTGATTGGAAAGAACAGTTTAAAAGTGTTGCAAAATTCTATCATGATGACTTGCCCAACCCCCTTGGTTTAGATGCTGAATTAAGGCAATGGCGTTTATACTGGGAAACGCACAATGGGCCTTTGCCAGAAAACATCGTCAAAACACTGAAGCATGTAACATTTCCAGGATTTGAAAATATTAAAGTTATTCTTCGCATTTTAGGTACACTACCAATCACCTCATGTGAATGTGAGAGATCAATTTCAGCACTGAGGAATCTAAAAACCTACCAAAGGAGCACTATGGTAGAGGAACGTTAAGTGGCCTGGCTTTAATGCGAATTCACCCAGAAATTATTCCTGACATAGAAAGAGTGATCAATAAGTTTGCTGAAGGTAATACACGTTTGAAATTTGCTTAATGTGTTATGGCTACGTTACTGTAGAAATATTACTGACTTTGCAACTGGCTGCTTAATGCGCCGTTGCTGCAGAAATGTCTTACAGCACAACTGGCTGCTTAATGCGCCGTTGCTGCAGAAATGTCTTACAGCACAACTGGCTGCTTAATGCGCCGTTGCTGCAAAAATTTAAGACAGCACAACAGGCTGCTTAATGCGCCGTTGCTGCAAAAATGTAAGACAGTGCAACTGGCTGCTTAATGCGCCGTTGCTGCAAAAATTTAAGACAGCACAACTGGCTGCTTAATGCGCCGTTGTTGCAAAAATGTAAGACAGTGCAACTGGCTGCTTAATGCGCCGTTGCTGCAAAAATGTAAGACAGTGCAACTGGCTGCTTAATGCGCCGTTGCTGCAAAAATGTAAGACAGTGCAACTGGCTGCTTAATGCGCCGTTGTTGCAAAAATGTAAGACAGTGCAACTGGCTGCTTAATGCGCCGTTGCTGCTAAATCAAAGACTGTCCATGTCCGGAATCACATTGTTGCTTTGCACTATGTGTTTCCTAGGCATGCTGAAGAGCCCTGACATTGGGCGAAACGGTCTTAGCGTGTTTGTCCTCAATATTTTGTAAGAAAAAAATGAAAAACTGCGATTTCATTCACTTTGAAAATTTGTTGTAAAGCTATTCCAAAACGCTGGAAATCGCATTTCTGGGACCCTAGGCTTCAACATTTTCCAGGGGGGGGATGCCCTCGGACCCCTTACGGGCAAACGCCTCCGGCGTTCGCCGGTTTAGGACTGACGTTTGGAAAATCCTAGATCCGCCCCTGTCGCTTTACACTTCAACTGTACCTCAAGTTACGGCCTATATTACTAAAAGAATAATGTTACCATATGTGTTTATTATTCTTATGTAATACTATAGTAGCAGTATAATTTAGCTTTCAAATGTTCGGAATTTATTAATTGCAATAAAACATGCATTGACGCAAATTAGGTGCGTTGCCAACGCAGTTAAAGCGTTCTAATAGGAACATATTGCTTGATGATCGGTGATCTATTTGAGGACAAAATACGCAACTGACTTTATACGAAATCTTTGGTTTACAAATAGAAGAAACATATTTTGCATGGATATTTTTTTGATATAGCTTTTGTTTCGCCATATGTCTTGAATAATCACGATGATCATATGCTACCTTGCTCGCTCAGTACATTTGATTTTAAGCGATATGACTTGTTCCAACTTCCGAGCACACCTCTGAACATGGAGCGGATTTTTGTTAGTGAAAGACTGAAACTTAGCATAAGAAGTTGGGCATTTGAAACAAACAACATTGAGTATTGGTAGTTAAACAAGCTAGAGTCGTATCACTATCGAATAGCTATCCCTAACTACCTAACTACAATTATATGTCTCTAATACTATTAGTCTTTAGTGACCATAGGGGCTTAGTAACTTTTGTCGAGATTTGTTTTCATACAGGTCATTACAAACTTCGACAACGACATGATGGATCAATAAGAACCTATTTCCGTAAGAATGTATTGAAAAACACTTATAAACGTGTGTAAGAGCAAAGAAACGTGTTTTGTTTAACAGTTGTAATTAATCATATCAGTTTTAAAATATTCTGCCGTTTCCACGGTGATCCGTGAGTAATCATAAATCGTCCTATTGATTAAGATTTTATTAAAAAATGCCACATAGTTAGTTTAAGCTCTACGACTTTATCATGATTTATGTCAGGTCAGCTTTTTGAACCATGCATTTGTGTTTAACAAATGTGTTTAGTGTCGTGTCTCGAACGATCAGGACAAAATGCGATACATTTTGTCTTTGATCGAAAGTTTTGCAATTATTTCCCGTCAAGCAATTACAGATATAAGTGTATAAATTGTCAGAGATAAAGTCTTTATTGTTTCTAATACATGCGCAAGTTCAATATTGCTACAACAAACGATTTACTACCAAATTACGATATGGTTCTTTAGGTAGCGATTCGAAACCGAAGGATGAAACGATAACATGGAAAGTTAATAACTTTAAGTTATTGTCTACCTTATTAAGTAGAGCGGAAGAATAGCTTATCCGATGTTACATATTTGTATTTGGGAGATACATGTTATGCCTACTTAAGTCTAGTTAATTTCCATGTGATCATCTGTATTATGTATTATGGACTTTACGGAAAATTTTCTGTACGATCAAAGTGATCTTTGTTTTGGACCCATGCTGATAAGATATTGCCTGCATGAGACGACTATAATCACCTCGATGTGAACAGGGCTTTGAATGATGGATTACTTTTGATGATTTTGAGCCTTACCGGGATAGTTGGACGAGCCCTTCCTAATCACTTACGGTTGCAAAGTGAGATTCGTTATGCAATTCAACCGTTTCTTTATTGTATTATTTGTATAAATGTTTTATCATTCAATCTTCAACAATAAAACCCCGCGTATAAGAACTTACATTTTTTCAAGGCTAGTCTCATTACTTAGAACTCTAGAACTTACATTTTTTCAAGGCTTAGTCTCCCACGAACACGCATTTATAACTATCGACGAAAGAGCTATATGTCGGCTTCACATGTATGAATGCAGATATGCGTCGTTTTTTTACCAGCGTCAAACTTGTTTGATCGATTAAACTCTTTAGTCTATACAAAAAAGTATATCATAGCTCATCTCCACGGTTCACGAGAGAGAAGTTAGTTTATTTGTTATCATTGCTATTTTGTTCCTATTCATGCAATGGGCAATGGCTTTTTTCGCCACAATTGTAGTATTTTTACTTGTTTCTTTAAAAAAGTAAATATTAAATCTCTGGATATTTACGGATTTTCTGTAATTGAGTTTCATATTAAATTTCAAAAAGACTCAAGTCCGCATAGGTTTGGTAAATGAAAACAAACAATATTGTATAGAAATTACTTTAACTAACCTTTTTGTGATGTTCTGAAGTGCAACTGCATCAAATACTTGTAAAGTTGTAGCACATTATGATTTTGTTGTATTGATATATGAATTGGGCAAAATGCAAATAATCATCAAAACACTTAAGCTTCCAATGGTGTTTATAATTCAATTGTAGTTTTAATTCTTCTACCCTTCTTTTTCACTTTGTTTTGTTTTTCCTATATTTGCAATATAAATGCACAATTTGAATGATTAACACAGTTTTTACTTCAATAATAAATTATAAAAAACCCAATGGCTTATACAGTTTGAAGCTTCACATCTGCATCGAGTCATCATCAATCTCAGTACAAATGTTTACATAGACACAAATTTTATGGCCTTCCCATTTTACTTGTTTGTGAATTGACATTTCATTAAGCATCAGAACACACACAACCTTCTTGCCATCTTTCTTTGGTTCATGAACTTTAACTTCAAAGCATTCAGGGAATCATTAGTGAATCCATTGTCTCCATCCAGAGAATTTAACAATGATCAAATTAAATAACTCTGGATAGGGAAGACAATAAATTAATTACGATTACAGCACTATCATTTTTTTAAGACTCTGCCTGGTCAATAATATCTTCCAGTCATCGTTACTCCTTGATCTTCCCTGCATGTTGTCAGCAAATAGAAATAACAAGCTCTGCTCCAAATCATGGGTACTGCTTGGGCTGATCGTTTCTTTTTGATACTTATTCAAAGAGCAAAATGTGTGCAGGGTCTTTTTTTCTTTAGGGACAGAAGATGTCGTCGACATATCTTTTCCATAGTCTGATGTTTGTGTTGTTTGTGACTGGTTGTGTTTCGAAGTGTTGCATGACAGCTTCTGCGAGGAAGGTGGATAGCGGTGATCCCATTGGTGTGTCTGAAATTTGTCTGTAGTATGTGTTTTGGAAGGTGAATTCAGTGGAGAGGCAAAGGTTGAGTATGTCTAGGATGTCATTTTTGTCTAGTTGTGTTGTAGCTTGCCAAGTTTTGTCGTTTGTGAATAGTTCGTTTGTAATTTCTTTGGCTATGTCTAGTGGTATGGATGTGAAGAGTGATGTCATGTCGTAGGATGTGAAGAGTGATGTCATGAAGAGTGATGTCATGTGTGATGTCCTGATTTCGTCTGGTCGTAGTTTAATGTTTTCAATACTGGCGAGGAAAGTGGTGGCATTTATGATGGTGTGAGGTGAATTTTTGACTAATGGATACAGAATGTTATAAAGATATTTTGAAAGTTCATACGTAGGTGATCCTGGAAGCGATACGATAGGTCGAAGTGGGTTGTTTTCTTTGTGGATTTTTGGTAGTCCGTAGAATTTGGCGGTGGATGCGTCATTGGGTCGGATTCTTCTGTAGTCGTTTTCGTTTAGTTTCTTTTTGTCTTTTAGTTGTTTCAGTTTCTGGTTGATGCGGTTGGTGGTCGTTTTGCTGGGGTCTGTGTGGAGAAGTTCGTAGGTGGTGGTGTCTTGTAGGAGGGTTTTGGCTTTGTCGATGTATTCTGATCTGTCCATGATAACTGTTTTGCGTCCTTTGTCAGCTCGTAATATGATTATTTGGTCGTCGTTTTGTAGGTTTTTAATTGCTCGTCGTTTTGTAGGTTTTTAATTGAATCGTATTGACTGATTCTTTTCAGTCTTCTGGATAGAGCTCTGTCCTTCGCCTTGTGTTCTAGAGAAGACTGCTAAACTCACGCGACTATTTGAGAACCCGGCTTCAAGTGCGACGTTTAGTGGCGACAAATTTGCATCTCAGCAGGGATATCTTCTTCTAGATTTCCCACTTTCAAACGGTGTAAGCTATCGCTGCAACGTTCTGCAACGATGTGTGGTAGGCTTGAAGCAATTTGTCTCGCAGTCTCGTGCGAGTTATTTGTGGCGTAGTTTTCAGTATGGCTTCAATGCTTGTGCCTCATTCGAAATAGTGTACGATAAGTTCACTTTGACTCTTAGCTGAGCTGTTGAGGAAGCGAAACATTTCCGTATCACTTGGATGTTCAATCTTGTCGTTGCGTAAGACCTGTTTCCTTCCAACTAAATTTGTGACGTTTTCATGTTGTTTTTGAGACGTTTCTTGTAATCTTCTTTTCTTTGGATGTTATTTTGCAGAAATTTGCATGATATAATAATATGGACCATTTATGATTTATGTGATAATTTACATAAGAAAGTAAACATTCTCACAAAATGCAGCCGGTACTTGTTTTGTTTTTATTTGGGTATCGATATATCAAGGCAATCAAATTAATCGTTGCGTCTGCTTAGACGTGACGTATCATATCTCATGCACCGTTGGATCGAGCTAATAAATATATACGCTGCTACTTAAAAATTGCAATGTATGCATCAAGCTCATTTTATGGCCCGTAGCCTCCAAGCCGAATCTCATTAATTACATTGACTAATATCGAATTTTGTTGCTTGCACATTACACGTCAGCACTATTAATGTTGTGTCGCAATTTTGAGAAGTATCCAGTAATGATGGGCGAGCGCTCGTGCGTCACAATTCTATATTACGCAAGGCAATGTTTATCCAGCACGTTTCAACTTATAATCGTTTTGTGCTTCAAGCAATTACATTTTCTGAGCAAGAAGAAGGAAATCGTTTTATTACTTACCCAAGTATATTTGTCAACAAGAAAAATACTATTTGTCGTTCGAAATATTGTCATCGATTAGACTAACCTGCCATTTCACCAAATTACTTTATTATAACGTACTTTCATGTTGACAGATGGGTAACATATTAAAGTATGATGTTCTGTTCGCAAATTATCCATGCAATGTTCCATGCATTGCATAGAATTCGATTACATTTTGTAATTTATTATGTTCTTCTTGCGAAACGTAATTCTGGAATGTGCTAGAGTGGGCGTGTTTATTGCTACCTGTGGTATTGCGTATGACTATGACGACACTAACTACGTCGTAATAAACACCAATCGGATATAATTTACGACGAGTGTTGGCGAAGCATCATATCGAAGAAGTTCGGTGAGGAATCGACATCGGAAACAATCGTAAAGAAAAACACCACCAAAACTTGAAATAGATTGTAGCTCAAATGAATAGCGAAACCAAAAAAGACAAGTGCAGTTGCAAAGAACTTAAAGAGAAGTATGAGCTTTGCGTCAAAGACAACGAACGTTTAGCTAAAATAATCCGAAATTTACGACAAGAAAATGATAATTTGAACTATGAATTCCGAAATCAAACTTCGCGCCTTTTCGACAAGAGTTCGCATACGGCCGGAGGGGAGGACAAACGTAAACAAAAATACAATGTTTTACTCGAAATTAATCATGGCTGGAAAAACGATTACGAACAATTGGAAATGCGGTTTAAAATGGTTAAAAAAGAGAGAGATTTACTTGTAGGAGAGATAAAAAGTGTAAAAGCACGAATTACCGAACTTGAACAGAGACAAAGTCCTTTAGAAGACGAATTAGGACGATTAGCTTCGACTCTGTACGCGCAGCAAAGTGTACATATTAATTGCGGCAAAGACGATGAGGAAGAAAAATATGAAATGTTAAAGTCGCAAATACTCGCTTATAAAGAAGACTTTGACCGCGAGCGTAAAGACAGAGAAAAATTACACGATGAAAAGGAAATGTACAAACAAAAGCTTGAGGACTCTGAGGAAATTATTAGACATCTTACAGCAGAACTTGATGCTTGCAAAGGACATGAGATTGCTCGCCCGGGTGGTTGGTCTGAAAATGGCTTCCTTAGTGAGCGTACAACTAGTTCTCAGCCAAATCTGTATACGTATTCATATAGGCCAGTTGATCAGCATTGGCGACTCGAGCAGCAAAGAAGGGGAATTTATCCTCGAAGGCCTTCTACTGCTATGTTTTACGGGGGTGATGTGGAAGTGGACGAGTTGCTAGCATAGAAAGTGTGATGCTTAGATATGCTACTGCATCTGAAGTTGAACTATGCGTAAAGTATAATTTCATGAATTTGAACTACACAAATTATCGCATTGACGTATATTTAATCAATAGGCAACTAAATGTATATATATTTACGACTTTTACGGATTTCATTTATAAAATAATATTTACAGTATATATAATTATAAATTGTATCTATATAAAATAAACTTATTTAAAAAACTCACTATTTATGTATATGTATTTATTTAAATCATAAATAAAACCGTTTTTTATCGAATGGAGTCATTTTATGCTGTTTCCTTGTGTCTTTGCGCTCCCATATTAGGTGATGACATCAGAATGAAGCTCACTAATCGTCAACAGAACATAGATGCAATATTTCTCACAATCTTTCTCGGGAAAATCAATATAACATCGATTCTTAAACGCTCTTCAATACATATTCACACATTTGATGCTTTTTCATGAACATGATATTTTTTAATTCCCCCTCCCCATGACTCTGGTACGCGTTCTTGAAATCATAATCTGATCCACTAATTTCGAAATAATACCTATGGACAGACCGATCTCACCTATGTATTCTATACAGTAGCATCAATTGCTCGACTCATGCAAGATAGCTATTAAATGCACGAGCAAACGCGCTGTCAACAATATAAAGTAAAATTTATAGATTCGCTTGTGTTGTGTACTTGTCAGACAACTGAAAGAGGCTTGATTGTTTTTACGGTTTCAACGCATGTTCTCTGAGAATTGGCATATTTGCATTTGATAATCTATGTTTTTTTAATGTTTCGCAAATTAATAACACAAATTGCGTATCCAAATTTACATATTTGCACGTTAGGACCCTAATTCGGTAAGAGTTTCTAATTCCATATATGGTAAAATAATATTATTCTTTCATTCTTAGTGACTTAATATTCGAGTAAAGAAAATGAATTCACCTTTTATAGTGAGGTTTTCAAAATTTCTACTTAGGTAGATTTTATTATTTTCGTTTATGGCGTTCATTAAGAATCGAAACTAAGAATCATCAAGACTTTAGACTTCACTTTTTAATATTGTTTGCACAGCAGAACTAAGACTCTCTAGGGCTGGCTCCGCCACTTCGTATAAACGCCATCACGTTTCCAGTAAAACATTAAGAAATGCTCACTAAATATGGATGGTATGTAAAAAAATATACGTTTGCGAAATGGCAATTCCTGATTTCCTATGATGAAATACGTGACCAAACTAACAAGCTTAGTCACGCATTTCTACGCTTTTTCCTCTACGTAAGCATTAAGTGGAATAATCATATAGCTACATTCGTCTGGTTATTGATATAGGTTTTTTGTAAGGTATAGATACTCTTTATTTTCCACTCACAAAAAACAGTATGTTCAACCCATATAAAATTTGACTCATATCGCTGCCAGTGTATGAGCTTACGTGAGCTTGTGGTTTACTGTTAATCCACAAGCCAACTTGCCCCACCCAACTCCAGCCTTCTAAGTCAAAAGTGTTTCTAAAATTAGTGTTTTGACGTCTATTAGTGAGAAAAAGGGTTTGCATTTATGAACGTACAATCCGAATCAGGCTGTCGGATGTTCCATTTGTAATGCGGTAGCAAAAGCCAGGTATGGTAAATTTTATTCCTCGTTGTTAAAACATTTGTTTGTTTTCATTATTAGTAAGTGCTTATGAAATGAAATTTTCATGCCCGTTTTTAATGGTTTTTATTGACGTCATAACGAGTACACACTCTCAACATGGCGTTAAGAGTTAATAAAAATACATGACTTCGCGTTAAAAGACACAATGCTCCAGCAGTCAAATCTTTGTGAATTGTTCCATTATCAACACACTGAAGGAATAATTATCAATTTATTTTACAAAAAGGAGACAGACATAAGGCGAAAGAAGTGGGCAAATTTTCTTCGCAAGGATTGACATGCCTTTTAAGACTTTGTTGACTATTTAACAAATAGATAACATATAACTGTTGTCTACACAGTTATAGATACACGGGTATGACGTCAATTGTAATAAAAACTAAAAAAATGGCCACGAGCTGCCGGGAGGATGTACGGTTACACATTGTATGGATTGTATTGTATCCATTGTTTTATGTATTCTTCCTGCTTCTTTGATATATTCTTCCTGTTGTTTGGTGTACTCTTGTTTCTGTTTGTTATATTCTTGCTTATTGCTTGATATATTCTTGCCCAATTTTAATTCTTGACAGTCTATATGTTTAAATAAATGACCGGAATAAAAGTAAAGCAACAGTTTTAGCCCACTTAATATAATTCTGTTAGCCTCATAATTGTATCTGGACCATATATTTGGCAAAAATGATGAGAAATTTACGACAAGAAAATGATAAACTTAAAAATGAATCGCGTAATCAAACTTAAAAATGACCGGAATAAAAGTAAAGCAGTGTTTAAATGACAACGAACATTTGGCAAAAATGATGAGAAATTTACGACAAGAAAATGATAAACTTAAAAATGAATCGCGTAATCAACTTAAAAATGACCGGAATAAAAGTAAAGCAACAGTTTTAGCCCACTTAATATAATTCTGTTAGCACCATAATTGTATCTGGACAATATATAAGTACAACACGCAATGTCCATGTATTATACATTAGTTGATGTTGGGGAATACAACAAATGTACCAAAGCCAAAAGAAAACTAAATTTTTATTAATTATTATATAACAATGAACTGTGTACTAAGATAAAATAAATCATGAGTGTTGGCATGTATATCCTAATGTGTCAATGATTTGTCATGATTTCGAGGACAGTGTTTAATGATCTTCACTAGGGCAATTGACTGTAGGCCTGTAGATATTTTAACTGACACGATTTAAAACTATGTCTATCAATAATCAATCAACATAATGTGCAATAGTGACATGTTTATACAAAATGTATATATATACAAGAATATTTTAAGAATGTAGATTGATTCAGCTGGACCCAATGCAATATTACTGGTTTTCATTTTTCCCGGCAAATACATTGCCCCCAGCAACAAGAAAGGCAGCACCTAATTACATACATAGATACACAGTGTTAGCATTTGTGTTGGTACTATTATTTTTCATTGATTGACAGGCATTATGCTGCTGCTTACTTACTCTAAAATCGATGGTAGAGATCTGTCAGCTTATAAGCTGATTTTCTTCAGCAATTATATTGATCTTACGCATAACTATAGGCCCTTCTTTCAACCCCCAAAAGATTACTGAAAGTAATTAATTTAAAAATGGAAAATTGAAGTACGACGTATGAAGCAACTGCCGTACGTGTCAAAGGGACAAAGCCAAACATAAGTTTCCTATTGAAAAGAACGGCACATGAAGCATGCGTACAACTATAATTGTCTCACTGGCTGTATATTATTTCATATTTTCACTTGTACCTATGTTTGATAGATATTCAATTAGCAATTACAATCTCGATTGCGAATTCATGTCCGTTGACTTGCGCTTCTTGTGACAGCTGCTCATGCCAGTTATCGCATCAATATTTACTTAAATTGTGAAATATTAAGCAATTGTATGAAATTGTCAATGAACACGCGTCATATAACTGGAATGCATGTAAGATTTATTTAGCCTGTTTGCTTGTTACTTTTGATTGCGTGATGATTTTAGGGGGTAATGAATGGTGAAGCTTGGTTGTCAGGATAGTCAAAAAAATTTATTTAATGATAATTTATCGTCAAGACTTCTTTTCACTTTCGACATCATCTACAATGTTTGTTTTGATAAATAGTTTAAATTCGCGTGGGTGAATTCCAATGACAATATACTAAAATTACGTCATTTGCACAGCATAAAGAACAAAGACGAAAGGGCGAGACATAATATGATGCACGATCGTAGATTGATCGGATATAATCGTCGAGAAGAGAAAATATTTACTAAGACTTGAAATTAGTTTGTGCCGATAATGGATAATGAAATCAAAAATGAAAAGTGCAGTTACAAAGACCTTGAACTGAAATACAAGCAGTGTTTAAATGACAACGAACATTTGGCAAAATGATGAGAAATTTACGACAAGAAAATGATAAACTTAAAAATGAATCGCGTAATCAAACATCGCGGCTCGCTGACGAGAGTTTGCGACTGGCTGAAGGGAAGGACAAACGTAAACAAAAATACAACATATTACTGGAAATCAATCATGGATGGAAAAAAGACTACGAAAAATTAGAAATGCGCTTTAGAATGCTTAATAAAGAGAGAGATTTACTTGCTGAGGAGTTGACAAGAGTAAAAGGACGAGTAATTGAACTTAAAGAGCGACAAAGTCCTTTAGAAAAGGAATTAGGACGATTAGCCTCGGCTTTATACGCGCAACAATGTGTTCAACATAGTCGCGATGAAAACGAAGAAGAAAATTATAAAATGTTAAAGTCATAAATACTCGTTTATAAAGAGGATTTTGATTGTGAGCGTAAAGACAGGGAAAAATTAAAAGATGAAAAGGAAATGTACAAACAAAAGCTTGAGGATTCTGAGGAAGTTGTTAGACTTCTTACAGTAGAACTTGATGCGTACAAAGCACGCGAGCGTTCCCGGCGATTGAAGTGGTTTCATGGTTCCTTCAATGCAAGTTATTCTCCATATAATTATAGATGTCAATGTATGTCCGCTGATCATTCTTCTCAGTTGCAGCACCAAGGAGAGCGTGTTCTCCCCCCTTATCGATCGTCCACCGCAGTATTTTACGGGGGCGATGTTGAAGTTGACGAGCTTCGTGGTTAGCAACTTTAGGAAAGCTATTAAGTGTCTCTTGCGTAAATCCTGAAGTAGCTTTATGTTAATTGCAATATATGATATATATTCTCATATGCATATACTTTTATATTGATTATATCCTATATTGTTTAATTATGTATATAAGATATTAATTATATGTAGTGATTTTTTTCAACATCACTACATATATTTACGCTCTGCTCTAGGGCATCGAGCACTGTTTTATATGGAGAATCATCACATATAAACTTCCTAAGATATTAATTACGTATTTATATTGACATATATTTATGTGAACACAATAGTAATAAAGTATGAATTATATTATATAAACAAGATATAAATTGCTTTACCTGGAGATTACGTGGATGTCAATTTTGATGTTTGCTTTATAGTGACACGATCATACAGAATGAGAAACGAATATATCGAGGTACAGCATTTGTCTGATGTTTTTGACACAAAGCTAGGGGGCTTGGCTGTTGTGGTTTAGTCACGTCCAGCGAAGGATAGTGAGTTTAAAAAGGTAGAAGATTGCAGAATTTAGAATTGCTGGGTCAGAGATCGAGAGGAAAACGAAAGACCGCACAGTATCTACTATAAATGCATTGTAAAAGTGATGTTGTTTTTAGTGCTGTGCCAACTTGACACTATGTGAGCAACATGAATTTAACCATCATTGTCGTAGTACTTTCCTGGATGACCAGACTGATATAGATATTCCATCACCGGCATACTGGAAAGAAGCTCCACCGTCGGAAAAAAGGTGCTGTGTGAATACTTAAGAGTTTATCCCCTTAATTTGATGTGCGATTAATATCTTTATAAAACGTGAGCAGTTTTCTACCAGCTCTACTGACAAATTCATCACTTATAAAATACAAGAACGATCTAAAACATTTATAGTTACATTAGCTAAATCTTGAACAACCATCTATGTGTTCAGTCTTAATGACTAAATTAAGAACTGTACACTGGCGGTCTAAAGAGCTGATCACGTTGTTGGTAATTTTACTTTCTGCCCTCATTGACCGATAAAATCTGGATTCACCCCAATATTCACTCCATGATTCACCCCAATTCAAGCCTGTGGTGGGCAAGTGCGTCATGGCCGCCATGCTGGTGATTTTAACAAAGCATTTTTCTTATTTATAATCTAATGCAAATGCCATCCAACATGGCAAACATTCCACTGTTCTCTCATTCGCAAGGGAATGATTGCACTCCACCTACAGCAATGTGTTTTCAAATTGGATTGATGAAACAAACTTTCAAACTTTAAATCTACATTTTTGTAGTACGTTGTTTTTTATTGCACTCTGAACCAATCATATACACTGATCATGAGGTGGTAGTGGTAAAATATTTTTGAGCAACTGGCCTGCATCACAGTATAGAGAACATACAGTAGAGCTACACCATTGCATTTTTTTGTGCCACGCATATCTTGTTGCGCATGTGATTACCATAGTGGCAGCCAGTCAATTGCAATTTCTGACCAATTAGAATGATGAAATGGCTTACGACAGCCAGTAATCTTATTAAATATATAGCAGCCAGTTGCACAGGGAAGTGGCCATACAGTATATTCTCTATACTGTGCTTGCATACTGTTTTCTGATTGATATTTGTCGAGAGACGATGTCGAGCTGTAGAAGTTGAGATTTTTGCCGTGTTGATGAAAAGTTTTGGAAAGCTCTTGGTAGCGACGTTAGGACAAATGATATAGCCTCGGTGTATTTTGAAGAGATCAACTGTAGTTGAAATTATTGCATGAGATTCAATTTGATTGAAGAGACGTTCTGTGTCAATCCCAAAGAAAGTGGATAGTGATATTGATAGATCTTTCGGAAGATCTTGATGTTGGAGCATAGATTCGTGGCGGCAATATCTAACTTATGAGTTACGGTTATGAAGATGTCGTGGTAAGGTTTACGTTGTAGTTAAATGAAGGAAGTTAAACCGTTTTAATCATAGTAGGTATTTGTAATGTAATTAATATGTTATGCTTAATGGTCTGTAGAGGGGTCATTAATGCCTGGTTTTCACTAGTAAAATAAACATGATCAAGAAACCTTAAAGAATGAGTTCAGGGTCATGCTTTGTGCGCTTGCTTGGCCATTTTAAGGGACTCAGAAAATGGCCCCTGTAAAATGTTTGATATAAGCACATAAGTGCAACATATAAATACGGCGTGAATACCGTAGCAGCAGTCAATCTATCAACCCTAAATGCTTCCTATAAATAAATTTGATCACATAAGTTAATAAGCAAAACAAAACCTGTACTGAATACGCATCGGATTGCTTAAGTGAACGGAAATTCCCGTATGAAAACATAAACATTAAGCGCGCAAAGCATGACCCTGATACTCATTTTTTAAAGCCTGATTCATACGAGTAAAATAAGCACTAATGTCAAGACTTTGTTTACTATTGCTCTAGATGTTTATAAAGACAATGACATTGAGATTTTCTTTAAATCTTCTTTTTGTTTTTCTTTTGTTTCTCTCTTAGCTTATGCTTGAGTTTTTGCGTCTGCGTTGCGTAGCAACCTAACGAGCAACGCATTGCAGTTACTCGTAAAAATGTATTTGCGTTTCACTAAAAGTGACATCAGTCAGTTTTATCGGCTAAGCATCGGAAACATTTCGGCCACTTTCTCATTGACTTTCGATCAATGTAAAATTATACGTTTTGCAGTCGGGTGCATTCCATCCATAATCCACATAGCACATGTTGATGATTCCGTTCGAGTTTAACAATAACATTCGTCGATGGATAAGATAAACACAGACGTTAGTTTTTATCGTTATCCTATCGAACCTCATTCAATATTTATGCGACATTTAATAATAGTTTGAAAAGTTCACATCACGCAGAAGCATGTACGCAATTGCGTACCTCTTATTTTCTTGTGCTTGCACTTATGTCGATGCTTATGTCACATGCTTCGTTAATTATCTTTGTTTTATCTTTTGTCTACACTTGTATACTTATCCTTATTTCACTTGTGTGAACCAGGCGTACGTTTTTCATCCTTGCGAGACTTAAAAAGGCAAAAAAACGAAATTCACTTTTGTTCATCATTCGGTTTGTGCCTAGTCTTGCTTATATGCTTGTGCTTACGTTAATACTAATATTCCATGTTCGCTTATCGTCTTTGTTTCATACTTCAACTTCACTTCGCTGCTGTCTCCTTTCGTTATGTGAACTTAAGTATTATACTGTTGTATTACTACAGAATCGACATCTAAAAGAAGGCCCACTAACTAAAATCATCGCGTATTTTTCCACTACGCATGCGTGACCCAGCAATATACTTTCACAAAATCAATATAGAATCAATATATTGCACGAGATGCTATTTTACTAATAATTCACGTTTAAAGAAAAGTTTGCCAAATTTTTTAACAAAATGTTATCATCTTGTGAAGACGATAAGGTTCCAAGTTTTGCAATGCAAAATGATAGATTTGTAAAAAAATCTATATTTTCTATTGTAAGTATCGAAGTATCGTGCTGAAAGGCGTGTCTCCTTAGAATTTGCTTCAGAAAAGTAGGGGACACTAGCATCCATGGTTCCAACACCAGTGGACCTTCTGTTGAGATATCTATTCTGTGGTATTACCATGAGGGTTACCAAGACGAGTTAGAAAATAGACAAGACCTCCTTGAGTCTTTATGTAATTTTGCAATTGCACGAAAACTACTCTATAGACATCAAAATGAAACTTTGGGTGTCCATGCTTTCAAATATTACCGTCAGTCTATGAATTCAGTCTTTCGGACTGACCGGACAAAAATCATTTCTCTGTAAAATGACGCTTTTATTTCATATTTCAAAGTCTATTTGTATCGCCAGTTATTAAAGTTAGCATTAACTGAGAGATTTTGTATTGAAGGGATGTGTTACCAGCATGTGTATTAATTGGCACTTCTATACGATTAAGTAATGATAGAGAAGTTTGCGCAAATCAGTTAAAATGCTTGTTGACATGTTAATATGAAAGTGCTTTTTGTAAACGTTGAACTGCGCCAGATCTTGCATGAAACAGTCAAATGAAATTTAAATAACAATTTATTTATTATAGTTACAAAAAAAATTGCAAGAGTGGTTACAAAAAAGTAGAGTGGTTGAATGATTCAGGTATGGAAAAGAAGCAAGCTGACGCAATTTCTACTGGCAACCAGAATAAAATGTTGAAACTAAGCCTGGAAATTTTATTGTTGATGAGAGGAAGATTTAGTATAAACGTCCCTCAGGCAAAGTAGAAATCTCTTACGTACATCTCATTGATTATGTGACTTTCTATTAAAATCGTTTTGTTATTGGACAATTCAATTTTATTATGTTATTCATGTATATGAGTGCATGGTGATGGCTGAAAAAATCCATTTCCATTTGGTAAAACTGTACATGCATTCATTTTATTTTGGCATTTTGTCAATGCTTTATGGAGGACAAGTTAGACAAGACGTCTGCTCTTCTATCTGGTGTAATTTCTGTATAGATTGTGCCGCAATAAACTTGTTAATTGTCGGGGGGCACATTTTTATATATATGTATGCTTTGTCTACGGATTAAGACACGCATACATTATTTAAATATGTGCTATGTAATGCTGCTCGTAGTTATTGTCATAACAACAACTGACTTGATTATGAGAGCGTCAATTTGGTTGTAGAACCCAGGTCCCTCTCCGTCAAATTTCGTAGGGTGCAATCGTACCTCGTAGTCAAGTTTGATACTTAGACAAAAACCACGTTGCTCGTAACTGTTCGAGACTTATTAATTAATATTGCCAATGTTTTCCATTATACACAAGATTATTAATCAAAGCACAATTAAAGTTGGTTCCTTATGTATGAACAACTTCAGAAGAGTCATCTTCAACCACAGGCAAAGGATTCTTGGAATAAAAAAATCTACTCATTGCACCAATTTATGCAACTGTCGAGTTAAATCTCGGTGCCCTTTGGACGGACAATGTTTGACAGAAAATGTAGTATATCGTGCTACAATTACAACAAATAATGAAGTAGAATACAAAGAGTACATAGGAATGACGGCAGGTCCATTCAAGACCAGATACAACAACCACATGAAATCTCTGAACAACATACGATATAAAGACGACACAGAGTTGTCTAAGTTTGCATGGAATCAGAAGAAAAAGGGAAACTATTTTAAAATTAAATGGTCAATCTTAAAGAAAGTGCCTGCATCTGCAGCTTTTTCTAGGACATGTTGCCTCTGTAATACAGAAAAATTTTTTATCATGATGGCAGACAAGGAAAGACTATTAAATAAACGATGTTAGTTGTTTTAAAAATTATGACATTGATTTAAGATAAGGGCGTGCAGCCTTGAGCGCGCACTTGATTTAAATCAACCCAAAAAGTTCAACAAACGTGATCGCATGTAAACCATCAAAGGATCTTAAAACATTGTAAAAGGATAAAATATATTTAAAATTTGATAACTACTATTGTTGTTATATATTGTTCTACTAACCTTTGTTTAGTATAGATCACTTTCGTTTCTGCGTATACAGTACTTACATACATTTGCACAGCGTGTGTTGAAAATGCGTATTTTATGCATATAGGTAGCTATAGTAGTATATACGAGGGTTCTTTGAGGATTCTTAGAAAGTTATTAGTTAATCTTCAATTTTATTTAAACAATTTCACCAGACTTAATACATCAGTAAGTGTCATTTGAATCACTTTCCGATTTGAAAATCTATATAATCTATGCACGAATCCAAACTGTAAAGAAAATTACAATTCTAATAAAAGAAGTTTTTACAAAGCATGCAGAGAGTGTGTTATTAATAACAAAAACTTTCAGGAAACAGTTTTAAGCCTTATTATCTTCAGTATATTATTTGATAAAGCTATGGCATTGTTCACTTCTATAGTGAAGCGAGTGAAATTGCCATTATACAAGAGCTAGTTTGAACTAGGATTACGAAGTTAATTTTACTTTTGCATTTGCTCGATTGGTTTGGCGAGCTCCTTTTCATACATTAAATGTATTTTCTTACAAACTGACTCTTCCACATAAAAGAAAGTAAAAAGGTATTCCCCAATTACACAAAAGAAAATCATTTACCCAAAAATTATATCCTTATTACTAATTGAATTTCCTGTGCATTGTTATCACAAAAACCTTTAGACAGTTTCACTCCAACATTTCACTTTTAAATATAAACATTAATTGGCGAAGCTTTACTATTTTACTAATATGGCTCATTCACGTTTTCTATTGTAATCTAATCCAGTACACGATTCAAATAAATTTAGTTCACTCTAATTTTAGCCCTGGAACCACTATTTGTATTATACCTATTCTAATTATTTTAAACTGCTAATTTGAAAATAAAACAAAACGATTAAATATATTCGTTAAGTATTTCAAGCATGCTCTTGCGACAAACTTGAGTGGATTAGCAAACAAACAAAACATTTTTGTTATGTGACTGCTTTAATCATTAAAAGATTAAAACAAAAACGGAACAGAGAGACATCAAAAGAAACTCGTAATTGTTATTAAGAAAACAGTCATAGATGAAAGTAAAACAATGCGATAGGAAAGTAAAACATACAGATATGAAAGTTTTGGAACATGAAAGTAATATATACTGTCTGATGGGAAAGGTAAACATAGTGATATGAAACAATATAATTATTTTTTATTGAATACATACCTTTGATATTTTAGTTCCAACAATTTGATTGGCTGCAGCAAATTGAGGGCCGCTTTTTACGATACCCTGACCGTGGTCTAAAAGTTTTTGTTTAAACTAAAAGTATACTGTTTCATTATTTGAATTGATTCAAAAGCCGTGTAGTTGTTATGGAGAAAGAAAAAATGTATTCACATAGTATAGTTAGCTATCATAGCGAAAGTAAATTTTAACTTTTGTCCAGACCGGAGGTAAACTTACTGAAAAACATTTCAATTTCAGTCTCTGAACAAAGCCTCATTGACCATTTTGCAAGGAGAACTAGTTTATTATATAAATAAAAAAATGAAAACGTCATTTACCGTTTAGGTCGGCAAAGGGACGCTTTTAAGACCTAGTGAAATTATATTCATTTTCTGTTAATAACACATACATGTATGAAAGTTATAAACATAAAGTAAACATAGACAAAGGGAGATAAAAGTAAAGTTTTAACAGATGAAAATCAAATATAGTGATATTAAAACAAAATGTATAATCAGATAAATGTTGAATAAAGTGAAGTAAAAGTGAAATAAAGTGAGGTCACTGAGGATGAAATAAGAGCTTTCTGTTTAAAAGTAGATAATCACGGTGAACCTATATGATTCATGCAAGACCAATACGCATGCAGTTTTCCTTGTTTTTAATCCAAGCAGTTTTATATGTCTCTTATACTCGCTGTTATTAAGCTATGGCCGACGTATTGGTTGGAGACTAAATAAGAGAGCAATTTCACGTATTGGAAAGCACGAAATCATCACTGGTAGTTTTGTCGATAATTTCACTCTATATGTTCTTTTGAATGATTAGAATAACTATACAGCTATAACCAAATTTATAACATTATTTAGGTATAATCAATAAGAAATTTACCAGATTTTATTCCCAATATTGAACGTAACTACAGAATTTTCTGGTTATTTAAGTAAAATCGAAACTCATTTTCAAAATGTAACAACTGTTGTTGAGGACGAGTGTAGAGGACGAGCAAATGCTATCCGCACAAACTCTCAAAAGGCACGTGTCGTTTCTTCATCGGAGGAAAATGGTAAACAAACCTTTTTTGCCTGGAAAGTTTAAATCGTGAACTAATTAAAAGATTGGTATTTACAAAAGTCGGGATTCATCTTGGGTTGCGATCCATCGATAAAAATAAATACAAGGAGTAGTATTTATTTATGGTGTAGACTTATGGCCCAGTATAACATAGCTACATTCATGTTGGAATGTATTTGCTGTTCAAGTAAAGCAGTATGACTCAAGAAACTTGACGGATTACAAAAGCTTAAAACGCTACGAAAATTTTGCAAATGGATGGTTAGAGAGGTGCTTTTCAAACAAGTTGGAACGCAAAAACTCTTGATTTCCAAAGTAAGGCCGTAAAATCGCTTAGAATAACTTAAATCTTTCACAGGAATGGTAAAACTTGATATCGTATTGTTTAAGTTAATCATTCGCAAAGAAAATCCGATAAACAACTGACACCAGTTGTCACATCCATTGTGATTGCATTGAACGTCTGTGAAAGCTGCACACATGTGCCTCTCTTCTTTGGGCTATGGAAGATGGTGCAAAGTGACGTGATATATTTACAGTAACAGAAAAAAGGCATATTGGGTCCTACCCTCTGATGTCAATGAAATACCTTATGCTCCATATCAAGTCAATCTACCTCAAAATCCAGATCATTAACTTAAAAGTTACATAACTTTTTTGCAGCACTGAAAACATGTTCTTCAATACGTAGAATCTTTTCAATCATACCTGAAGATTCAAATGGCTATTTACCACTGATAGTTGAAATTACATTCCTTCAGGTGAAATCAACGACATGAATGGGAAAATAAATACGAATGAATAAGCCACTTGCAGGGTGACGTTATTCGAATTGCAATGAATGCTTGCTTGAGGCTTTAAGCAGGTCAAACGTCGCTACTGGTGGGTGTAGTCGGTGTAACACCCCTATTGCAAATTGAAACTAAAAACAGGTAAAATAATGTAAAAATCAGGTTAAAATCAGGTGCTAAACTATTGCAATATTGAAATAAACATAATATTTATCATCAACTTAGATAATTTGATATTAGAAAAATGTGCGGTACAATAACCAGTACGACTTTTCCTTGCTTTCCTCCAAATCAGATTATCTTACGATGTAAGTTTGTAGAGTGATCAGCGATTCCAAAGGTCAAAAAAAAATTAATACGTATTATTATACGTAACTTTAAGCTGCTGCGCACGCGTTTGTTGTCATTCACATGAATGATGGCATTTTGCTGGCATGTCACAGGTATGACAAAGCAAATTTTTTGATGCTATTTAAAGATCATGCAAAATTTACCTTTAATAATAAAATACGCAAAGAAACAATAGTTAGAGTACAACGCTAACTGTGATATGTTATACTATGCTCTAGGCTTGCTCAGTATAAAATACATAAACAATTAATACTTTGTAGAAAGTAGACACAAAGTAAACAAAACATTCAATTATTTCTATGTTTCGAGGATTACGCCTAGGTTATCTTTAGTGATAAAAGTGAATATTTCTTTCCAGAATGTATTTTTATGGGAGTATCTATGACTGCTAGACGTCATGCTTTTATTTTCAGTGAATGCACGGCTAGCCCCGTTAATTTTCCGACATCTAGGGGCTAGCTAAGGTCCGACACAGGGGAACTGACTTACTTGGCTTATTTGATCACGCGCAAACTTGTTGCTTTAAAATTATCTGTTCCTGCTTATAGGAAATCAGTAAAGCATAGCTGGTTTGGGAAATAATAATTTACATCTATAAAAGTGATCAACATGGTGTACATGAAAAAATAGACCATCTGTTAGCACATTAGACGTACGAAATGGGGAGTAAGTGAATACAACTGTCTCTTAAATATTAAAAACTTTGCAAAACCTGGGCAAAATAGTCGAGAAAATAGGGAAAATTGAGCATAAAGTTTTTATATTTCTTCATAAAACTAAATATGGCGTATAGACGTATAAATTTACAAAATGTTTTTGTAAAGTAGGAAGTTGGTATGGCAATATGTCCTTTAATTTCACTTACAAATCGGTGGATAGTAGTTTACACGACCAAATGATCATACAAAATCTGCATAGGATTAAAAATTACTACAATGGCTGTTAGATCGGTTTGAAATTCGGGCAAGTAAATCACTACTCTTTCAAAACTTAAAGCTTACGTACGCCTATGGTTGTGAAGACCGTAATCATTATTACAATTTTTAGGACAGAAATTTCACTTGTTAAATTGTTGAGTGGCATATAGAGCTGCAAATTTCTTGATTATATAAACTAAAAATTATGATGGAATAAAATATTTTAAAACAAATCGTTTATTTTTTAAAACTGAAAATATTGAAGTCATCAATTGTTTCCCAAATTCGGTGAAATGCATATCAGGAAAACAGTAAAATTTCTGGTAAATTTGAAAAAACTTCAGTTAAATATTTGCTTCACCCCCGCCCCCAAAATCGAAGGTCTTTGCGACTTCCCTGGCTATGACTGATTTAAAGCGTCAAGATCTAGTAAAAAGAAGAGATTCTTGAATAGATAATCTTTCATAAAAACTTCACCGACACATTGTAAAAATTTGGGATCATCCTGAACTGAAATAGGAAGAAATCTTGAGCAAAATTTACTGGTTGAAACTTTGTAGGACTATAACTTTGATGTCACTACACATGACTGCTTATTTGCAAAAAATCAATGAATAAAATGATGGTGATATAGAATAATAGCTGGCATTATCTGTGAAGATGGTGCACAATTGGCTGCTAACAATTGGCCATGCTTGTTTACAAAACATTATAGCTGAAGGCGTCAGCTGGTATAGCTGTTGCTTTAGGTATTTGCAGTTGAGCATCAAATAGCGAACTTGAATGATTTTACTAGAGTCATCATCAAGTTTGGGACGAAAATAGAATACCAGCTGAGGAAGATGGTGGAGGAAAAATAAGAATGAACAAAAATAATTGTTTTGAAGAAGTTGATTTCATCATGATGGTACACCCACATTCATACAATGTAGATTTACATATAAAGTCCATCAAGTTCATGCATTTGGAGAACTATGGCATTATGCATTATTAATCCACCAATCATAGGCCTTGATGCAGCTTTAATAGCATATAATTAAATTAGCAAGATGCGGGAACAGATGAAACCTACATTGCACATTCATACTATTATTACTGAAGGCGGAACACCTTTCCAAATAATTCTTACTAGAGCCAGTCTTCACTGTTTAGTGCATGAAAGCACCAACAATTCCAGAAATTAAGATACTTTTGAAGAAAGGTCATTCAATCTGTCAAGCGGCAACCAGATCAACTGGTAAGTAATAAAACTGGTAACTTTCAGTGTTTACAGATCAACACCTCTGCTATGGAATCTATGTGTCGCAGTATGTAAAGTGGAAATCAATTTAGACGAAGAACCATTTAAGTACCAAATGACAAACTCTATTCTGGCGACGACATTTCAAGAAAATGCCAAAGGTCTAGGTGCACATTATGTGCCATTGTATGAACAAACAACAAATAACTTGAGCTCAACTGATAAGGGAAATTTATCTTAATACAAATCTGCAATGCACCTACAATATTTTGTAAGGAATAGAGTCACACAAACTTCTGAATTTCAGGCAGAGGCAGGCACAAACGAGGCTCGTCAGTACACCATGACTGCAGCTAAATCAATGGCTTCCATATCATAAGTCTACCCAACTTAATGATTGATATAAATATAGGGTTCAATGAAAGTGTAAATGTTCAGGGGAGTGAGTTGTATGATGAATAAGTATTGATTATATTTATATTTGGCTTAACCTGTTGAAATAGGTATTTTGCTAATTAGCTTCATTTTTTATAGATAGTAGGTCCAGTACACAATGTTATAAAGTATGTATGATAAAAACGTAGGCATGGAGCTATTGCTACTTGTTAACAAGAAGACAATAGCTACAATTATGGTGACCTCAAGTGTTACACGATTAGCGATGTCCTCAGAATCCATGAAAAATGAAAGCCAGGACAACAAGACAAGAAATACAGATGGGATGCATATTTGAATAATATAATAACCAAGACGACGTTCAAATTGCACGACAATGGTCACACTTGGTGTTGTACCTAAAAAAACAATAAGCATGAAAACAAACGCTTCTTAGGATTATTAAGCCTCAAATTCTTAGCAATTCCTGAAAACAATCAAAAAATCAAAGTCTCTTCATTTGGCCATGCCAAAGTAGGATGATGTTATACCTTTCCCTCCTTCCTTATCTTCGTGCATCATTGTTCCAACGTAGTTAAATTGTTGAAGCTCAATGAATCGTACTTCAGTTTCTTGTTTCTTGAGAGAAAATTGAAGCAAGGTGGTCGCATAAGCATCTATACAAAATTCACAATACATTTACATAATTGTTGTCTAACTAAGATCAAGAAGATGACAAGTTCTTGTGGATGCAATCAGCAATGATGTTAGGAATAAAACTTTTGGTTATTAAAAAAAACAGAGGTCATGTTCTCTATCATAATTAGCTTGTAAGATAATGTTGGAAATAAAAGTTATGTTTATGAAAAAGTCATCGATTGTGTTTTCTTTCATAGTTAGCTCTTAAGACTCGTATCTCATCAATCAAAAGCTACGTTGGGTAGTTTTGCGTTTCATTAAAGTTTGAAAATTATTTCATCTTACTTACACGACAAAAAGTTCAGATTACAACTTTGACTGTCTATAGGGAATTTACGATGATCCATTGGACAGTTTATTTTCACCAAAGCCCTTCAATTTAATATAAAACATTATGAATATAATTGTAACAAGAATTATAGTTCAACGTAGTAGAACGGCATACAATTGACTATAGTACACTCTTCCATCACGATTAACATTCATGTTGACCCGACCAAAGTGTTGGAGTGTCTTCATATCTTTCACGTGGTTCATTCGAATATCAGGAATCCATATTTTATCAAGTAAATGCTCACGAGTCTTGATTCGCTGCAATTTCATCGAATTCCAACGCAAGCGCTGGTCGAACCATTTCTGTCTGATGATCAGTAACAGTTCCAATTCCTGAAATACGACAATATTACCGTTAAAATTAACTGACTAAATTGAATATTAGTGTACTGTTACAAGAAGTATGAAACAGTTTAATAGGGAGAAGCCATTGTTTATATGGGTCAAAAATGATTGATAGGTTTACTTGCAATAAAACATTGGGTCCAAGGGCCCATATCCATTTTCATTCTCTATCAGTTTCTGAACCTCCTTCTTATGGTATGTCTCCAGAAAGGTGGAGAGGAGGGTGAGGTGGAAAGTGGAGAGGGTTGAGAAGGAATGGGTATAAGGTAGAGAGATGAGAGGGGTTAAGGGGGTTAAGGTAGACTGGGGTGAAGAAGAGAGGGGTAAGGTAGAGAGTGGAGAGGGGTAAGATGAGAAGGGATGGATGGTGTGTTGGAAAATGATGTATGGTGTGAGTGGTGGAGAAGAGAAAGGGGATGAAGTGAGAAGTAGAGAAGAGTGAGATATAGAGTGAAGTCGGAGTGATGTGGAGAAGAGATGGAGTGTGAGGTGTAGAGTGAAGTAGGGGTCATGGAAGATGGAATAGAGTTTGAGGTTTAGAGTGAAACTTAATGATAAATTACCATGTTACTTTCATCTAAATTGAAGATGTCGGATATTATGATCTCTAGTTCAACTATCAATGGACGACCTACAAAAACAAATACAAATTCAGTTAAGGCCAGACGATACATTTATTCGATTTACATCGTTGCAAAAGCCTTTTTTCATACCTGGCATGGCTGGGATAAATTGCTTGTCATAGTCCGTTAAAATTTTGTCAAAAATCTCCCCTTGATTTTGAATGTATTCTTTAACATCGGAACTAACAGAAATAACAATGTACAAACTACATGAAGCTTTTTTTAATTTTTTCGTCATTCAATACAAGGTTTTGATCACGACTTAGAAAATAATACATTGTATCTATGCTATTAACAAAAAACTCTACTTTATAATATAATTTACTAATAAATATTCTTAAACTAAGATACTGCATGAAACATGATTTCCTTAATAATTTTTAGAAACACTGGAGATCTTCCAAAGAGAAAACCTTAGGCAAAAAGCACACATTAATAAACTGAATATGAAATCAAGCTCTTTCAAATTTTGTCACGCGAAAATTTTACTTACACATTCAGAGCTGGATGAGATGAACCAAAAGTAAAGACAAACGGGAAAAAGCACAAAAAGACAAACTGTAACATTAAACTGTGAAAAGGAAGACATGTTTACACATCCAAATGTTCGATAACGTATGACAAAACAATTTACGGCTTATCGCTCTTAAGCAGCTTTAATTTTGTTGTGTAATAATTAATATATATCATCTGCAATAATCGTTTAGTAACAAAACAGCTGTAATAAATGCTATAGGCAAAATAATGTAATTAAAGTATTAATACTTGCAAATACAATAAGGACATAAATGAAATACTCTGGAATTTATAAAGAGAGAAAAATGAATACTTATAAGTTTTTTAAAAGAAGTACAAGTTCCATTGTGTTGAGTCCATCGAGGGGTCGAATTAAAAGGAAAAGCTATCTGAATAAACGCGTGGGTCCACGACAAAAATTCGTTGCTTTTTAGGCTTCTTTAGTTTTTTCGATCACAATAATCATTACTCGGCTTCTATTGCGCTCTTACAATGAATAGAAATCGACCAAGAGTTTAGTTGACTGAGATACTTCTGCAAAATATGTTCAACTTGGAAAAAATTTGTGTTAGCAATGCGTGAAGATGTAATGATGATTAAATCAGTCATTTACTTTTAAAAACAATCAATCATCGAATATTTTACATATCACTCTCTAAATTGTAACAAAGCGTCAAAGCCAAAGGAAATTTCTATCATAAATAATTTTCTTGGCTTATTCACATATCCGTTCAATTTCTTTCAATTTCTTTCACTACTACGTTCAATTTCTTTTACTATTGAGTGTTCAATTTCTTTTACTATTAAGTGAGTTTCGAAATAAGTTTAAAAGTGACCTTAGTGACTGTTGACCACATTTTAAAACATGGCATTTTTTATACATACGAAATTGAAATTTCCACAGAAATGATGCATTTCAAATTGAAGACGGAATGTTTTATTGGACAGTATCATTTCAAAATCTTAAAAAATAGATTCATCACACTGAACGTGTTAGCATGCTTACGATACAGCATTTCTGGTCTCTAAATACGTACAGTACTGGAATTGACGGTTTAATATTAAGCAAAACTTGTTAAAATTGTTAAATAAACAATACCTTCAAACCTATATAAATTTTTCGATTTATGTACAAAATAAAATCAATAGTGTAGACATCTGTATTTGCATTTGGTATTACTTCGAAATTTAGTGCTATTGAAATTGGAAACGCATTATTAAAAATACAATATCCGTTAATGAATATCATTCGCCGTAATGAAAGACAAATGCAGTAAATAATGTTTTACGTTTTAGGGAACTCCCGAAAAACTAATTTTCTTTCAAACGTTTCTTACTTGACGAGTTAAAACATTTTTCCTGGCATAACTTCTAAATTAAGGTTTAAAACTCCCTAAAGTCCTCTGGATTTACGTTCAGTTTATATTATATTGCTTAAGAATTGAACATTTAGATGGTTCTTATGGCGAGTTAATACATAATCAATAACTTTATGTCAATATATAGCTAGGGTCGTGTATTATTGAATACATTCATGAGTCGTGTATTATTGAAATGTTTGCATTTTAGATAAGTTTAATTTCTATGAAATTGTTATGAATGGAGACAAAAATTAGCGGAAGACATCAATAATTAGTGAAGTAATGCATAACAAGAACTTTTTTGAAAAAATTAAATAGGTCGTTAGAGAAGAGGTGACATGAGCTTGACATTTTAACAATAAAAGAAAATTCTATAAATATTGTTTCATGGAGGGATTGCTTCTTCGTAATACTAATAACTTAAGTCTTTTATCTTGTTTTCAATCATTTAACTTTGCATGAATGACGTTGAGTTTTTAACTATACTATTCCAAAAATGCTCGGTAAATTCAAATGTGTGATTAAAATATAAATTGCAAAAACTAGCTACTTCAAATTAAGTCTCTATAGATACATTACTTTACTAATCTCTCATACAAGAAAATGTATTCAACCATATCTGGTAAATATTATAAAGAAAAAAATGTTTTATTGATAAAACGTTGTGTTACAATCAGCTATAACAACGACATGTATACTGAAAACTAACTCTACCCAATATATGAATAATTATGAGGCTTACAAAGTAAAATGCAAACAGCTCTCAAAAGACAAAAGAAAGAGGTATCGGATGACTCAATAAACAAGAATTTCTTCGACGAGAATGCGACATGTGGAACCAAAGCACGTAAAAGCATTTCCTCCGGGAAATCCGGCACATTTGCCGACTGAAAGACCGACAGTAAGGGGTCCTTTAGGTATTCCATCACACAAACCATCCACTACACCAGGACGATGAAGGTTGAGATCTTTGAGACCACTCGAGTAGATCACAGCGTCAATTTGTGCTGGTGATGAGCATTCTTTTCCATTGATCGTCAAATACCAACGTCCACAGCACGCACCTTGGCACGTGACAAATCTCATATCCCCTTCATATGTCAAACGAAGAGACGTACGGGCGAAGGTTTTTGTAAAATTGCAAGTCTAAATAAATTAGAGTTCATGGCATGGGCGTCAATCCTGTGATAATTGGGAGGGGACCATATTCATTATTCTGTTATGCCAGGCATATTTCTTTGAAAATGAAATTGTTTTAAAAAGAAATTAACCAGGCAAAGCAGAATATATGAATATGGTCCCATCCCCAATTAAGACAGGATTGACGCCAATAATTCATGGTGATTTGGAGTGTTGAGCAAGCATGTTGAAACATTTCAAGTTGAATCATTCAATGTCCACTAATCTCCTGAGTATGTTTTGAAAATAACTTGAACGGTGACAAAGCAATGGGGACAAACACAGTATTAAAAGGCTTTCAAAAAAAATATGAACTAAATAATAAATCGTGTATATTGAAAATGTAAGGGCCTAACTTTAACTCGTAAAAATGTTTTGTTTTATTTACAAGTTTTTGTACATGATTATTAAACGTTACAGAAGTAAAGATAGCAGCTTTGGAGGCAAACACTTACGACAGCATTTGCATGTCGTTTTATACTTTAATATGCGCACTATAATAAAAACAAATTATTATAAATGCTGCTTAGACTGTGAGGAATAAACATTTAGACCACTTGCTGCGCAAGTCATTATCGGAGCTTTACATTTGATTACAGGCTGCGGTCAACTGACTCAGTTTTGATCGAGTGTTCCTGGTGGTTTACACTATACCTGATTGCTATCGTAGTAGTACTAGAGCTCTTAACAATACATTAAAGATGTACTTCAAAGACGACATATACTGTTAAGGCAAATTATTATTTGAATAAGTAAAGAAGGCAGTGTATAGAAGCCTTTACTATACACATGCTTTGGATACATACTTCCGAGAATAATTGGTGACAAATATTTGTTTAATGATCTTAAATAAAAATTTGGAAATTTCGTTAGTTTTAGAGTCTTTTCTCCAAGGTATCCGCGAAAAAGCAACAAATTAACAGTGATTTTATACTGGAAAACATTTAAACAACATGAATAAATACGATTATGTGTGCTTTACTCTTACCATTATTTCTCCAGTATCGCGACCATCGCTTAAATTGCGGGCTGTGCACTGTTTTAGGTACCTTTTTCCGCAAATCGAATGGGCCGTGTCCTAAAAACACATGTTTTGTAAGTCAGGCTTATTACAGTTTTCAAATGTAAACTTTAAATGTGATAAATTCATCAAAAACAAAAGAATATTAGATAAATTCCCTGCTCTTTTTTCTCTTTGAAATTTGCTCAAATTAGTCTTCTAAAAAAATCTTTTAATGAAATACGTACAGCATCACCTTCAGCACCCTCTTCTCCAACTTCACCAACTTCTCCAGTAGCTTCTCCCTACACAATAAAATACAGAAACTTGTGTCATTTTAAGGCACTTTTACGCTTGCAATGAGAAGTACGCGAAGACAAAATAGTCCAATTCAATGGTTGATCTATTTTTCATATGTACTTGTCTACACTTATGGTTAATAGCAACGTGCGTATGCTTTTCGTCAAGAAAGTTGAAACAACAAGTTTGCCAACACTTACACGAGCATCCTTTGAACCTTGCACTCCCTGGCGACCTCTGTTACCAGGAAGACCCTAAAAGTAATATAAAAACAGTTGTGAATCAAGGTCAAATAAACATATGTATGTCATATAAACATATATATGTTAAATATACTATTATTTATGTAACATTCAATGGAAACTTTAAACATCTCTAGATAATTTTATTATTGCATTAAGTACGTACAGCTTCACCATCAACACCGCCTTCACCAGGGGAACCATCATCTCCAGCAGGGCCCTAGCAATGTTGTACAAGAAAAATACATTTGTAAAATAAGGTTTGATCTCCTCAATCAATAATTATTTACACGTTCTCGTCAACTTCACATAAGTCCTAGTTTTGATTTGCGACACACGCATTAGAGCAAACAAAGACAAAATAAAATACAAGAGTGCAACGAAGCGTAAGGTGAAACAATACCAAATTGCAAAAAAAATTCCTTTTGTTATTTTTTGGCAATATGCTTTTTTTCTTTCTTGGGCTATGACGTATGTTAACGTGAGTATACCACAAAAAACATTGTTGTTTAAATATAAAAGCTATGTCGACGTACGTACCCGTAGTCCGGCAGGTCCATCTGCTCCTTTAACCCCCTTTAAACCAGGTTCAACCTGATAAATTTTTAAACAATCATCAGGATAAAAATTTTGTTACTTGATCTACAGCATTAATTCACCAACGTCAAAAATTGCACATTCATATACGTAAATACGTGAACAGTTAAACACAACTATTTCAGTCTTGTCATTTCTCAACGTACAGGATCTCCAACTGGACCTGGATTACCAGGATTACCATTGTCACCTCTAGAGCCCTTGAATAAAACATAAATAGAAAATGTTATAGATGTCAAAATAAACTCTTTGACTTTACAGTAATTATTTGCTACTTCTGTATTATAATGTCATATCATAAAAAAAGATGTCTAAACAAAAGACTTTTAATCCATTATATTAACAAAAAGCCCATATAAATCTGCTTTAAAAGAAAGTTTCTGAGTACCAAATAGAAACAAATTCGTAAAGAGACATATTAAATTCAAAATGAGCTTTAAGGAATATAAATAAATGAAAACAATTTAGCATATTAGCAAAAAATAGGAACCATATATGTGAATATATAAAATGCCTATTTTATCTTATTTCCAAATGATATCTTACACAAGTAATGTATATAATAGACATACCTCACGGCCAGGTTGTCCTGGTTGGCCAACTGCACCGTGAGCTCCTGTTTCTCCAGGTGGACCATCAGGTCCCTAGAACAAATGAAAATAAGTTTATCACTCAAGACAAAAAATGTGTTGAAAATTAAATATTTCTACTCTACGCAAAGCTCATTCATTCATTAATATTTCAATAAAGTTTCAATTTAATTTAAGTCTACAATTGCCATTGAGTATATAATCTATATATATAATTAGTGGCTATACTCTGTACACAATTTTGTTTAAATTGCCAAAGAAAACCTTATGTAGCTATGAATATGGAGATCAGTATAATTCTTACAAAACAATTTATGACAAAAAAATCACAGAAGTTAATTTAATATGAATGCTTTGAGTATTGACATTGTTTGTACACATATAAAACGTATAAATTGTGTTCATTAATGTCATTTTATCATAGTAACAGCATAAAAACAAATGAATGTGAAGTTGCTATAAATTTTTGTAAATGAGTCAATTAATGCACAAAATTAACTTACACCATCTCCACTAGGACCTCGAAGTCCATTCCCTTCCTTTGGACCAGGGGTCCCTGTAAAAAAATGATATCAAAATTAATTATTGCAAATTCCTTACCAAAGCAAAAAATGGATAAACTGCTTTGTTAGTGCTTTGCTTCACAAATCAATTCAACGTCCAAAGTACAAGTCCTGCTTGGCATTTACAAGGTTTTAGGTTTTAACTATTCATTCATCAAATAAAAAGACTTCACTGAGTATAACTCTTGTCATTTTCTTCACATAAAACCATGAACTAAGACTTTTGACAAGCCCTACACACATTATGTTGATAATACCTGATCTCCCTTTTCCCCCTTTTCTCCTCGCCCTAAAATATATATCAAATTCAAAGTATAACAGGAGCAGAAATAAACAGATGGAATGGCGGCGCATGCAATTAGCTACCAGGTTACCTTGTTTATCGTGAATTTCCGAGACCGTGTTGTATGGTTGTAATTCACAATGTTATTATAATTTGAACACTCAGTAACAAAACAATAGCTTTTTAATGAAACAATAACACGGCTGTATTGTAAGTCTAGAATTGGAAGCAATAAACGTGCGCAGCATAAATCATTTATTTATACCATAAAACAGTGCCTATGAGTAGTTCAACCTATGCTAAAAAGAAAACTATGTTATGTTCAATTATTCTTTTAAAAAATGATGATCTTCAAATTTTTCTATCTTGTTTTCTACCAGCCACTAAAAAATGGAACTGAACAGGGACGCCGGAAGCAAGGGTGATCCCCCCCGACTTTTTGCAATTGCAAAACAAAAAAAGATATTTAGACTGAGCCGAAGTTAACACTTGTTGTTCAGAAGTGTCTTTAAGACACTTTAGTAGAATTGAAGACTTAGCCCCCGCACGTCATATGCTGCTCTACCGTCCTTGCTGCAGAGCTAGGGCTCTTTGGCAGGCATGAACCCATACTTTTTTATGGACAAGCAACTTATTTGTTAAAATCCATATGCTAAAACCCCCCAAGTCAATCCTCTTTGATTATAAGAAAAGCTATCTGCTCTAAAAAGTTCATTTTTTATCAATATTAATTGTTTTCTTCAACGACCATTTCATCCAAATGAAACACGTTGCGTGTAGACGTGTTTTTGAGTTCTTCAGATGTTTTGGTAGAGTATTAAAAAACTTTTCTCTTCTTATATTGCTTCTTTTCTTTGCTTTTTCCATAATAAAAGTGATGGTTTTCATGTCTCTGCTATGCTGGTCGACTCATAACCAATGCCAAATGTTTTATTGTTACTGTCAAGACTAATGTATGTCACTTTTTGTTTGCATTTTTGAGCAATAAAAAGAAAAATTCATAGACCATGTAAAAACATTTCAATATTCTACTAAAACCTCGAAAATTTAAAACGTTTGCATGAAACTTCGCGTACGGATAAAACAGAACAAAAAAAAGAAAATCGCAACCATAGAATTTAACTTTTATCCTCTATAGAACAGCAGAGTAAGATGTTTTCACGTTATCAAATCAAATAATTAACAGAGACTTTAATCCTTTCATTCAACTGAGAAAATTGTTGCAAAATTGTTACTGAGTGGAGTTATGTTTTTCGGTTTAAGTCTTTTCATTAACTTGTTGGGCACAATTATTGCTTAATCTAGCAAATTAAATGGAAAATACTTGTGTCTAAATGAAAACAAGATTGCATTGGCACCAGTGAGAGAAATATGTCGAAAAGCAGACAATGAAAAAAGCAATGATTCAAGCTATGGCAACGTTTTCTATGTCACGATGTCTATGTCAACTGTCAAGTCTTAGAAAAAAAATAAAATCAAACTTTATTTAAATGCCATCTCTATTTTGATGACATTTGAAGTACGTATGAAGTACGTATGTCAAACAATGAAAAACAATCGTGTCAAATGTTATGAAATATAACAACAATGACGGTCAAACTGTTTACTGAAAACGAGCCATAACTGGCATTTAAAGAAAAAGATTGTAAACTTTGTAAAGAATTGCGCAATATATTCTTCGCATGACTGTGAACAAGGTTGTTAGGTCAGCTGCGCTGTTTATTCATATTTGAAATTGATCATAAAACAAGGACAACGCTTGCTTTATGAGTATTGGATATTTTTTGCATAAATTAATGAATATTCTTTACTGAAAATTTATATGACTAAAAAGAAACGTGAAAAGGAAAAATGTAGTAGATATAGGTTACAGAATATGAATACGAGCATAACTCTAACAAGGACGCATTCATGATTCTTATTTGCGCAAACAAGGCGCATGGAAGCAAAAGTATGTTTTCAAAATTCATCAATTTTACATGCCAACGCAACAAAAATTAAAGACTGTATTATAAAAAAGCCAAGTGATAAAGCGACAATTTTTAAATTCTTTACAATTTCGACATAAAATGGTTCAGTTTACTAAACTTTAACAAAATTTCAAAAATGAATGAATTTCACACATATAAATTGTTGACACATATTTCTGACTTCTTATAGCACAGAAATTTCGATATTACCTAGTGCTTTCATTTATATGTTTAAATTTTCCATTAAATTACAAAATATGCTTTACTTTCGTTGTGCACTTGGCAAAAAATTCAGTCAGTAACATTCATTGTACGCAAACACGTACAATGGTAGTATTTCTTTAATGTAATGAGAAGGTTTATTACAAATATAGGCTTAAAGCATGTTATTTTTGCTTTCACTAAAATAGCATTTCGCATCTGTGAAATGTCTTAAGAGGTAAAAAGTAATCTTACAACTTGCGAGGTGGCCAAATTGATGGCAAATGCCAGCACCAATAAGGTACTTAGTATTTTCATTTCTTCAACTGGATGCCAAACTATTCCTCGATTTCTTATGAATTTTTAGGTGAATGGCGTTTAGAGGGACGACTAGCAACCAGATCGAATGCAAACGTGTGTGACTAGGGCCAAACACTGAAATCTGTTATGCAAAAGCAAGCCAGCTAATCGGTGTTTCCTATGAATGGCTGCGTTCAGACTACGTCCGACAGTCGGGGCGCTGACATGAACACGATATGAATAACAGCATTGTTCCGCCGCGCGAAAGAACCATGGTATTAAATATTATTAACAGGATCATATGTCACACTTTACGCATACTAGAAAATTTTGCCTCCAAAATACGCTACATTATCAAATGCAGCACATTGATACATTATCTAAATATAATTTAAATTGTAAAATGGGTGAGAGTATCATCGTTTTGAAACGCCCAAGTTGTAGTTGAGCCAAATGAGCCGATTATTGTCTGTGATTACAAACGACATCTGTTTAACCCTGAACATATAAAGTTACCATGACCACAGACAACTATGTTCGTGATTTACTTTCATTTGACTCAATGTATGACATTCACTGTCAAAATAATCCAGCACAAGTTACACGAAAATTAATATTTGTATTGTACGTGTGTATGATAAATTTTCCATAGTTTACGGAGACTTTTTAGAAATTGCAAAATGTTATTCAATTGAAAGGATATGATTATACTTATTAAAATCTTTGCCAGTTAGCATGAATTATACAAGTACAATCAACATGTGCTTTCTCTCACAGTAATTAGAAAGATAAAGTGGTTTCTTTATCAGAAACTCTATCTGTTTGCCTAATACTTTTCATTTGCGTTAGTTCTAAAATTGCTTGAAATTTTTAAACAAATGCAGATGGTCTCAGGATAATCCATAATGGATTAAGACGTATAAAGTTCCAATAAATCTAGATTTAAAATCTAGTAATAATTTCTATTGAAATCTCTGACAGAATATCCACGCCATTGCAAATACTGATGTGTTTGACCATTTAGTGTCTTAAAATAAACAAAATATCTGCAGAAATTAGTCTAATCACAACGATGGAGAATTTCTGTGGCAAATTATGCCTTCTAAAACATGCAGTTGCAATTTACTCAAGCAAGAAGCTCTGCTACGTCGGCAAGTGTTTTTTCACATTTATTTGTGAAAGAATTCACAAAAGACTCGTAATCCTCTAACTGTATAAACAGTATATTTACAATTGGTAAAAGATGTAAGCGAAGACGATGGAGAACAAACTATTGCTTTTACATTCACAAACAAATGATAATCACAACGACAAGATGCTGCAAAATGCAAGTTATAGGAAAGGTGTTTCGAAAGCGATAGTACTATGAAGAAAAATTTGCAACTTTACATCGTCTTATAGATAAAAGTAAAAGATTGCTGTAGGCAAAATAGAAAACTGAAAAACTACTTCTCACAGACAAATCAAAGTTTGAAGTCCTCAGTTGTATGTGCGAAGACATCGTGTTGAAAGATGGTCAAATCAATGTAAAGTCTACAATGAAACATGGTAATGGGGAAACATCCAAGTCTGCAGTTGTTTAATTTAGTTGTGACAACGTCAGGAGTCTTCGCGGAACAAAAGGAAATGTTGAAATAATCAATACTATTCTATTCTATAACATTAGAGCTCGTTTGGTCGAAAGGTTTTTTTTTTGCGTCGTTTGCAGGTTCGAATCTTGTCTCGGTAGGGTGTAGTTTGTTTCGATGTGTAGATAATGATCACGAATTCTTTATCCTAAAATTAATTAAATTTTTTGTGTCCTCACAACGAAAGCATTAGAAAAATAAACTATTGTCAGGGTTAGGGATAGTATTATGAGAAATTTGTGCAACAACGTGCATTCACTGGGCAATGTTATTGTTTCCAAGACCTGGATTAAGAGTCGGATTAAGAGATCAAGTGGCTAAAAATACTTGTAATTCATTTGCGGGAGAAATACCCATAGCTAACCCGCACAGAGTCAGCACGCCGTTGTGCTGACTAACGAGCCACCGTTTTTGCTGAAATGTTCAAGCGGTGTTGTGCGAAATTCAGCACAGATTGAGATTATTGATTGATGTTTTATCTTGTGCTTCAAAACCAACAATACTAATGAGAAGCATGGCATCTTTCACTGACCGAGTCGAAGATGCTTTTACGAGGAAAGATGGGACTTTTATGGCTCTACTCTACGGAGAGATGTTGGATTGCCTGAAAGTCAAAAGCATTGTTACCAGCGATAGTTTGTTGGATCGTCTCGGTGTTGATATTTTCCGAAATATCAATGCCGAATTTTATATACCGCAGAGTGCCAAGACAAAGAACACAAATTTGGTTGCCTTAAGGTTAGAAAACTTATGACATGTTATGCATGCATGCTTACACAAGAATATATAAGCAAATATAAATTGACTTGATGTGATGCCCGATGCATTTGTCATTTGTGGTTTATTTATGCGATTCAAAACAAAACAAATTTTCGAATTTCAATCATATGTAAAACGTTTCTATTGATTTATTTCTTGATGTGTTCAATAGTGTACTTAAGATAAGATATACAAAAATAAACTGAAGCATGATATTTGAAATTTGCATAACATTATTTCAGATCTGCTACAAATGGCAACTGCCTCTATAGTTCATTGTCAATTCTGCTTGTTGGTGACAACTTGTGGTGACTATTTTGAGGCTGATGACCTCTATAGAATTATTTTATTTGCTGATTATTATTCAAAACATCCATGTTTTTCAAATCTTTTTGAAACTCAGCATAACAAACACTTTGATTCTATCTCAAGCATGGTGGCCTTGTCAGTCTCTTCTGAAGCTTTTGATAGTGCTGGAAGTGGTTGCTCTTTTGCTAAACTGGTCAGGGTAGAAACTGTGTTAAATGCAAAAGATATGTCATGGACTGCATTTGTTTGTTTGTTGGCACTCTCTTCAGTTACATCCTGTAGCACTTTTTCTTATTATCCTGACATATACTCTGAGTGCTTATAAAGGAATTTATATTTAACCAAAGAATTGAACCTCAAATTTATCTAGGGCTTGTGCTTCCACTAGTAATTATTTGTGAGTTTTGTTTTGCTTTGAAGGTTTAGCTCCTCAAGCAACTGCATTCAAACACAATCATTATGTGCCTTTGATACTTGGTGGAAAGGGAACTAAACTAAAGGGAAGTAGTCACTTGTCACAAGCTAAAAAGCCCAGTATACAAACAAAGTTGAGGTTTACACCTTCTGGTCTTACTGAGACAACCATGACAACTAAGGCTCATCCATATGGTATATCTCACAGGTAAATTTCCCAGGTTTTGAGAACATAAAAGTATTGTTAAAGATCTTAAGTACTATTCCAGTTTTCTTGTGAGTAAGAAAGTTCAAAACACATTGAAGATTAAAGAGAACTATACAAGAAGTACTATGGCTGCTGACAGGTTAAATGGTCTTGCTTTATTGTATATTAATCAGCATTAATCCAGATATAGAAAAGTTATAGATCTTTTCAAGACAAAAGAAAAATTGACTAGCTTTCTAGTAAGGAGAATTTTTGATGCCTTTTTAAACTCTTGACTGTAAAGATGACTGCTTAACCTCAGTCAAATATAAACACATTAATCGTGTGACTTTGTTACCTGGACAATGGACATCTACAAACATTTTTGCTTTTTTGTTGGCAACTTCATTTGATAAATTGACATAAAATTGTTTGCATAATAATCAGCATATCAGGTATGACTAGACCATTATAAAATGAAATTCCATATAAAATTGATGAAGCGTAAAAATTTTTTAGGCTAAGTTTGTAATGAACCAGGCTGTCCATGTCAAAGCCCTCAAAGCATATTTTATGCAGTTTAGGCATGCTGATGAGCTCTGATATTGATTTAAACGGTCAAAACAATATTTATGAGCAACAATTTTAGTTTCCAACTGTAAAAACGCAGGAAATAGCGTTTTCTGCAATCCAATTTAAAATTTTACCGGGGATGCTGACCCCATAGAAAAGTTGAACGTAATTGTGCCTAAGCATATCATTTTTGGAATGATTTATCATATTACAAGAAATATTTGGTTGAACTAAGTGATTAAGATATAAATCTATGTATGGTAAAATGGGCCGTAAAGGGCATTGGAGTAACTTAAAGTTTGCGTATGTAATGGAGAATTAGCATCCACTCGAAAAAATGTGGAAACATTTTTAAAATCTAAACATCCTTATTGCTGTAACCTTTCCCTGAAGGACAAGTATGTGACGGAGTACCAAATGTGTCTAGTCAACTGAATGTTGTTGCAATCCCAATTCAAAGAGAAGATTGAAAGGCCTCTGGTGATATAATTCTCATTATGTAAACTTTGATAGACTTATGGCTATATGGCTAAAACACGATAATTCTACACTTCAACATTTGTGCAAGACTATATTGACTGTCAGAACTCGACGATTGATGTCGATTTTTCTTTTAAAAAAACTAGAGCTCAATTTGATGTTGGGCAAAGTTTTTAAAGGACTCCGTTAAAGCAGAAATGAACTTAAATTGCTAAAGGAAATTTTGTGCATATGATTGTTGATTTAATGAAGAGATTGCGATTTCTCAAATATTCAATTATTGATATCATGTAAATTAGCAAGATTGGGACTTAAAACACATTGTCATTTTTAATTTGAGTGCGTATGACACAGGATGCCAAGAAAAAATTATTTATATTAAGTCTGAAGGACAAAGTAACAAGGCAATTATTTAAATAGTTTTCAGGATGTGCTTTAGGGTCTAGCTAAATGTTCTAAGTTCGACAATATTGTTTTCTGTATATTGCTGTTTAATGGATACACAGATCATAAGTGGAGTTTATTGTAAGTGACATAGTTATCTTTAAATTTTAAAATATTTACATTAATGGTTGAAACAAATAAGAAAAAGAGTCTAAAGAGACATGTGGGAACGACAAAGAGAACACCAGATCAAACAGTGAATTTTGCATTAGAAATAAAGCAAGTAAAAGATTTCAGTTTCTTAGGAACAACAGTCTACGGATTGGATGATGTGAAAGGTGCATAAAGCTTAATGAAACATGTGTAGTAGGGAAAGACAATGACATGTATACTAATTACCTGGACGGGAATCTACAAATTATTATATTTTATTAAAGGCATCATGTTGCCATAACATGCAAAACGCAATACGTTCAATGGAATTTTGGATAAAATGTTACCGGAGTTGCACAAGCTCATCCTAATAATAAATTTTCTCCACTACTGATTCCAATTAAAGCGATAAAGCACTAGTTCCACCAGTAAATACATCAACAGCACAAGATAATGTTAGTTAAAACGTTGCTAAAATAATACCCTATTGGCAAAATTTGCAAAAATAGCAATACGTTGTTTTAAAATATATTAAATAAGAAACAAATTGTTCACATTTTATTTTTCACATATATAACAAAATAACAGCAATAGCTAGAATTAACTAATGTATAATCTTAATTTCTTGAAAAATCCTTTCCAACTCAGTGGCCGTTGAATAATATTTCTACATTAACAGTTCTAGCTACCATACAAAATTTACCTGTCACTTTATACCTCACATTAAATCTTTTCCTTGATCTATCCGTCAATGATTCCTTAGAGTACTTTCACAATAGATTCTCTATACAAAGTAAAGACGTAAGTACTTATTTTTCATTCTTCAGAAACACCATTCCTTTCCCACTACTTATTTTATCACCAGAAACACCATGAACAGTTCCAACTATTTATCACCTGAGCCAACACGTCCAAACATAACTTCAGCAGACTCCGTGTTATTAACGCATTGTTTTGTATTGGTTTTGCTTGATTTTGTTTCACTGTTGGAAATTTCATTTTCAAGTACTTTTCTACCTCAATCAACGAATTACAATATCTGTCATAAATATTAGAGTATTGTTTATGCACAAAATATGCAGGTACAAAGTTATAGAGAAAAATAAAAACGTCTCTAACATTGTCACAGATATTACGAGTGGCGTAACATAGGGTAGAGGAATTTGATATGCATTTGTCAAAACAAGCTTAAGAGATAAAGAGCGGGCCAAAATATATCATTGAAAATTTGCTCACGTTAAAATGTTATATCTATTTGTTGATTTGACAACAGGTTCCAGGCCAAGGCCAACAGGTTAATATAGAACTCAATGGTGGGAAAGTTTTAGGTTTGTTTTGTGATAAAAAAGTATTACAATAAAAGGAAGGGTTTATAAAACAGAAGATACAAGATCAGTGGTTATCCGTGACATCATGTTGAAATTGTGTTGCAATAAAGTATAAATGTGTATAATAGAAAAAGTCTAATAACATGGGATTAATGTATTATAATATATGCTTCCAAAGAAACTACCTCAATTTTTTATTGTAACATGTAATTATTTTCCTTTGTATGTATTATAAATTTCATTATACACTCAAAACGTGTTTGCCATAAGGTAAAAATTAGAAATTATATGTTATACATTGATTTTGATTGCAATATAGTGTGCACAATATAGTATGTATAAACAAAAGTAATCGACGTAAAACTCTTGCATACGTAAACATGCTCCACACAAAATATTTATACACATTCTCTTCAAACTATAATTTCATTTTTTTCATCAAGTACGATGTCGCACAAAATCTCTAATTTATGTGTCGGACTCTTGCTGATTTTTCTTAAAAAATAACCAGGTTATTTTGCACGTCATTCTAAACACAATTAAACAAAATTGTAAATTATAACATGCTACTGGTGCATTTTTATTAAATCGTACTATCACAGTGGTACTTTTGTGGAAAGTTTGTGAGATATCGTCATATCGATGTAAGGAAAATTTTCTATTTAAATCACATATTTATTGAACAGAAATTTTAAAACGACAGTACACTATGACTGTAAAAATTAAAGCGTGACGTGTTGCATACGACAACTTCGATTATTACATTTATTGATGTTTGAAGTTTGATGTAAATTTTAGAATTTTTGTTTCATTGGCACTTTTAGTTACTTCACTAAACAAAGACAGGGGTTTTTGATGGTGTAAAAATAGTTGCACAACTTATTTTCACTTGTGTATCTAGCCCACACAAGTTTTGTCATACTATCTAAACTTCATATCATTAGCATGATTTATTCGTAAAAAATCTATTGTTTTTACAGTGAGTGTATAACAAGATATTTCAGTATCACGACCAAACTTGCAGGCTAAAATATTTCACACCGTCCCAGTATACCAGAAAACTTTACCTGACTTTCAAATGTTGTGGGTGAATTTGTCTGCATGCCTAATCCGGAATTAGTAAAACTGCCGTTGTTGGACTTGACTGAAATAAGATAAATGAACAAAATCTTGAAAGAAATCTAATAAAAAAGTTTTATTTTCCCGCGCAATTTCGTCACCAAACTAAAGTTATCAATAAATGTTAGGAATACTTTGTTGATGAATTTTTAAATCACATCAATGTGGCGGAAATATGGATTCATCCACGTGAATCAGTTGAGTAAAGATAAGTTTGCCTTTGTTACCAGAATTCCTGTTTTTCTCCATAATGCTTTGTTTTGATGGTGGAGGTGGTAATAAACCTGTAGATAAAGGTGCAGGTTTTGGTCGAGATACAGTTGCGTAAATGTGTTCATTCTGAGCAACAGCACTTTGTTCTGACTGAGATACTTGACTATTGTTATCTATTTCAGCGAGTGGATCAAACATATTGTTGACATCATTCGACGAAACACCAGTTAAAGATTCCTTGCTTCCGTACACGCCAAGGAGATCGCCATCATTTTTATGACTTTGTGCTGCATGGGACTCGGCTGCTGACATTGCAAATGGATTGGATGCAATACTAGGGGGTAATGATCTGTGTTCCGTGGGGAACGGAGAGGGGCTTTGGATGTCAAAGGAGGATGACTCAAACACAGGTGCAGTCTTCTCGGCATATGAATCAAATGTTTGATGGTTGTTCTGAAAACATCAAACAATACTTTATGAAAAATATATGAATATATCGATAGTTTTTACATAGCTATCACAGTGTTAATCACGTGATACGTACAAAAACCATAAGTGATAAGGTTTTTGAAAGACAGCACAGAAAACTATAATTACGTAATGTGTTTGACTTATTTCATTGATGTAATGTATCAATGGCAGTTATCGCAGCCAGCGTCAAAGATTGGAGACTTGGTTAATTTTTGAATACTTCATGATCATTCAAATGAAACACAATAGCAGCCAGTATAGCAGCACTAGAATGAAACTGCCATAATACCGTTTTCACAAGACTAGTACCTACCTACACTTTTATTATTTATTTTTGAAACGCTTCTGCAGGAATAAAGAAATTCATAGCACAGGATTTTCATATTCATATCATATAAAATTCACCTCATTTACTCGAGGTTTAGCAATGGAAGCTAATGATGGTCGGGTATTCGTTGCCTGCTTTTTATTTATTTTTTCCAATTCTTCAAGTTTTTTTCTTAAGACTTCATTTTCTTTTTCTGCAGTTTCAACACGTTCTTTCATTTCATTGACATCGTTTCCTGCAACAGCCTGATTTTCTTTAAAACGTTTGTATGCCAATGTAAATGCTTGCCCAACAGCTAAGGTTGATTCTTCAGCCTATACACAATTAATAATTATTATTATTACGTAGCTAATTTCATAAATCTTAAAAGTCTAAAACTAAAAGTTAAAAGTCATTTGAATTTGAACAATTGGTCAAGTGAATTGCGCATGCCCAGATGACTTCTATAATAATTTGTTAAATTACATTTATAAATAGGATATTACTGACGAACTTGCTAACATTCAGAAGAGATGAAATTGCTACTGTCGATCTCTATGCGTTTCAAATAGACTTACATACCTATCGAAATTTAAATTCTTATTCAAATCAATCAAGAAAAGGGAAATTGGTACATGCACTTTAATTAAGACTGTAGAGCAGGGGTCTCCAAACTTTACAGCCAGAGGGCCGCATGAACTTTCATCCATCATGTTGAGGGCCAAAGAATATAAAAAATTTCCACGTTATCCTTCAGCTTTTTAAATTTCGCAGTGTGCTTGAAACGGAAGTAGGAAGTTGGGAGAAAAATTGACGTAAGCCACTCTTGCTAGTTGGCTTGCGACATAACGTGAACTTTCCGCACAAAATTTATTTTGTTTAATAATATTATTATTTTTTCTGAAGTGCCTCTGCGGGCCGGATTGAGAAGCCCAACGGGCCGCATCTGGCCTGCGGGCCGTAGTTTGGAGACCCCTGCTGTAGAGAAACAAGCACATGATTGAATTCAACAACATGAGACGGTTTTTTTTTAATTGAACAAAACAATTTCCCATTATTATATGCGGAAACTTTCGTCGGTCAAACACAGGTTTTTGTGTCTTTATTTGTTAATTTTGGGATTGTGTCCACTTGATGTGGAGGTTTCATTTACTATGAATTATAGGAGATTAAATTTCAGACTTTTTAAAGACTCTCTTAGTCTGCTTCACATATGTGTTCGACTTTATAAAACCATTTAAAAGTATCGTCAATCTTACATTTTTATCAGATTCAAGAATATAACAATGATGTTGAGATGCTTCCTTCAGCACAGTATGAGACCCTTCCAATGGAAAGTTGTACTATGTAGTCTAAAACCGACAATACAAAAAAAAGAGATACATAACTTATTTTTCAAGGCTTATGTAATACACAAAAAGAGATACATAATATATTTTTCAAGGTTTCAATACAAAACAAAGCAATACATAACTTATCTTTCATATTCATTAATGAACTACACATTCATGTGTTTTCAAATTAACCAGTTCCTTTTTTCTCTGACTGTATAGGTCAAGTGAGTAATAAAAAGTTTGACATATGGCATGTAAATAATTGTTTTTAAAACATCAAAAATGTTGTCGATTTATCAGTTAGCAGTGCATAATACATCCATGTTAATTTTTTCGAAAGATAACACGTCCCATTTCCTACATTCTTTTAATGTATAGGGCAAATTTCCTTTAAATTTCTTAAATTGATAAATTTATGACAAGCGTGGTCATGTTGCCACAAAAAGCAGGCACGGTGCCAAAGGGAGGGGCGTTGGTCCCCACTTTTCTCCAAGATAAAGTTTTTGCTAACATTCATTACTTTAGCCTAACACTTGAGGCAAAATGAGACGTAATAAATTTAGTAATTTTAAGTCGTGGCCCCTCAGGTGCAATTTTTTGGCGCCGTTCCTTAAAAGTGTCTGTTTCTCTTTTCTTGGCTGTTTTCAGTTTTAACCTTTTATCATATTTATGTGCACAAAGCCACAAAAATTCAACATAATTTTGTTATTTTGATGATGCTTTTATTCGTTTAAAGTAAACTAATTCAATGATGCAAGGAATCATATGATGTCATGATCTTATCATCAAAGAGCAATAAAGCTAGAAAAAAAAAGGTTTGGATTTCTTATATCCCATTTATATGTTTTGAGTAAGGGTGTTTAGGTCTATGGGCGGGGAATCGTTTCAGTCACTTTGTTTAATTTCATTTGATAAATTTTTTATTATTTTCTGCTTAAGTTAAGAAAATCATTTGTATTTAGACGAAACGGCTTATTTTACTTCAGTGTTACGTAAAGCAATCTTTAATTACATATTGGTATTTGGGAGTAAAAGTGCAACGTAAAGCATCCGGTCATTTACCTGAGCATCTGCGCTGAATCTCACGAGAAAAGTAAAACATTATTTCAAACATAAAGAGTTGTTCGTATTTGTTTGGATCTGTTTATCCCAAAAGTCTAATAATTCTTATTAACTAAGTATTTGTTGATTTTAAAGATTTTCATCCTTGATAAGTTGATAGTTCATAAACCGTAGAGTTTGTGATTTTAAATAAATCTCAAATATGTCAATTACATTTTCTATGTCTGAGCCACATGTTCAAACGTGCAACTTTTTCTTGATAAGTTTAAAGTTTTCTTGATTAATCTTCAATTACTTGTACATTACAAAAATTACATGAATAAAGCACGTGACCAATATTCTTTAGGAAAAACATGAACGGACCAATAGATCTGCAGCATCGTTTCCAGGACTTCCTGTTATGAGAGCAATGCCAACTAGACCTGCTTTGACGCAAATTGCCAAAATAATGTGCTCTATTTTTCTTGTCATCCCTAATTAAATTCGATCCAAAACACTGTTTCATAATAATAATCTTAACAAAATTTTATAATTTTCGTTTGTGTAGTAAACCAATAAATCTTTATAATTTTGACTCTTAATATGAATTTTTTGGTCACTGATTATACAGTTTATGTATAAAAAGTGAGAACATTACTGTGATTTCCACGTATCAGCAAGATAGCCGGTAGATCTTTTGTCATCATCTCTAACCAGCTCATGTACAACGTTAAACTGAATACATCCAAAGTGCACATTACCTGAAAATCGTTATTCAGTCCATACTTGCATTCCATCATGGAACATGTCATTCTGTCGTTAATAATTCCTGTAGCATCCCGCAATGTACAAGATCCTGACATGATCCCTAAGAGTACATAAACTACCGCAGTTAGACCAATCACAAGAAATATTCCTTTAGGAATGGCTTTTTGAGCATCTCTCAAATCTCCAGAACTATTTACACCAGCTAAGATTCCAGTGGCTGCTGGAAAAAATACAGCAAACACAGAGACAAAATTTTTGCTGCCTGTATAGGAAGGAGAGAAGTTTTCACTAAATGCTGAGGATCTGGGACCAACAAAACCTTTAGACTTAGCATTATCATTCAAAGGACCAACATCAAATCCAACTACCACGCTAAGCATTGCGTGGGCTTGGTAGCTCAACAGGTAGAGCGGCGGACTAGTATCCCGAAGGTGCGAGTTCAAATCTCGTCACATGTTTTTCATGTGCATATTAAAAACCGTGTTGGGACCATTGAGTTCTATAATAACTGGAGGGGAAAAGGAGCCTGGACCCGTGGTCAAAACATGGCGGTAATGGCGGATTTTGGTTGTCAAAACTTCCACTTTGAGAAAAATTTTTAACATTCGCTCCCTCCCGAATCCGGAACTCTATTACTGCTTATATCAATGACAACCAGCGAAAACAACCACGATACCGTAAGCTTAAAATATTGAAAATAATGCTTCAGGTTTTTGTGAAATAGACACACACATTTAAATGAGGTAAATCTACTGTAAAATAACGTATATTTTGTCAAGTAATGCTTTAGCTATGTTAGAAATAAATATCAAACGGCATTCTTTACACTGTCAATGTGTCGTTAAGCTTTAATGCATAATCCCATGCGCAATACTTGTGTTTTTGACTATTTTTTAACAGCTTTGTGCAACTGTCTTTCTTGAATAGATGGGTAAATCTTAGTTAAAATGTCCAAAAAGGAGTTAGAAAAAGTTAGCTTACCCCTACGACTTAAGTCGACTGGAAATATATTATAAGTAGGTATGTATTTTTTTTTTGTTTTTTTGGGAGGATTGATTCTGGGTGTCTTATAAGGTATTATGATATTCTGATTAATCTACTGAGAACTTATGAAGAAAATATCTTGAACTAGGAGAGCAAAAGAACGAAATTCAAAAATTCTATAATCATGTTCCTGGTTCTGTTTTGAGCCAAGATATTAGAAACTGGATTGTCATTGACAACCATGGATCTACTACTGAACAGAACTACATTAATTTCCCATTGAAAATACGATTTCTTAAATTAAAGTGCATTGGTTTCTCTGACATAACACTTTTCTTATTGCTGCATGAAGGCAAACCTGTTTAAATAATTATAATGTAGGTGAAGATATTTAGCATGTTGTATAATTGTTATTATACAGACATTATTTATAATATTATGGCCTTGTGTAATGTATGTCAAGAACTTATTAATTCTCAAAAATGCTAACCTTCTTGCACTACTTTTCTCTTGTGTCCTTACAAATTACAGTTACCTATACTAATTTTTTTCTAGGTTCAAACAACTTGACAAATTTTTGAATTTTACATTATGCCTTTGAATTTTTCTTTTTGTCTTTTGGTAAAAATATCAGTAAATGACTTAAAAATCAAGTTTATCTAAAATAGTATTTTGTACAAAGTAACTATACATAATTGGAAAAGTCTCATGTTGAAGGCAGATGTGGCTTCTTTTACTAGATTGCTACTCTTATTCTTTTAAATGATATCGTAATTCTTCAAAAGACATAAAAAGTTCTTTGTCATCAATTTTTGCTTCTTCCACATTCAACTTCGTTGCAACCAATGCATCTTATGTGAATTTTTAATCACCTGGAATTGAAAAACATATGGACTTTGTCAGATGATGCAGTGCTGTCTTTAATGTTTCATGCATGTCATGATAAGCTTTTCTTGAGCAAATATTTCAAGGTAGGAGCAAAATTTGGCACATTATTGAACAAAGTAGTTTTTATCTTTTTTTTGATGTACTAACCTGTTTACTACACTGTGTAACAAACAATTCATTCACAGAAACACCAGATGGCATTTATAAAACTTTTAGCATAAAGCAAACCTTTACACACCATCATCATGATTGTCCATAATCTGTCAAATTGTCCAGGCTAGCTGTTTAATACAGGTATTTTTTATTGTACGACATGTACCAAAGAGCTCATTAATTAATCTTGCACTGCATTTGATTTCAATACAGCTCTGTCCTTAATATTTGCTTCATATTTTCAGAAAAATATCATGAAAAAGTCTTCCATTTCAACTCAGTTGAAACAAGGAGTTTTAAGATATGCATATCTCGATAAGAACTGGTTGCTTTGCCTCGTCTAGCAAGCGATTAAGTAAAGAACAAATAAGAATGGATAAACATAACTTAAATTATAACTTAGGAGTAAAAATATTCACAAAATATATACCATCACACTTCAAGTATTGACTTAAAACAAAACACTGAACACTTTAAATGGTAAACAATCTTACGTTGCTTACCGGTATCATGAAATGTTTCCTTTTCTGGCATTACTTCAGCATCCGTCTACCAAACAAGTTTGCAGCATGTTTTAAAGATAAAATTTCTAAAAGTTTTTGTGCTTGGCATTGATATTTTATATAATCGCAATTGTGGTTGTCAAATCCGGGTGGGCGAAAAAAATTTCATTTAATGAGCCCGCGTCTTTCCGCTGACTTTGACAACCAAAATCCGCCATGTTTTTGACCACGCGGCCGCGCGCTAATAATTTATAGTAATTTGGTTGACGTTTCCCCTCCAGGTCTTATAGAACTCAATGGTTGGGACTAATATATTATGTACGTAAGTAGACAAGTGGTTATCTTCTGGGAATGGAGCAATGCTTATTGAAATACTAATGAATAAATAAAAACAATTGATATACTATATATTATATTACGATCTGGCTGCACTCATCTGGCTGGAAACATGACCGCCGTTTAAAATACCCGGATTGTAGAACTCAAAACAGGGGAGACGAACATCAAAGCTTCCGACATCGAGTGGCGCTTCTGTCAGGGTTGCCAGTTTGGCCTTTTATCGGCCAAATAACTGAAAATTGGCCTTTTTGAAACCTGTTTGGCCGGGAAAATTAAAGCTAGCCGGCCAAATCGATTTTGGCCTATTTTGGCCTTTTCAAATTTTGATGTCATGAAATTTTATTATTAATTATGTTACTCGTAATTGACTGATAATGACGTATCAGATGAGTACTGTTGTGGTTGTACCCAGTACTTATGCTCTTCCTCGGCCTGATTTGTTATTCAATATTCAGCTCTGTTGCACTTTCACATGAAAATATGTTTAATTGTGTTGCATGATACACTCATAGTTTTCTAATTAATGTTTAATGTCATTCTTGCACAAAATAACTTGTTTCCTATTTCACGAAACACGCCAGGATAAAGCAAGAGTTAAGAATTCATATCAGCCTTTTCGCGTTATATTCTTTCGCGGACCGTTGGGTTCTAGGGGAAATTAGCTCAAATACAACCTTTTCCCAGCAATTAATATCATAACTTTAATTAACAGAAAATTTGCATCTCTACTCTAGGGCAGCTCTTGGTTCTTCTGTTCACAAAGTTCTTACACTTCTGTCTCTAATATGTGTTTCCTTCTTATTATCGTAATTCTCAATCGGTAGTTCTGCTGTTCAATAGTTCAATGTTCGATTCTAGTTAATGGCGTATCACGTGCTAATTCACGTGCAGTATTTGTGAAACATATCAATATATCATATTTCATGTCCTATTTGTGCTTTGTTTGTATAACAAACATTTACTTAGTATTAACAGATGTGAAAATCAGGCTGTGATTAGAGGTGTAGAGTTGTTTGTTTGGGAACGTTCTTTTTTTCGTTATAAAATTTTCAAAATGCCAAAATGGAAATCAAGTTACGATAGCGGCCGCAAGTACAATTCCAAATGGGAAAAAGATTTTAGCTGGGTATCTGAAGCACCTAATAGTAAGGACAAAGCATATTGTAAACTTTGCCGTCGTTTGTTACAGGCTAAGCGAGATGCTCTGGTGACCCACGAAAAAAGTGATATTCATCGCTCTTTTGTATCTAGAAGTTCTTTTTCACGGCCGTTGACAACTTGCTTTCCATCAACCAGTTCAACATCAAAACGTGCCATACATGGAGTCCGAGATTATGATTGCTGTTCAGACAGCTTGCCATGGATCCATCCGGACAGTAGATCATTTTGGTGAAATATTGGCAAAATATGGCAAAAAAAGTGATTTGGAACATATTAGATTGCACCGCACCAAATGCACGAAGATCATCACCGAAGTCGTAGGTCCAACTGATACCGAATCTTTTTGGCTTCAGGTCCGACAAATGCAAAGATCTGATCTTGAAGATGCAAAGTTTGCAACTTTAGCAAACTATGCACTGTCTTGTTTGTCAGTGCCAACTAGTAATGCTATCGTTGAGCGTTTATTTAGTACTGTGACATTTATTAAGAATAAGCTTCGCAACCGAATGTCTTTTAAGACGCTGGATGCGTTGACACGAATCCGAACAACTCTCTATTTCCAGTCCAAATGTTGTAAAGATTTCACAGTGACAGAAAGAATGTTTCAGCTGTTCACAACGGAAAACATGTACCAGCTTGATAAAGAACGGAACCAAAACACAAACCGGGAGGGCAAAGAAGAGCAGGAGGTTGACTGTGAACTGTTACCGTTGTTTGATGATGTATGAATTTTATAACTTTTCAACATTCCAAGATTTGCAAGTCATTATCAACAAAAATGTAAACTGACTTATTAGACAAAAATATTTGTTAATCTTTTTTGTTATATCTTTTTAATGATATACATACTTTCATCTTTTATGTTTTTGTTTAACTGTTTGGAACGGTTGTTGAAATATAGGCTGAACTGACTTAATAGTCACTTTACAAAGTCATTGTTTTCAATATGCATTGTACATAATTTCCAAGGTTTTGTCATGAAATACAACACAGTACTCAAGCGCGCATATGTTTCAAAATGGTTTCGGTATATTTAAAAACTTAACATATATAGTTCAGTGGTAATGAGCAATTTGGCCTTTTATAATCCAGTTTGGTCGATTTTGGCGATCAGTTTGGCCGATTACGTCAAATCAGTGAACTCGACATTTGAATAACTGGAATGATAACCGAAGGCAAAAATTGAAGCTAAAAAAATATTTGTCGTCATCATTCGTCATTACACATCAGGCTCTAGTCTCTCGCGTGTTCATTTTAATTTTTTTAAATCATTTGTCCCTTGGTAATGGTAGAGTTCGGAGCTTGATCAGAGCGTAAAAATAACGAAATTTTTGGAATGAAAAGGTTCACGGAAAGTGAATCAAAGTGATAAATCGAGAAGCAAGGTGAGGTGAACTTGGTCGATCTGCTCTTACGCTGCGGTTTTCCTTTAAAACATTTAAAATATTCAATTATTGACATCGAGATGACAACCATTAAGTATTTCAAGCACTATCAAAATCGATGAAAAATACAATCGCTCTGTAAAAAGTAAAAATGCGAGTTATAGACTCAATATTTTTTATGAAACTGGATATTTAAGTTGTTTTTTTTCTTCGGAAAAACAGATCTTTTAATCCACTGAAATGACAAAAAAAGACAAACACTGTCTGACACCGTTTGAAAATTTACCTTCCGATGTATAAAAAATTTTTGCTTGAATATTTTCTCGTCATATTTTCTTATTGTATTGTCTTTTTTGCATACAGTGTAATTTTCAGTTGGCTTTTCCTCGTTACAAGTTGTAAGTTACAACGAACTCACTGTAGTAAAGTTTCAGCTGTAAAAAATAACCTTTTGCGAGGAGTTGGCCTCGTGTGTTGTTTGTCGTGATGTTGTTTATATGTTTATGCTTTCACAATTTGTATTAAAATTTGTATTGGCCGTGTATGTTTGGCACTCAGGTGACGTACAAACCGCGTAAATATTCGACTTTGAAGGACTGGAACTGACGTACAAACCGCGCAAGAGACTAGGACTTTGGCTTCAATTTTATATCTATAAAATGTATTGTCGTTATCATTCCAGATATAAAGATATATATATATATATATATATATATATGGAGTTCACTGCGTCAAATACGACCTGGCAACCCTGGCTTCTGTATGTATCTATTCCGTGCCATAAGTCTGATGATGTCTTTGGAATAAAGACGAAATATTACACCATCTTTTGTTTCAAACTCTTGTAATATCTTGAATATCAAGAAAGCGAGATGTCCCTCTTCGGAATTTGTTTTATTATGATATGAACCCTCATTCATAAAAAGAAGTTAAACAAGAGGGATGAGCTCCAACATACACCCCGTACTAATGCACCTTGCTATACACACTAAATTATAGTATGTCACAGTACAGTTGTTTATGGTATTGCATGAACATAAGATAAAAAGTGTGTTTTTAAATATTCTTGTCCTCAAAGATGTGGACGAGGTTATGGGACGTTCATCCGGCCATATGACGTCTTGCTCAATGAAATTCAAGTACACGTGCTGATGGTGGTGGTCAGGAAGACATTTTATTCAGTATTTGCTCTGTTTTTTTTTTAAAAGTTTTACGATGAGTTATATTCTGAGCGGCGGAGCCATCTCTCTGCGAGAATGTCAACACCGAAGAAGAGGAGAGTTGCGTCAGTTTATGATTATGATACTTTAGTAGAACTGTCAAACATCTCACTGCTAGTGAACAAACAAATTTATAAAGAACTCATAGATTAAAAGTTTACCAGAAAAATATAAGCTTTTACTAAAGCCTACAGGAGAAGAAGGAGTCATGTACTCGATTATTTTGGTAAGAGCGTATTTTTGCTATGTCATTTATAATGAACTAGTTGTGGCATGTATGGTAACAAAAATTCATACTTTTTGAAATTATTTCTTGGGTTTCTTGTGCCGACAAGTGGCTAGACTTTTACCAGTTTTATGTGGTTGTACTATTACTTAAATAAAATACACTTTTCTCTGTGTGTACATGGCACAGATTTGGAATATATTTTGCTGATCAATGCAAATAATGAGTTTTGATTTTGATGGTTTTTGGTTTTGTCAAATACTCATCAAATTGTGGGGTATTTACATTATTGATACAAAGGTCAACTGAAAAGGTGGAGCAAGAGGGCACTTTATTATGGCTCGCAACCTGTTAAGGGGCCCCGATTTTTAAAAAGACACTCATAAAAATTTTGACTTTCAAGATGCATTGCCTTTATCCATGCAGTCACAAATTTTTGAAGTCATGATGCCACAACAAAATTTTGCCACAACAAACTTTGCCCTGGCCTCATAATTTATTTTTGCGGCTTTGTTCATATACATCAATGAAGGATACACTGTGGAACTAAAACTGAAATGTACATCAATGAGTGGGGATACATTGTTTGACTACTATTGAAATTAAAGGCAAGTCTGACTACTTGTCATAGACAACAACCTAAAAGTTTTTAAAAAAACTTCAATTTCAAGTAGTTTAACCTTGCATATATAAAGAATCTTACTCTCAATAAAAGGTTCATTTTCAACTCAATATTTGAGACACAATTATATAAGTATATGCATTTGAATTTATTGCAAATTCATCATTTGTTGCAAATTCATGATGGATTTGCAATAAATTCGAAATTTTTCTATATGAAAACTGTTTTGTTTGTTTTTCCAATATTGAGTTGAACATGGACCTTTTATTCGGAGTATGTTGGGTTGAATAATAATTTCATCTAAAGTTTTGCATTGTAGAAATAAAAATTTGGGCTAGCTTAACCACAAGTTGTTTACCATCTTTGCATCTCACTGAGCTATTAAAGTTAATGCTTTAAATATTTGACTCTGACTCACTTTTCCTTCTATGATACACAGTCATTTAACCCTTTCCTCCATCTACATGTAAAACAAGCACCATTTCTATCCCAGATATACACACTATGCCTTTGCTTTGCATGTCCAAACCATCTTAGTGAGGGCTTCTCACCATCTAATATGTGCTGTTCTCAGATACACTCATTTCATGTTTTGTCTAGTGTAGGACAATGATGTGGGGGCTGAACTCAAGCTTTTCTTAACCACGCTAAAGAAAATTTATACCAACATCAACAAGAACCACAGCAACAACAGCCACAATACCTATAACAACATCAACAAGAACCACAGCAACAACAGCCACAATATCTATAACAACATCACCAAGAACCACAGCAACAACAGCCACAATACCCATAACAACATCAACAAGAACCACAGCAACAACATCCACAATACCTATAACAGCATCAACAAGAACCACAGCAACAACTACCACAATACCTATAACAACATCACCAAGAACCACAGCAACAACAGCCACAATACCTATAACAACATCAACAAGAACCACAGCAACAACAGCCACAATATCTATAACAACATCAACAAGAACCACAGCAACAACAGCCACAATACCTATAACAGCATCAACAAGAACCACAGCAACAACAGCCACAATACCATAACAACATCAACAAGAACCACAGCAACAACATCCACAATACCTATAACAGCATCAACAAGAACCACAGCAACAACAGCCACAATATCTATAACAACATCACAAGAACCACAGCAACAACATCCACAATACCTATAACAACATCAACAAGAACCACAGCAACAACTACCACAATACCTATAACAACATCAACAAGGACCACAGCAACAACAGCCACAATACCTAAAACAACATCAACAAGAACCACAGCAACAACAGCCACAATATCTATAACAACATCAACAAGAACCACAGCAACAACAGCCACAATATCTATAACAACATCACCAAGAACCACAGCAACAACATCCACAATACCTATAACAACATCAACAAGAACCACAGCAACAACTACCACAATACCTATAACAACATCAACAAAAATCACAGCAACAACAGCCACAATACCTATAACAACATCAACAAGAACCACAGCAACAACTACCACAATACCTATAACAACATCAACAAGAACCACAGAAACAACTACCACAATATCTATAACAACATCACCAAGAACCACAGCAACAACAGCCACAATACCTATAACAACATCAACAAGAACCACAGCAACAACAGCCACAATATCTATAACAACATCAACAAGAACCACAGCAACAACAGCCACAATACCTATAACAAAATCAACAAGAACCACAGCAACAACAGCCACAATATCTATAACAACATCAACAAGAACCACAGCAACAACAGCCACAATATCTATAACAACATCACCAAGAACCACAGCAACAACATCCACAATACCTATAACAACATCAACAAGAACCACAGCAACAACTACACAATACCTATAACAACATCAACAAAATCACAGCAACAACAGCCACAATACCTATAACAACATCAACAAGAACCACAGCAACAACTACCAAATACCTATAACAACATCAGCAAGAACCACAGCAACAACTACCACAATATCTATAACAACATCACCAAGAACCACAGCAACAACAGCCACAATACCTATAACAACATCAACAAGAACCACAGCAACAACAGCCACAATATCTATAACAACATCAACAAGAACCACAGCAACAACAGCCACAATACCTATAACAAAATCAACAAGAACCACAGCAACAACAGCCACAATACCCATAACAACATCAACAAGAACCACAGCAACAACATCCACAATACCTATAACAACATCAACAAGAACCACAGCAACAACAGCCACAATATCTATAACAACATCACCAAGAACCACAGCAACAACATCCACAATACCTATAACAACATCAACAAGAACCACAGCAACAACTACCACAATACCTATAACAACATCAACAAGGACCACAGCAACAACAGCCACAATACCTAAAACAACATCAACAAGAACCACAGCAACAACAACCAGAATACCTATAACAACATCAACAAGAACCACAGCAACAACTACCACAATACCTATAACAACATCAACAAGAACCACAGCAACAACATCCACAATACCTATAACAACATCAACAAGAACCACAGCAACAACAGCCACAATACCCATAACAACATCAACAAGAACCACAGCAACAACTACCACAATACCTATAACAACATCAACAAGGACCACAGCAACAACAGCCACAATACCTAAAACAACATCAACAAGAACCACAGCAACAACAGCCACAATACCTATAACAACATCAACAAGAACCACAGCAACAACTACCACAATACCTATAACAACATCAACAAGAACCACAGCAACAACATCCACAATACCTATAACAACATCAACAAGAACCACAGCAACAACAGCCACAATACCCATAACAACATCAACAAGAACCACAGCAACAACATCCACAATACCTATAACAACATCAACAAGAACCACAGCAACAACAGCCACAATATCTATAACAACATCACCAAGAACCACAGCAACAACATCAACAAGAACCACAGCAACAACAACCACAATACCTATAACAACATCAACAAGAACCACAGCAACAACAGCCACAATACCTATAACAACATCACCAAGAACCACAGCAACAACTAACACACAATACCTATAACAACATCAACAAGAACCACAGCAACAACAGCCACAATATCTATAACAACATCAACAAGAACCACAGCAACAACATCCACAATACCTATAACAACATCAACAAGAACCACAGCAACAACTGCCGCAATACCTATAACAACATCAACAAGAACCACAGCAACAACAGCCACAATACCTATAACAACATCAACAAGAACCACAGCAACAACATCCACAATACCTATAACAACATCACCAAGAACCACAGCAACAACTACCACAATACCTATAACAACATCAACAAGAACCACAGCAACAACAGCCACAATACCTATAACAACATCAACAAGAACCACAGCAACAACATCCACAATACCTATAACAACATCAACAAGAACCACAGCAACAACAGCCACAATACCTATAACAACATCAACAAGAACCACAGCAACAACAGCCACAATACCTATAACAACATCACCAAGAACCACAGCAACAACTACCACACAATACCTATAACAACATCAACAAGAACCACAGCAACAACTACCACAATACCTATAACAACATCAACAAGAACCACAGCAACAACATCCACAATACCTATAACAACATCAACAAGAACCACAGCAACAACTGCCGCAATACCTATAACAACATCAACAAGAACCACAGCAACAACAGCCACAATACCTATAACAACATCAAGAAGAACCACAGCAACAACAGGCACAATACCTATAACAACATCAACAAGAACCACAGCAACAACAGCTACAATACCTATAACAACATCAGCAAGAACCACAGCAACAACTGCCACAATACCTATAACTACATCAACAAGAACCACAGCAACAACAACCACAATACCTATAACAACATCAACAAGAACCACAGCAACAACAGGCACAATACCTATAACAACATCAACAAGAACCACAGCAACAACAGCCACAATACCTCTAACAACATCAACAAGAACCACAGCAACAACATCCAAATACCTACACTGGCGTCAGCAAGAGCCACAGCAACAAGAATAACTACGATACCGATACTAACATCAACAAGAACTACACCATTCACTTCCCCCAATCATTCACTTCCCCTATTAACACTTCTACCGGCATGTGATCATGATTAAGGGCCATACCATCTCTTTAGGGAACTCTTAACTTCATCTTTGCTTCATCTCTGATCATACAAGATATCACCTGTGACATAGCGCAACCGCGCTGGCGGTCCTCCGTCAATTAGCTATTGGTGACCCCCCCTATAGAAATAGGCTGCACGATTTTATTTATCAATTTATATTATCCATAAAGTAATCTATATTAATTTTGCTGAGAGTAAGCCTTCAAAGATTGCTCAACACAAAAGATATTGCTATTTCATTGACGACATACTTAAGTTTAATGATTGCATGATGTTTTATGGACCCAAAGCTCTGAGGAGAAAGAAGAAAGGGCCTCGTCACTTAAAACCCTAACTCCCTGCCCCCACCCCCCCCCCCAGGATACTCCAATTAGTTTAGTTTTTTTCACTAATAAGTGAACAGTATGGTTTATTACTCTCAGTCGTCGCCATTTTTTCTTCTCTAATCTCTTTCTCTGCCTACGCTCCTCATTCCTGGAAACACCCAATACTGTCTCCCTAGTCACATATAGTTTGAAGGTGTTATTGTTGAATGTACTTATTTGATGTTTATGCATCAAAAGACTTTTGCCTTAGAATATGATTGTAAAATAGTATTTGGTTGGAGGAGATTTTAACGTGAGAAAAAATGTAGAAAGTAGATATAAATTAGGTAGTAGAAAGTAGAAATAGGAAAGTAGTTTAGCAGTTTTAAGGTTCAAATCTCAAAAATGTTTGTTTTGAACAGTGCGATTTGATTTACGGAAGATATCGATACCATCATCGGCGATTTTGAGGTTGAGAAAGTGGAAGTTTGAGTCAAAAAAGTCGTCAAACGCAAATTTAACATTTTCAGCAAAACCATTAAATTTGGCTACGATATGAGCAAAGTCTAAATGCCGAATGAGAACCAGAGTGTTAGCAAAATGACACCCTGGCATTTCCTGGTTACTTAAAACTCGTTATCGCAAGCATCGTGTTTAGCATTGCCACTTTAACTTGTACGATATGATTCAATCAGGCTGTACTCTTTTTTTCCCCCTTAAGTCTTCTTAGTTAAACATTTCCTCTTCGGTATTAACTTTTTCTGTATACACTCTTGCACGTCCTCATCAAGTTTCCTTATCTAATTTTTTTCCAGAAGATGCACCAAGTATCTCACGACTTGTCTCATTGTTCACATTTCGTTTCCCATTCCATTCATCTGGAAGTTCATGTTCATCAACTAGAGCCTTTCTCAGCTCTTCTTTAAGGCACTCTTACCTCTTCTTTTTTCATTTTATTATCTCTGCTATCTTGCACTTCACCATTTTGTTTTGTTTGGTTAAACTCTCACCTGCCATAACTTTGCAGTCTCGAATCTTTTTCAGATTACATCGTCAACATAATATGTAATTGACCTGTGTGCTCCTACTTCCTCTTTTAAGCTGTTTTCCGGAAAAAAGTGTTCACTACAACCATTTCCGTTTTTTGGAGAAGTCTTCCTCCATCTCAATGCTAAACTTGCCAATTACTTCCTCGTCATCTCTGTTGCCTGCATCAAAACTCCATTAAAGTAAACACCAATTACTACTCTTTCACTTCTGGAAATACACCGCATTGTTTTATTTCGCTTACTTCATAATTTCTTCTTTTCTTCTAATTCACATCCGACGTTAAGATCTTCACTTTCTAACTTAAAGCACATCATTCAGTTGACGTTGCTTTCAATTTTCACCTGTGAAACAAAACTTAGCGAACTCCTCTTTCAAGAAAACGTCTACACCATTTCTGTTCTCATCATCACCGGAAACAATCAGGTTGCAGCCTGCTCCTAGTTGTCGTGGGAAGCTGCTGCGCATTTTATTGTAGACTGTATATTAGCGTTCTAAAGGTTATATTTATATATAAATGTATTTTATACATTAGTGTTCTAAAGGTTTTTGATTTTAGTAATTTTAGAGTGCAGGAAATTATACGAGGAAAGATTCACTGTTGAAATCAAAATTCAGCATAAAAAAATTTAGCGGAATAAGTCACTAAATCTATTAAACACTTGCTTGGTACGGTATTTTTACAAGAATGCCAAAGGCAAATTGAGCGTCGTTGCTTTAAAATTTCTTTTTACTTGTCTATCACTGCAGTCGAAAGATGATAGATATGCTTAAAGAAATGTGCTTATAACATATGAATCACTTCACTTGGTTAACTCAGCAAGAGTCTCTCAACATCTTCCAGTCACAACGTTGAGAGATTCATTTACAGCAAAAAGAAATGGTAAAAAAACGTCTTATGTTATTATATACTCTTGTAGACTTTGTTTTATATATAAATTCTGTCATTGAAATTTTCTTCGTCAGTAACTAGCGCATTTTAAACTGTAAAGTGAAATTCTTTTTATTGCCATTTGCTACTGGTTTCACATTAACCTTAGCTGAATAATCATGATTTTTACTTTGCTTTTCGCTGCTGATGTTATGAGGCTACCCACAAGTATGCAATGTGTACCTATTTTTTAACCTTGCTATCTTTCCACCGTGTCTCTAGGACACTCTAAATGTCTTCCTTTCTTCTTTGCATCAGAACCTCCAGCTCTTCAAGTTTTTCTACATTTGTTTCAAAGCTCATTCTCTAAGTCCAAATATTTGCTTTTCCCTTATCTTTTTGCCTATGTATAAGTTTTTTCCTCTTCTTCTTCGACCAATAGCAGTGCAGGGACGTGGCCAATGTGGAGCCCGGGTCACGCCCTACCCTGAGAAATCCTTGTCCCCTAAAATTATATATTTACTTACATCACATTGATTATAGGACAGTCGTGGCCCCAATACTTTTTAATTTTCCTCTTGACCAAAAATCCTGGTTATGCTACTGACCTGCAATAGTCCTCTTTCTCTCAGTGCCCAGTATCTTAACAGCACTGGTTGTTAACCTCATCCTCTACCGATCTGAAATACAGTCCAACCTCTCGTAAGCCGACACCATTGGAATCACGACGTGGTTATCACGAACGAACAAACTAGTGAGGCTACTCGAAAGCGGATGAAGGTTGAGTAAAAGGCCCGAAGCGTGCTACGACCTTTGAATTTGAATTGGTGAATTCTAGTTAGGTAAATGCGTTATTAATTCATCTTACTAGAGCAATAGCAATTGATGCAGCCATGGTTTTAGAGAAGTAATGTGTGTTTCCAAAAGGTGTCCGTTAGTAGAGGTTTTAGTAGAGGTTTGGCTGTAATTAGAATATTTACATTACTCGTTAATTTAGCGACGCTTTTGCTTTGCAAAGAACATTTAGAATCATTTAATACCTTCATCAGTCGAATTACTTCTTTTTGAGACATTTGACTCATTAATAATTATGCAAATATCAAAACGAGGACGTCAGGTTGCATAGTAGTTCAATTCCTATTTTTTGCATCTTCCTAGATATATTCGTCAACAAGTATCTTCATTAAAGTTCTTTACTTATCAAACGTTTCAGCCGTTCTGAAAAATCTTGCTCTACAAAATGTTATTGTGCAATATGTCATAGTGATGATGGTTAAAAAAAAGAAATTCACCAACTGAAAATGTTGATAAGTCATTTTATTATACAATGTTGGTGCAATGTCGATTGTCAATGGTCAAGAGCCTACAGTGCTAATTTCTAGCCACCTACACGACATTAACAGTTTTCCTACTGATAACCTTTTTTACTGACTTCATTTATTACGTACAATAGCGGATCTTTGTCGAGATATGCTTAGTAAGATAACATTGACCGCGGTCTGCATGATTCTTGATATCATGCTCGACCTCAATCTAATAATTGTTAATTGAGTACTTTTCCCAGTGCAGTCAGAAAACTGTGTCACACAATATCGTATCTTTAACACTTCAATAGGCGAAACTGCTCGTCATGGAGAGAATATCTCAGCCAATTTCACTTAAGATGAGATTTGATTCCCAATCTCTCTTCGCTTAAAGGGGTAGTGAAGCGTGCTCCTATTCCAAAGATGCGATCATGTCTAAGCCACATGTTTGTCGTGTGCGTATAACCTTATAACACAATTGTTTTTCAGATGTTTATCTGAAAGAACGAAAACAAGATTTTTTTAAAAAGTGGTGCTCGAGCTTAGGAATTTTCAAGCAAATGGAAAGCAGTGCTCTGTGAACGTGGTTATTTCATTTTATATATCACGTGGTATCTATGTGAAGTAATTTTTCACTTGTGCGTCCTTCACATGGGATTTCAATCCCTTGCATGAAACCCCAGTAATCGTTCTAGATATTACATAATTCAAAGGAGCAGTTCTGAAATATTTTAATTGGTCAATATCAATAGTCGTATGAGGGGTATGAGCATCTGTTATGACAATCAGATTTCTTAATGATTAGCCATACCAAGCAAATGTCTACTTGAGATCCCTCCAGACGACAAGTTTCTGTCATTCCGGTACCATGTGATTCACTGCACTTTGTTACTATAAATCCATGCCTGTTCTCTGTCAAGGCGAAATTACCCAAAGCAAGTTAAAAAAACAGAGAATAATCGAGAAGTCGACAATAATCAATGTACATGCTTGTATTTGCTCAGCATCATCCATTATTGAATTAAAAAACGATAGAAAAATCTTACCTCACGTGTTCATTTCTAAAAATTTCCGTAGAGGGTATATGTTAGCTGGCAATTACGTTTTACGTAGCCATTGAATTTAGCCATTGAATCTCGCAGTAGATACCAGAGCAGCTCGAAAAAATTAAAACTATGCAGTTGACAGTAATAATGATATTAATGCCCTCGTTACTTTTTTCGATTGTCAGTCAACTAGAATAAATCCATCGTCAATTGGAATAGATAGATAGTTATTTACCATGTTAAAAGTGTTGCAAATGTCTTGTCTTCATTCGGATTCTACATTCTAACGTAAATGGCGACGCTTCTAATATTTTCAACATTATTCGGATTTTTTAATCTGCACTGGTAATAACTGGATTTAGTCATTGCCTTTTCGGACTCAATTGTTTTTGAAAATGTTAATAAACTGCGTTTTACTTTTATAGCTACTGTACAAAAAACTCGTTGCTGTTTGGCTTCAAAATTTCACGGAAAGTGTTTCCACTAACTCAATCACGTGATTCTGTGGTACACGTTTTTTTTCACCAACATAATCATGTGACTCTGTGGCACACAGGTCTTTCTTCGTATTATTGACAACTTATAACAAATATATCAATTAGAACCATATACCTTTACGGAATCAAAGGATCTTGAAAACATTGAGACTAAATTGTGCGGCATTCTTTTGACTGCACAAGCATTACATTATTACATTTCTTCGCTTTTTTGTTTTGAAATTCCGCCCAAATTGCTTCTCTGTTACTCCGTTTGGGATTTTATGTCCCCATTATTAATGGTGCCCACTACTGTGTACTGAACTAGTTTGGGAAAATTTATTCAGTGCGCGTAGTACGAACGATCAAAAAATTTGCTCCGAATTCTTAAAGGATTTTACTTTCGATCAATTTTCTATAGAGTAGTTGTCTGTAAAGTTTCTTGGAATGCAAGATTAGTTTCAGACTCGTCGTTGTATGATAAATGTAGACCAAGTTTGGTCTAATAAAAGCATGCAAATTGAGTTCCTTTATCACATTTAAAATGGGGCCGCGACCTTTTCAAGTTTTCACGAACTGATGCTAATACTATACCAATACTCTGGCTGACTTGAACTTTCAACCTGCCCTCCCCCACCCCCCATGTAGTTACGATTTTAATTAAATAAGATGGTGATGATTAGAAAAAACATATACAGCATGAAAAACCTGTTTCTCCTCATCTGTCTCTTTTGAGAACGGTGTCTGCAACTCCATGATAATCTCAGTTGTCTGTGCAATCTGGTGCAGTCTGTCTGACCCTTAGAGAGCTTGGGGTTGGTATTTTATGACTGATAATTGCGGATACGCAATATCATAAGTTATTGTTTACAATTTTAATGAATGTGCATGGCGTTTTTATAAAGTACCGAAAGATTCATCAATTATTTTCTTCGTTAGCAATGTAAATAGTCAGCTTCTGGCTAAAAGACGCATTTCTGATAAATTTAACCAATCGAATATTATGAATACCATAAAAATAACTAGTTAAGACATATTAAGTTACTTAATTGCCTCATTGTATTGGCTCACAACTTTGCTGTTTTCCCCTCGCTGAGCTTGGCATTATCACATTTTGCAAACGTGATTCAGTGTAAAGCAGAACGACAAGAAATATAAGTATGATAACGTCATGTACAAACGTATATATTGATGAAAAAATTGATGTAATTAACTGAGACTATAATAATATATTTATCAGTGTTCATACATTATTATGATATAAATTATATAAATGTACTTTGTACGAATGGATTAACAAAACCGATGTAAGTAACGGTGGCTATGGTAACTTATATATCCATATTCATACATCACTATCAATTGAATTATATAATGTCGAATGTCTATACAAAAATGATGTAATGTAAATAATGTAAATATCCATATTTATAGATCAATGTCAATTGATTATCATAATATTGTCACACAGGAATGGATGTACAGAAAAAAATGATTAAAATAACCGTTCTTCGGCTATGGTGACTAAGTTATCCATCTTAATACATTAATGTCAATGGAGTTATATAATGTAGTCTTATACCAATGGTATGCAGAAAAAAATTTGAAAAAACGATTGCTATGGTAACTTTAATATTAATCAATGTCAATTGATGGTTTTAAAAAATTGCGACATGACGACTCTCGTTACATTATACAAAATTAAATGCTCTCAAAACGACTCTCTGAAGAACCTTAAAGTGTAACAAGTATTTTAACAATGAAGCTATTTAAAATAAACAATGTTCACCAGCATTTTGAACAATTTGGGCTTGTCGGAATGTTGGGAAAATTGTCAAAATTAACAATAGCGTTGCTTTTTTCAATCAGTTGCTCCGACGCCGCCTAATTTTTTGACTGTGTAACTATGAGTGATGTGTTGTTCTAGAACGAACAAACCAGACGTGTTTGATTCTTTTACAAACGTCCCTATCTAAACTCACTCCGCATCAAACTAGCGCACTACTGAACAACTGCTTTGAAAACGTCATCGTGCAAAAACAGTACATAGCAAAAGTCCAAGAGTAAATATTACTTAGTATGTTGAGTAGATGGAAGGCAAATTTTTGAAGCAGCATTGTTAGATTATTATAACTTCACTCCTGAGCGACATACAAAATCAATGACTAACTTCTACTCATTGTAACAATTTGATTTTACTGTTTTATACCTAAACTACAATTAAACTGTGCTGTTGGTTGCAAATGATATGAAATTTTCAATAACAGAGACTCCAGCACGTAATCATCCAGCGTTATTCCGAATGGACGACATTGGGTTACCTGTTAACCCGAAAATAAAATACTCACAAGGAATTGATCCCTTCCTAATGACTTTCGGTATCAGTCGGGAAGTATCTTTTCCAGTTCCTCCTTTTGGATTGTGTTCAGCTCCATTGGGAAAATGACAGAGAAATCCACATACAGATCACCGGGTCTTTGCCGCTCCTCGGCAGTCCTTTTCCGGTATTTGCTTCCTCGTACCATGTGACACGACATCGACAGTACTTAGTTTGAGTGATTCTCCATTAAGAAGTGGGATGTCAACGTTACAGCCCGTCAGTGCCTCGCGTAGGGTAATATCCGCCTTGTATATCAAGTTATTATCCTTGTCTCGATGGAAATTTGGATGCTGTCTTTCGCGTATGATAAAGACAATATCACCTGGAAGCAGACCAGGCTTTTTGTCCCCGGCTGAAGGAAGTACGATTTCAGTTCCGTCATGTGACCCCGGCGGGACAACCATTTTGACAATTTGTTCTTGTGTGCTGGCGATGCTGTAGTCGTCGTTGAAGGTTTTTGTCGCAATCTTCATTTTTTTTGTGCAACCGCGTGAGATTTCCTCCAAACTCACAAGCACTTCGTGAATGACTGGTGCATCTTGGTAAAGGGTTCTGTGTGATGTTGTATACTTTCGGGTATGTGTATGCTTCTCCATTTTTTCCCAATACCGATAAGTATATCGTGCGGTACTTGGTATCTTCATTTGCAAAACTGTTGAATGCAAACCTGCGAAGGTTTTTCGTCAATTGAACCAACACCTGAGCTTTTTCCTGTTCTTTGAACTAACAAAACGGGAGAACAGTTTTCTTCGTTCTGATCCGAGCTAGTAGTACCCGTATGTGGTTTTTCAGGGTGCTGATTCTTTCTATGAAATGATAAGCGATTGTTAGCTACACAAAAGTTTAAGTGGAAATCATATTATATAACGGTATGCGTTTACATCAATCGCTAGCCACATCAAGATAACAGACACGAAGATTCACATTACACAGTAGATGATAGAAGATGAATTTTATATGGATCTTGGAATGGCCTCCACAGTTTTCTGGTCTGTTTCCCATTGAGCTATCGTTGAATAACAAAAATATTAAAACGTACCAGCTCGTTTACTGTCAAGTATAACTGGACTGCAGGGATACGTGAAAAATGAATGGCAGATGTACAGTACATTCTTTCAAAAACGCTTACGCCGAATGCTGGAAATTTATGCAATAGTTGTAAAAGAAAAAGGCAAGTTTTTTAACGAAAAAGTAGAGTATTAGTTGTTTGATACTAAATTTACCATCATTTGTTGTAATTAATTTCATTATTATGTTTTGTGTGAGCACAAATGTTTGTTTATCATTCGTGTTTTCCTAATTTCTGACGGTGGCCTATTACTTTGGCCTGTTGCGTTTATATTTACTGATGTCCACGTATTTTAATATACACTTCCTTCACCTACCTTTTGCAGTTTCATTGAACATCAACAAATCATTGATATACTCTTTAGTAAATAACTAGTGTATTCATCACTATTCAACACAACAATTTATTATTGTGTAACTCAAGACTGAAGAAACGTACTTTATTATACATCAACGAGATTATGATAATTATTACAACATATCAAAGTGCTGTTCTTCGAAGAAAGTACTATAACATATCTCGTGTGGGGATTTTGGAACCTTTGGTGCTATCAAATGTTAGATGCAGTGATCTCAGCGTTGAGCAAATAAGTTCGATCTTCACACCTCAACCAATTCAGAATACTCTCTTAACAATGCTACAATAATCTCCGAAGAATATAATCGACCGATTAGAATGCTTTTAAAGTACGTTGAAATGTATTGATATCAAAGAATAATGCGTTGTAATTGATTTTATCTAATGCTGGATTAGCCACTTGATAGAACCTTCTATAACGTAAAAATAAAGTTATTTAAAATACGAAAAATCTGATTACAAAAATCTCTTATCCCGCATAGGATTATTTACGGAAAAAAGAACTACTCTTTTGCGTCATCTTGATGCTAAAAATATACTATCTACGTAGGCTGAAAGGCTGTTTCATTGACATCATGGTCACAGTAAAATTTATTTTAAAATCAGGATTAACCTTAATACGTGTGTATCTCCAAAGATTGATCAAAATACCTGCCAAAGCGTTCTCACGATAGTTAAAAAAATACAATTTGATTTCGTCCTCGACAAACTTCGATCCTTATTTGAACTTTCTCACGGGAATGATTTAAATCCACTCCTGTGTACAGCGGTCATTATTCATCGACCATTTAGAACGGTTAATCCAAATAAGTAGTGTTAAAATTCATATCATTTGTGCTGTTCAGTCATATAATCGTAAATGATCGTCTCTTTTACACGCGTTTAGTTCTTTATACTTTCACCGTAATGATAGTAGAAACCGTAATGATGTTACGAACAAAAACCAAAAACGTCATCATTCACTTGTCATATTGTTTTACGGGAAAGACGTTTAATTCGCAGACTTTTATAGAAAACTTTTATTTGAAGTATTCAAAACATCACTGCACAATTAGGAAATTCATTACCAATTTTGATTTAATTCGGAAACAGGTAAGTCCATAAGCATTTGGGATAAAACATGAATTCAATGAAATAGCCATTTTTCAATGTGCCATGAACGTTCATTTATTTGTAGCTAGCTCATTATTCTTGTAGCTGCATAGCTAATACAGCAAATCTTTTTGAAATTTTTTCTGTCGTTTATTACACGTTCTAATTGCAATTTTTTATCTGAAGGAAGCTTGAAATTAGCATAAAATTAACCCAGAACATTCTAGATGTATTTAATTAACTGTCGAACAATATTGCATGCATGAACAAGCTGCTTGGCCATAATGTGCTGACACACATTTTGTTTGTTTTTTTGGCGCATCATGCACGTTGTGTTTCTTGCATGAAATGTTCCGAATGGAAGAATAACCTGGGATGTTTTCATACTCGTGTCAGTTGATGTACTCTCATATTTTTGTTTTTCTGTTCGTCTGACTCTAACGATTGCTTGAAATTTTGACGATCAATACAACAAACTCTTATCTACTCGACTTGCCTTCGTATTCTTGAACATTTTTCCGACTTACAAAGTATGTTGTCGCCCGATTGATTTGCTAAATAGATAATATTCGGCCTTGTTATCAGGTATTAAACTTCATAGAGCGTTGCACATACACATTTTACAAAGGTGGCTAATGCTCCCTGGTACGACTATCAGTTACAAAGAGATAAAAAAGAATGGCTTGGCAAAGTTCGTTCAACTTAAAAACGCAAGCGCGCAAAAACGACACTTTCTCCACCCCGAATGCAACATACAAACGTTCTACGTTGAAGCAGGCTGAGCAGCCCTGTTTTGCATAGTGAGTTCTACGTTGAAGCAGGTTGAGCAGCCCTGTTGATTTGACATGCCAGTTTGCAACAATCGTACGATCATACAATTTCCAACACCAAAGGTAAAAAAATATGGGGAATTGTGTTTCTCCTACGGATGGTAACAAATGAGGTACAATTATCCGACATCATACACGCCTTAAGTGAAAATTATAGCACCTAGCTGCGTAGTTTAACAAAAATTAAGAAAAAGTAATTCTCTGATACGTAAATAGACTTGTGGAGGTGACCAAAGTACTAATCCTTTGATCATTTTTAGATATTTATGTTCTCATATGGAAATTGCGGTGCGATTGTGTTCTCGAAAGTTCTACTTTACCTCCAGCAGAAATTAACCCTCACAGAAATCTTGCATCAGATATTTTCGACTTCTCTTTTTGTACTTCGAATGGCTCCCGTTTACGGTAAGGTTAAACCAATTGCGATGTCTTGTTAAATGAGCTTCAGAAATCTTGTAAACCGTGACTTGTGACTTACATTAAGGGTGTTTGATGACAGGTTATAATTGGCGAACACTTACTCCTTACTCTTTTTCCAGAACTTGCCAATCCTTAGGCGAAATTTTCAAGCAAATTTAAATTTAATTGCACGTGCAAATATTTCTCTTTGTATACGTGTAAGTGCAAGCTTTAGATAATTATAAATATATGAAAGTCCAGAAAATTCGCTGGATCATTCAGGCGATGGAAAAGACCAGAAAAGTTCTTTATATAAACGTATACATATGTTAATGTTTTGACAATTTCCTACTCGTTACATGTTGACCTATGTAGTTTAAGGTACGAAAAGCCGGTCGGGTATTAACCATCCGGTAGATATATAGAATCACAAAGAATTACCTACCGTTTTAGCCGCGAAATAGTATTAAAATATATTAGATAGAGCGACCCTAGAAATGGTCAAATAGCTGTAATTCAAATCAAATGACGAGACAGACAAGGCGCAGATCTAAAGATATATCAGTCATGACTTTTCAGTAGATTCAAAGCTTTTACCGTATTGAGGGCTCGTAGCAACTTTTCCGTCGTATTTTTGGCCTCCTTGCTAATGAATCGATGTTCACGCGTCGTTATCCACAGTAAAAATAAGCAAGAACTAAGTCAAGCTCTTATGTCCAGCAGTTTCAGCTTTTTTACGTGGATTACAGTCATCATTCGACTCGCCAAAGCGATTGCGCTGATATCTTGTTTGGGTTGTGTAATTCCAATGGAACATTCTAGAACGCACAAAGTGAACTTCCGCACGATCATTCGATTGAATTTAAAACAATGAGTGATTTAATTATAGGTTAGGCACATAGAGAGACGAACTTGTGCCGACTATGCGCTTTATGAATATAAAATGCAATATCAAATTAAAATATCGCGAAATAGTAATCAAACAAGTGATATACATGTATTCGGTATAGATTGGAAAAAACTATTCGATTCGAATATTCGAACTATTCCAATAAAAAATTTTGATTGTGTAAAAAACGTTTCGATCGAGAATGTTGTTTTGCTCGTCTGTAATAAACTTTTTTTGCATGAAAGTCATCAGATGCTTGACATTAGAAATGAACGAGAATGTCGCTAAAAGCGAACGCTGCATGATTATAAGCCTGGTTTCCATATGATCGTTTCTGTCGCTAGAGTCGTTTCTGTCTGTTGAAAAAAGTCCCCTGCGGTGATCAAACGACAGAAGCGATTATTGCGATGAACTCGTTTCCATTAATCGTATATTCAAAATGGCGGCAGTCAATCGAAGAGGAAGACTTGTAGCGTGTTATTTTCTTTTGCGTGTGCTGAGAAGAAGGAGAGAGCGAAAACAAAAAAGAAAACATCGTTTTTGGGTTCGTCCCATGTTTCAAAGAAGAGAACGTCTTGGAATTTTTCATACTCTTGCTCAAGAAATGAAAGACGAAGATCGCGAATATTACTACAAGTAAACAGAAGCTTTAAGAGTTATTTATATTTGATACTTACTAATCTTGTGGTCTTACTAGACATGCTTCTCTGGCATAACCTATTTGCTTGCATAAAACTGTATTATGTTACATGAACTTTTTAGTTGCAGACTTGCAGTCGTGTAGATTGTTATAGAGTCTGAACATATTTAATGGTTTGACCTTTTGTAAATTTTAGATACACACGAATGTCTCCAGAGAGGTTTCATCATCTCCTTGAACTTGTGGGACCTCTGATAACAAAAAAGCCATGCCGTTCCAGGAAGGTCATTTCACCTCACGAGAGGCTAATGGTCACTCTGAGATATCTTGCTGAGGGAGAGGCACAGCAGAGCCAATCTTTTAATTTTCGAATGGGTAAGGCCACAGTCTCAAAGATTGTTAGAGAAACGTGTGATACGATTTGGACAGCACTCTACCAAACCTATCTGAAAATTCCCACTTCTGTGGAAGAGTGGAAGAAAATAGCAGTTGGTTTTGAGAAAGAATGGAACTTCCCTCATTGTCTTGGAGCAATAGATGGTAAACATATCATGATTGAATGTCCCAAGAATGCAGGTTCTGCATATTATAATTATAAAAATTTCCATTCCATTGTGCTTCTTGCAATTTGTGATGCAAACTATTGTTTTACTTTTGTTGACATTGGGGATTACGGAAGCACTAATGATGCAAGCATTCTGGCAAATTCAGCATTTGGACAGACATTTGACAAGGGTCCAGAAACACTAAAGATACCGAAACCTTGCAGTTACAAACATTTGCAGAAACTGCCATTTGTGCTCATTAGTCATTGACGTTTTTCCACAGAAAAGAGTTGGTTGATGAAACCATTTCTGGTAAAGACTTCATGAGAACAAAGAGTTTATAATTACAGGTTTATCAAGAGCCAGATGAACAATTGAAAATGCATTTGGAATCCTCTCCATAAAATGGAGAATTTTTGGAAGCCATTAAAGCTAATGTTGATTTAGTTGACAAAATAACCAAGGCCTCATTATGCCTTCATTAACTATCTTGACTTACAGAAAATGCTACATATACACCAGCAGGATTTATTGACAGCGAAGACAGTACATCCTTTAGAGACTGGAGAAACATTGGAAACAACAGTGGACTACATGCACTTGGTCATGTTGGTGGAAATAGATATACTGTTGAAGCAAGTGATGCACAAGATGCTTTTATACATATTTTAATAGTGCTGAGGGTTAGTTGATTGTCCACTTAGCAGTAATATGTAAGAAGCTGTGGGTCGATACAACATTAAAAAACTTTAATGGAATTTAATTGTAATTTTTTAGAAAATCTTTAGTCACATTGTTCATGTGTAAAATTATTACCACAAATTTTTAAAATAAAATTCATTTTCTTCTATATTACAACTTACAACATAACTGGTGTCTGTAGAATAAAACTGTTAGATAATGTCAACATTCATAATGCTGTAATTATAATTGGTTGATACTATAAATATAACTATAACAAAAGCAACCTTTGAAACCAAGTTTTTCTAAAATGTGTGTATCATTTAAAAATGTTCTAATGAAATCCATTATAGCGGATGAAGGTTGTTGTTAGAAGTACTGTTGCACACATATTGACTTGGATATTCAACAGCCTGACTGAATCCCATGTGCATTGGTGCTCGTCCTGCTGGAGGAAACAGTTGTTGGGGTAATGCTTCAAATTCAGCTTCAAACATCAACCGTTCAAGTTGGATTCTCACATACCCCTGCGCTCTTTCTGGCAGTTTTCTCAATCTCTTGGCGAAGCTCTTTGCAAAATGCATATATTCATCATCTTCGCTTGTATTAGGTGTAGGCTCTTGTAACAGTTTTCCGGCAATTTCAAGCATAGCCATGTCAACATCTTTGCTTTTTCCTCCTTTTTGACGATTTGATGTGGCCCATGGCCGCTTTCTCTTCGACGAAGAAGCCAATGATTGGTTTTTTGAAGGTATCTCCTCCAGATCCCCAGTGCTCGTTGATCCTGGAGTTGTGGCAGTGAAAGATTCCGGAGAATCAGTATTATGTACCTCAACATCTATTAGATTAGCATCATCTATTCTGGCAATTGAACAAGAGCTGGTGTTCATATCTTCAGTGTCAATTATCTCCTCTTCATCGCTGCTTTCATGGTTGGGCAGGTTTGATGAACTTTTCCTGTGACTGATGTGCTGTTTTAGCCACTCCAAATTAGCAAACTCCCCAGGTATGGGCACAGCGTCCCTTCCAGAGCCAGACGGAACGTTTTTCATTTTTTTAAGATAACGAACATAGCTTGTTCGTATGTTTTTATATTTCTTCTCGGCATCTAGCGAAGTTAGCCCAAATTTTTCGGCGATTTTTTCCCATGCATTCTCTCTTGTCCTTCTGTTTTTATAATATTTCGAAAATTTATTATATAAACAATCATACTTCTGTACTTCTTCCATAAATGAAGACGTAGAATTAAAGTTGATTGCCGCCATCTTTGAATACGGAATCTCGCACATGAAATTACGGATGTATCATGGGATATATCAAGTCGCTTCTGGCGTAACGATCGTTTTGCACCGGTTTCCATTAAAAAAATCCAAGCGCGTAAAAGGTGTTTCCGGTCGTTTCTGTCGCAAGGATAGAACTCTAGTCTATCTCAAACGATCGATACGCAAGGATCGTTTCTAACGTAAGGATCGCTTTTGTCGTTTGAGTTGAGCGTTTCCATATGATCGTCTCTGTCGCTTCACCACAAATTGTAAGCGACAAAGACGATCAACTGTAGAAACGATCATATGAAACGCCAGACTATGCAATAACAAGTTGTCGTGAAAGTTCTGTTGGCACTTAGCATCACCCAAATAAAAATTTATCACTGGAGTTACCAATTTAGACACAAAGAAAAGTATGTTAAGAGTGAATACAGCATTGGGATTATTGTTAGGAATGTATTATTCAAACACTTCAACTTAAACGATACAAATAACTATTTCAAAATTTTTTTCTTATGCTAAAATGCACATTCAAGACCAAATGTACCAAGCTAAAACACAGAAAAGGCTTCTTTCCTTCTCTCAATGTAATAGTACAAATTCGCTAATTATTGGCTGTAAACTCTAAATACAATAGATCTGCTAATTGGCAAATTGTTCTTCTTTGAGTTTGAAAATTACCAACGCTTTTCATATATAACTTAAATACAATGGTATGCTTTGTATAGATTGCCTTCTTCGAAAAAGGAATTGGTCGATTTCCAACTCAAACTTTCAGAGGACATTTGTATAATCACGAGTTCAGTTTATAAACATCGGCGCCCTTTAAGCGTTCTAAAAGAAAAAACTATTTGAATAATAATGGCTTGACTCATGTTGGTATCTGACTATTATTAACAACTGTTTTTATTTGTTTTGATATTTCTGCAGTGTAATAGTCACTATAATCTGTCGTAGTAAAACCGACACAATAATGCCTGTAGGGGTAATTTGTTCTCAAAGCTTTATGACAACATATGTCAAGTTGATTCTATATAAGGCTTTACATTGCATAACAATTTCTTGTGTCTGCACAGCTGTACGGTTCAGTTTTGAAAATTTCTTTGACAACGTCATTTGTTTTAGCAGTTGACAATTTATGCATGGACTGATGAAAAGTTGCGCTTTTGAAACGTCTTATGAAAATACTATTCAATGAAGATTCTTCATTGATTATTTCCACATCCGAAAAGAAGATGATCGTAATAACAAAATGCAAGCATACATTTAAGTTCTTTTCATAGTTGTACAAATTTAACAAAGATTGATTCCATGATTTCGCAAAACACTATTGCTAATGCGCATTTAATATAGACGACAACTTTTTTTAAAATAGACATGTTTCGAGCATCTCCTGATGTCATCTTCCTCATACTGAAGATGGCATCATGGATGTCAGCTTATGTCTATTAAAAACTTGTCATCTATGTTATCTTTAACAAATAAATGATTGAAAAGAAAGATGAAAAGAAAAATTAAAACAAAATATGTCAGTATTCATTACTGTGTGTTTAATATAGCTTTTGGCTTTTTGTGTTTGAAGTATTTGTTCTTGGTGATTGTTTCTTCTTGTGCGAACTGAACGCGGGCATTCATTATGTGACGGCAAAATGTTACACAAAAAGTATTTGTTTGCCAATTTGTTGTCATCGGTAACAGAAACAAAACTACTAATCAAGCCCCTACATGATGAATATTCAATTGGATTTTGTGTAAAATCTCAGTTGAATTGCGAAGTTCAAAAGTCGTTTTTGATGCCTTGTAGCTATAGTTGAAGACATAAAAGCGTCTTGCCGGAATGACTCGCAAACTGAACATAACAGTGAAGCTTTTCACGAAGTCAAACTGAAATTTTTACACTCGTATGTTTATTTTGTAAGATATGGCGGTACACATTGATGTTGCCTTTGGAAGGCCACGTAGTCTGCCAAGTTTGTGCCTCCATAATTACGCTGTCGGAGCTTAGAATGCCCACCAGTTAGAAGAAGGAAGGCGGCTCTTTGGCAAATAAAGTGGAGTTCTCACGGTTGACAGATTCGTCTCTGCTTATAGAAGGCCACGATGAATAAAATAACCTCGTTTTGTACACGTCTTTGCGACTGCACTATTCCTAGGACTACAGTTACATAGGAGAAGATTTAAATCAAAGCATGATTTATGTTCTGATAATGAAAATACGGCGATGTCACTGTGGCAGATCCTACATAAATCAAAGTAAATTTCAACCGAGCGATTACAACAGTTCAGTCGTTTTGATGTACACATTTGAAAATGACTTAAAAATACTGTTTATAAAATGTGATCGAAAAGTCAAAAATTAAATGGCATTGTTGTGAAAATATTTTGAATTGGAATTAAGATGCTATATCGTTTATTATGACAATATCTGGATCAAAGTGCGTCTGTCTGGATATCCACCGCACAAACATTGTTATTGCACAAATCAAATCTTCGGCATATACAAAGAGCTGAAAATGAATATTGCGAAGTACTACTATCCGTTATTTACAATTTTCAATAGGTATATTCAGTCAGAATTGTCTTGACTTCAGCATTACTTGTAGGCAGTTATATTCTTTACTATGAGTAGCATAACAATTGTAGCATACGAATATTTGTTCGACAGGTAGTACATTATGCAAAATGTCCAGGCTTTTATTATTGAATATTTTGTCAAGTTGGACCTTTTGTCACTCTTTCAAGATATTTAGGCACTGTTGTGGAGAAAAACATGAATTTGAGCTGCGCGACAATCATCGCCCTCATCTTTCGGCTATTTTCTTCGTTTTTCAACAAAGAGTTTGAGAATATTTAAATTAAACATACAGTTCAAATATCCGACTGTACATTTTGACAAGCGATTGTCATCTCAACAAATGTAATTCGTCTGATACCGTTCAAGAACCCAATGATCCGTTAAAGCGTTTATTGTAAATATAGGCTTGTAGCATTTCAAATTATTTTGAGATGAACTACGTAGCCTTCAACGATATAATACAATTCAGTTGCTAAGATGGTAACCACGCAACATCTTTGTGTCTTCAGATGAACGTGGGGGATTCGGTGAGAAGACTTTCGACATGCCAATGAACATATTGTGAAATCTCCTCTATGCCAAGTGGCAAACACTTTACGTACAAGCGGAGCTAAAATCAAAATGTTTTGATTTTAATGATAAAAAACTTGTCATCCGCAAGCTGTATGCTTTAACTTCGTTTGGATTGCAGAGGGTTTCTCTGTAGTCTGATTTCTCTCGTTTATCAATTTTTGAGAACTTCTTGAAAGAAACTTCACAATTTAGGAAAAGGATTTTCTGCATGGCCGTAGCAAAACGATCTTCAGACAAGAATACGAATTGATGACGCGTTTTGTGTGAGAATGTTAGTAGTGATGAACAAATAGGAAACAATATAGCGTTTGTCAGTATTGGTAATAGGTTGGGATGAATAATGTGAGAACATGAACAGTGTTCACATGAAATACATGAGTTATAGAAATAACCGTGTCTCAATGTAGGTAGTGATGAATGAGCAACAGGGAGACAGGAGTCTTTCACTCATAACATAGAAATATGATAACGTGTGTCAGTGTAGGTAGTGATGAATGAAAACAGAGAACGAGAACAATCTTACAGCGAGAAAAGTCTAAAATATAAAATAACAAAAATGGTGGAGCTTATATTGTGATGATCGAACAACAAAAGAAAGAAAACAGTCTGTCATGAGTGATAAGAATACTCTATACATATTCTAGAATATACATGAGGAACATTATCAGGCATGTGCACAGTCTATATGTCATACCAAAAGTGTACTTTTTTATAAAAATTGCTTCGAGCTGCGAACATTTGCAGGTGTGAAAATGTCTGCATTCATAATCATAAGCTATAAAATTGTAAATGAACAACGAGAGCATTTATCACGACGAATAGAAATCAGAAATGATTAAAAATATCAAATATCAAAACAAATTTTGCATGTTGGCCATGTCCGACTGAGTCGATAACAAATAATTATGACGAACGGACTCAGGACTCTCATATTTTAAATAACAGAGCCCATATTTTAAATTGCTCATCGACGGCGGCTGTTTTCAGTAGTTATTACAATATCGTTGCTAAACAAAACTGCATCATGAGACATGATGACTTATTTTAGAGTTCACCCGACGGATTGAAAGAATTCTACAAAATACCGGGTACAGTTCAGGGCTCATTCCTAATGAATAGTCTTGAAAATGAAATTGTATAGCATGTGCTTGAAATTTCAGTTAAGTGAAATTTCTATTTTGATCATCGTAATGTTGAATAAGCAAATATATTGGATATCGAAGCAAAATTCACAACTGATTTTTCATAAAAATTATAAATTGATTCGTATTTTTGTTTCAAAAACTTGCTTGCGTCGCTCGTGACGTCACGTTGCTTGCACTTTAAAATATTTATATTTTGCTTACTTTGGGCATTCACATGTGCTTTTCATGTGACATTTGAAAATTTCCTGGTTTGATTTGCTTTCGAATATGTTCATCAAAACACAATAAATGACTGATCGAGTCTAGTAGCATTTAAGATTTCTCTAGCAAAGCAGTTGAAACTTGAAATTTGCTATGCCGTATATAAGACTGGTTGCCGTTTTAACTTCCTCATACTTGGCTGGAGCGGAATCTCATGTGATGATGTGATTATGGCATGCGATGATTCCAAGTATAAATTCCTTGTATGTAAGCATCATTACATAAGCATGTTTTATAATGCGCACCATATCACAGTGCCGAATATTCGAAAATGTTTTGTGGGGCATTCACTATTCACTATTTCCAACAAAGTCGGCGGTTTCATCTAAAGTGCTCTCTTGACTTGGTCACAGATGAAAACGGAAGTCTTTCAAACATATGCTTATATACATATCCGTATCAACCTGCTTGTCTCGGCTGCAATAAAATTCGTTAACGATGAGCGATTCTATAGAGTATAGAATACCCATTTGCTATATTTATTGTTATTGGGTTATAGTCACGTGTGGACACACACAGCGTTAAGGATACACGGGTCATTGTTCAGGCAACAAAAAGCGAGAACTGACAAAAAATTCAAATATTGACAAAACTGTCTTAAAGCTTCTGCGTTTTGTGATATTTACGTGGTAATATAGGCCATGCAGGATTTTTTTGGGGCGGTTTTTTGTCGATAGCTCCAAATTGCTCGATGTTCAACGCAAAAAATGTTAAGGATGTCATTGATGTAATTTTTGCTTGATAACCTTAATTGTTAAAGTACATTCATTTTAATTGATATTGTTTTTCCTGAAATAAATTAAATGACAACCGTTCGGTTGGTTAAACAAAATAAAAGTTCATAGAGTTTTCATTTCACTTTAAAGATAGCTTCGTTGGCAATATTGTTATATAAACCTTAAAAAAGCCCTAAAAGTCGATGCTACTGAATCATTAGGACCAGTAAAGCCAATCGCTTTTAACGATATCTATACTCACACACGATTAATAGACCTTTTCAAGGTTATCGCAGCCATATTGCAGGGGGTGCAAAAACATTGGGCCGAGCGCGCGGTCACGCATGGCGTCCATATAAATTACCAATAAATGCTCAAAAATTACCCTTATACATATTGGCCATTTCTTTCAAAAATATTTCTCAAACTCGTCCATTTTATAGTCGAATTATTAGTTGCGATTTTTTACACACGTGAGTCCAATTTTGTGGTAATCAAAAAAGCGGAAAGTCAAAGAAAACATTTGTTTTCTTTGAACAACTTGACCGTCGTTTGAGCGATGTTCTTCACTTCGCAACCCACGCACATGTCTACAGCAAAGTCAGCAAGTATCGCGAGGAACTGTTCTACGGCAAACTCTTATTAGTATTTCCAATTATTTGTAAAGAGACATTGCTATTTTTATTATTATGTAAGGCGACTTAACAGCCAGAAGAAGAAACAGCCAAATATTCAAATACACACTTAAAACTGTTAGTCGATGGCAGGCCGGTGTGAAACCTTACATCATACTCTCTCGTCAACTGTTCAAATTCCAAAGGGACAGGGAGTATAGATGCCTCAGATTTTGCTGGATTTCCATCAAAACTTGAATCAGAATCCTCGGTGTCATAGGCTTGATGAGGACGCTTTGATGTCGTCCATGGTTCTCTTCCTTTACGTTTAAGCGGAGTCCTCGATTGCTCGTACACTGATAGCGTAATAAAAATCGAAGGATAATCCGTTCCGCGGTTATTTGGGGTTCTTCTTCCCAAGGGAAAATGATTTGAGCAAACGAAAGTACCTTGTGCACCAGGCTTTGGGTTAAAGTCATCGCAAAATTTCAGCAAGTGCTTGATCTTTGGGCCACTAATGAAAAACTAACTTTTCTACGCGAGACCTCTTAACTTGATAATCAGGATAGCGTTAATCATTATCGCAATATCCAACTGCACAACGCGCATTTTTTACCATTTCGGCTATGACTGCTCACATCTACTCGGATAGTTTAGGGTTTAGTTCGTTTGACTTGGCTTATGAGTTCCGCACATTTGCGAACTCGAGAGCATCGCTCAAACGACGGTCAACTTGTTCAAAGAAAACAAATGTTTTCTTTAACTTTCCGCTTGTTGATTGCCACAAAATTGGACTCACGTGTATGAAAAATCGCAAATAATAATTCGACTATTAAAATGGACGAGTTTGAGAAATATTTTGAAAGAAATGGCCAATATGTATAAGGGTAATTTTGCGCATTTATTAGTAATTTATATGGACGCTATGCGTGACCGCGCGCTCGGCCCAATGTTTTGCACCCCTGCAATATGGCTGCGATAACCTTGAAAAGGTCTATTGCTCGCAGGAGTCAACAACCTGAATAATGTTGAAAACAAATATGAATGTTAGCCGAGGCCGTTAAAATTCTCCAGCTCAGTGAGCAATTATGTAAACAAGGCCTCGCTCTAAATTACCCCACTAGAAGCGTGTGCATAAAACACGTGTGAAATATTCCAGAATGCGGCTTTCTAGAAGGCCCAAATTACACTTTCAATTCATTGCTGATAATGATTGCCTTTCTGTTCTGTTTCCGCTCATTCTTACATGGTCTTATAATTCTACCTTTCGAGTCAACTCAAACAATTCGTCTAAGCCACAAATGATTTAATTGTGGCAATTGACGTTATGTGTATAATGCCTTCTGATAAACGATCTTTCTAGTGTTTAGGAAGTACATCAAACAGCCTTAATTATAACCACTATAACCACAAAATGCCATTTTCACTTTGAATGAACTGATACGAGCAAAGATCTTTATAATTTCTTCTCTTTCTGTTTTCATTCACACACGTGCATTGTTCAAAATTGACGTATTTTCTATCACAACTTGAATTACTTGTAAATGATAAACGAAAGAATCAATAACTGTATCAAAAATGTCTTTGTGACCAGAAAACCAGAATTTAGTAAATTTTCCAAAATGGCATAAAATTTAAAGTGAAAGCAAACAGTTAACTGAGCATTTGAATCAAGAATTACTGGCAGAAAAGTTATGCTCGCGCAACGTTATAATACTCATGAAATCATAGTTATTTTAAAGACTGTTTTCATAATACATATGTGTGTAGCATAGATCCCTAATGTAAAGACATGCAGGCTAACTTTTTATTTAAACGAAATAAAACAGCGAATATAACGATAAGACCGCGTCACCGCGAGTAATGACGCATGATTTGACTAGAACTACGTACCAAATAGTCACGTCTAATTAAAATACTAAAAATTCTTATAGCCAGTCCGTATAAGAAGAGTTTATGACGTCTTTCAATTTTGGATGTCTGAAATCGTCCAGACTACAGACGCATTTAATACGTTTGCAATTTTAAAATTATCAAAATCGAGACCCCAGTCGTTTTTTCTGGATTGTTCATAAATTTCAGTTTCGCTATTATGTTCCTTCGTCGACATAAAATCGTTGCAATTTTTCATACGCTCGAAACAATCGTAATTACTGCCATACTTAGTATTTTATTACTTCGTTATACTATTATAGATGGAAGGGACGATCTGCGTGTATATATTTTATCGTTCGTCACCATCTACACCACAACACACGTCATAGTGCCCATGTTTATATTTTTGAAATCCTTATGACGTTATTATACATTTGCCCTCGGCCGTTCACCCTTTGTTCACTTTTGTAATTAGTATCAATATCGACAACTTTTATCGTATTTCTTGTACGTTTTGTGAATGTTATTGAAGTTTTCTCTATCTAATTTTCACGTTAATCATTTCTGTCGGATATCCTTTGTTTACCGCTGGCTGTCTGGTGCACCGTCTCATTGTGTTATACAAACATCGTTTGATGCCAGTCTGATAATGAATCAATTCAATATATTGCATATGCAAAGCTTTAAAAACCCTCTAGAACAAATCATATCTCTTATAAAATAAACCGAACTGTCTGTTTTTTAAACAATTCATGCTGGAATACGGTTTCACTCAGAAAAATGAAACTCTTCATTTTTTCATGCTTACTGCCATGATTTGAACAAAAAGAAGTTTCGTCGTTGTTTTGGCTGACATTGATCTTTGTCAAAACCAGTTCATTTACTTTAATATGATCAGAGCTTGTATAATTGCTAAAATCAACTTCACAATGATCCTTAAAATATTTACTTTGCTTGAAGAATCAGGATCTTGTAAATTCATGACTGCTAATCGTGCATTTACAGCAGATTTTTTCGAACGTGCTATTAAAATTAACCGTATGCCTGTGAACATTTATGGAGTTTGTTACCCCATAACAACAAAAATAATTATATTGCCAGGAAATTTTTTTAAAATTACAATAATAAGCGGACTTTTTTTTAATATTATCACATGCCATTATTGTGTTAATAAGCTGTGCAAGCAATTAAAATTCAACAAGTTATGAAATTTGCAAAGCTAATGCGCGTCATAAGGAAAACCCTCTAACAGTTGACCAGATCAAACAGTTAAAAGCAAGGAATCGTTGAGATTCAATAGATATATGCCAATTATAAGCCGTTTGTATGTTTCAGGCGTTAAGAAATTGCTTAAGCATTCTTTTCACACTGTTTTTTTAAATTTCTACTTATTTTCCGGGCAACATCTGGATAGATCTTCCAGAAAATTTCACACTGTTAAAAGAACTTGTTGATTATTCCAGATTGAACCATGTTTGATAATGCACTCGAGAAAAGCCAACATATTAAAATTCCATCACAGTGTTGTTGTTTTTCTGCGTAGAATGTCAAAATTCGATGATATGTCTACTTGGCAAGTTTTGTGGACTAACTGCGCTTCTAAAATTGCTGACCTCAGACCTTTCCGGTTCAATGTCGATGATTCTTGAACATCAGTGTTCACTTTATTAGGGAAATTGATTGACTGTGATTTCGATCTGAAACCATCGCTGATCTGAAGTATTTTCACCTGCGTCGCCATACAATAACTTCTAACAATGAGATAACTTTAAAGAAAAGAAGCCGGCATCAGTTGATGTAAGCAAATAATGTATATTTAATTTGTTATTCTGCTGCCCACGTGTTCAGTGACAAGCGAACTCTCTCAATCTGGAACGTTCCGACTTGCTCGCCTGACTTCCGCTCTCTTTGCCTTAATATGGTCAAAATGCCCATATTAGTACAACGTCATCGAGAAAATTCTTATAATCATAAAAACACACGAACGTTCGGCGGAAAATATATTTAGTTTGTGATCGCTAATGTGTTGTCGCGAGCGTTGTCATTGCGCTATCTAGTTGTTGTTAGATTGAAATTTCTTTAAATTTTATGAGTTCACGTATGTAACGCTTCTCAAATAGCAGCTTATCTTGCTAAACGACTACATGGCGAACAAGAATTTTTATGATATTTTGAACGTACGTAAGGACGCTAGCCCTGATGAAATTAAGCGGGCTTTTAGAAACCTTGCGAAGCAGTATCATCCTGATAAAAATCCAGCTCCGGACGCCAAGGAAAAATTCGCGCAGTTGAAAGAAGCTCACGATGTTCTAAGCAATCCTACGAAGCGACATGAGTACGATGAGGCGAAGAGAAGAGGTTACAATTATAGTAGCGACGACAATACGTCAATGCCAAACACGGAACACTTTCGGGATTTTTTCGAACATTTATTCCCTGGCTTTGGTAAGTGTGTTTATCGGTTAAGCTTGTATGATATATAAGTTTTGATACCGTATATATGTTGTGTAAACAACAATACCATGTGTGCTTCAGTGATAGATTTGTTTGTGGGAGTCATTTGAAGCTTTTTTGTCATGCTTAATATTGTTTCAGTGACAACCAAAAATTTGAAACGATTCTATAGTCATTCTTCGAAGGCGATCGACGCAATCGTTGATTTAGTCGAGTCAGCGATCTTACGTATTTCCTTGTCAAGCGAGTTACTAAACAGAAAATTACATGACCCTCCCGATCACATATACGTTGTGCGAATTGTTATTGGTCGATCAGTTTACACATTAGGTAGATTTGTTACATTTTGTTTTGGGATTGGTTCGATTGTGACTCAATGAAGTTCTCAATAAAATTGCGTAAAATTTCTTTTACATGATCAACAGCAAATTGTTTGTATGTATTGGGAAATCGTGTGAAAATTTTCGTGAGAAGACGTACACTTCATTATTCTAAAGTTAAAACAACGAGAAAGTTGTTAAAAACAATCAGGTTCGAGCCGTTCTCGACAGCCGAAGTCGGTTTGTTAAGTTTGCTCTCTATTTCAAATGCCATCCATTATTTTGTAAATTGCATCATGAGTAACGATTTGCATCAAGCATTATCATGTATAGTATTATGGCACAAATTAACTTGATGTCGAACTTAGTTAAAAAAATTTTTAAGTCTGATCTATTTTTGAACCCAAACACAAGTATTTCGTCGCCATTGGATGGCTCAAACTCATTTCTTTTTCCTTTGACTTTTCATTTTCACTCACGATCACAGAAATATTGTCGCTTAATTAGGCGATCAATTACTTATCAACTAGCAAGCCCGCAGAATAATCATTGCGGGACTTGTTTCCAGAATGAACGAAGCTTTATTCTTTGTATGTGTAATTGCTTTGCGCGAAACAATGTGTGCTTGACATGCTTTGTCGTTTTGGCTATACACTCTTGTTTTACCAGCCGGTGGTCGAAAAAATGCGCCGAAACATGCAACTGTTCGACGAACTTATCACAACTAGAGTGTCTGGAAACTGTTTTAATTTATAGTTGTTTCATTTGATAATTGCCTTTAAAAATATGGTGGCAATGACGATAAAGTCAAAGATGAGTAGAATGAGAAAGTCTTAAGTCATTTTGTTGTAGCTGGTGGCTTTGTTCGCGTTTGTTTGCCTTCCGTCAAAGTTCCTTCGAGTTCCTGTTTTTCAAACTATTCTCCGCACGTTTCTCTTGAATCTATTGTCGTGAAATTGTTCGGACGGAAAAGCTTTCTGTTTTTGAATTATAAGATGCAAAGAATTGCCAGATTGAGAAAAGCTCGTATACAGTGATGCCGACTTTCATAATAATTGGCGAACGTTCGAGAATTGAAAATTTAGTCACGCTGTTTAAATTGTTTATACGGTCTATTGTGCACAAAAGCACACCTGCCAATCGCATTTTTTTTATTTTATTCTAGAATATATTCAACCAACTACATTTAGGCTACATGTTTATTATACTGGATTCGCCAATCACAACATAATGAAGGGTTGTAACTGTTCATAGAGGTAGTCTTATTGTCGTCAGTCAACTAGGACCTTTGATTTTTCACATTAATAGGAATGTCGATTTGCACGTATATGTACTAAGACTTTTTTCCCCTCTTTTAGCAGATGACTTCACTAGGAGCGGAACACACGAGCGGTTCTCTGAGAATATGCGGAAGAGTAATTCTAATAGTTTCAGAGCCCGCGAACAAAGTAAAGAACAAAACTCATCGAGGAACGTAGAGTACGATAGAACAGGCTTCAGGTTTGGCCCTTCAAAACGAAAACCAGACTGGACTCAAAACAGCAGCTTTTGTTCATCATTTGACTCGGACGATGAACCGAACATATCGACAAAACGGTGCCGTTCAGAACCCAGCAAGAATTCAAACACAACTTCAAGTGGTAGCTCTTTGCCAAAAGATGCTGCTATTGAGAAACATTTAGAAGTGACTCTTGAGGATATATCAACAGGAAATTTGAGAAAACTAAAAATTAAGCGAAAGATTTTCGATGAACGTGGAAACTATACGGTGGAAGAAAAGCTTATTGAAATTACTATCAAACCCGGGTGGAAAGCCGGTACTAAGGTAACCTTTCCCGGTCTCGGAGATAAACACCCCGGGAGAGAACCAGCAGATATCACATTTATTATAAAAGACAAACAACACGCCTTATTCAGTAGAGACAGTGATAACAATTTGTTACATACGGCGAACGTTTCGTTAAAGAAGGCTTTACTGGGGGTGTCATATTGTATACAGGGGCTAAACGGTAAAAGACACGACATAAATATACGAGATATTGTTCATCCAGGCTATATCAAACGTTATACCGGGGAAGGCCTCCCGTTACCGAAGACACCCTCGAAAAGTGGAGATTTAATTGTGACTTTTAACATACAGTTTCCTTCGTATCTCTCGTGGGATCAACGGAGAGTTCTTTCTGATTGTCTACCTAATTAGCTAAATCTTTCAATCCATTAATTTTATTGTGTACTGTATAAAAAAAAATTATTTATTTGAAGCTCTGAAAAAAGAAATTATTAATAAAAATCCACAAAACTACACACGGTATTGCATTGTTCTTTGTGCGACTCTTTTCTTGTCTCTACCTACCGCCAAGTCCCAAATATATCTTGAGAATCTTATGTTCCTTGATTTCAGCTTTTTTTTAAAAGGGGAAGTTTCGAATATTGATTTGAAGAGGTCATATTTCAAATATTCTTTTTCTACTTCGCATGATTGCTTGATATTGTACTGGTGCTCTATACAGTATACATATTATTTTACATTTGCTTCCACGTATTTGTATGCCGTTACACCCGTTCGAACCATACTAATTTATCCAAATTCAAAGCACCAAAATGACAAGATGCTCAAACAGTGACCCTGATTTCCTGAACCCAGCAAAGGTTTGTCAGATTTACTGTGTGATGAACTTCGAAGTTTTCATCTACCCTATATTAGTTGATTCACATAAACCTTTTAATGCCTCAAAACTCAATTGGATAATTATAAGGACAAAAAATGTACTGTTGTAACGTTTGGATGGGTTGGTCAACCAAATATTTTATTTCAAATCATTTTATGAATAGAGTTCGAGAGATTGATCCGTGCTGCTTCACACCCAAATTTTGTCTGCAATCTACTTTAGATTAATTAATTCACTTCGATAGATGTGGTCGTTGATGTTGATTAGCAGAACTGAACGTGAAAACAAGTCGCGAAAACCCTTGCAATGAAAGTCTTAGTGCGTTCAAAATGTGAAAAACCTGTTGTTTTTGCTTTTAGTTAATTGGAAAGTTCGAGATCACTAAAAATATGCTGTGAGTCATGCACTCGTGACGAAAGTCTGGCAATGCAATTAATGAAGAGTTGTTTTTCCTGCTGGCATCGAATGAAAAAAGCAAATGAATTTGCATATTCAAATCAGCATGACATTTAACGTCAATAAATAGAATGTGATCCTACTAGCATAAGCATTATCAGGATAAGGGTTAACGGTGATAAGTAGTCGTGCTGTTTTCAGAATATTTGTAAAATACCACGAGTCTTTTGCCTTTTCCCGTGAATATTATTTAGAGCATACCATTTAACTGTACAATGTGAGCAAAGTTTGTGGGAAATTTAGTCTTCAGACAAAAAAAATGCATTGTATTTAGCAACATGTTTTCAATATAGCTGCGAATCCCGCGCATTAAAATATCTCCCTCAGACGTATATACACAGCAACAAAAATATCTTTATTTCAACAAGAATGGCTAGATGAATATCGCTGTTTAATGTAGACAATCCGATGAATACATTTCAATAATCACTCAACAATTAGCATTAATTGCGTCAGCGAAACATGTGGCTTTGCACGTCCGTGTTTAAAGCACTTCGACATCCTGTATGCCACATGTCGACACATTCCTTTCCTGTCCGCTAAAAAAATAAACTTATGACAATCACACGAAAATCCCAGTTCACCTGATGATGCAACAAAGTTGCCAAGTTCGAAATTTTTCGGGATTTCGAAGAATTGTGAAGATGTCCTGATTTTCGCAAATTTCATGTTTTAATTTTCGTACCCATCGGAGAAATGGACCAACGAACAATGTTAAGTGGAAAAATTTTTTTGCCTCTTGCGTCGATCATGTGTTCTACACAGATTGCCAACATGATTTTGATAACGTGATTACGTGAATACGATCGCCTGTATGCTTGAGATACTTGGAAGATTACAAACAACAACTCTATGTCAGCTGCGTAATTACATCTGAATTTTGGGAGGCACAACATCAAAGACCGAAGGCGTTGTTTGATGAGTCCCTCCCGCCCTCACTGTGATAATTTATTAATCTAGAACTTTTCTTTAGCACTTACTCGTGTTTCTGGTGTGAGATTTTGCACTTTTCACGAGTGAGCTTTTCACATGATGGAGGACGGGGCATGCACTGCTCTAAGTGAAACGAAGCACAATATTGCATTACATTTCTCATCTTTCTGCATCGTCTTCCTTTACTTACAAGTTCAAAATTTCGACAAACAAATTTTAAATTATACAAGCACAAACGTGATTGTCGGCTACGTTCCTTCCCCGCATTTTCAGACTTCAATTGTTGAAGATATTACGTTAAATTTGAAGTTTGAAAAATGGGGCCATATCTTGGGAGTGTGCCACTGCCATCGCACTGAAATCTATGACAACCACATCATTTTCTCTGGAGTAGCATGAACCGAACTTGTAGGGTACTCCTAACTGTCCTCACAGACACGTTGGATTTTATTGATGTTAACAAATACAAATGTACACGGCTCGTCTAACTTGTCTTAACTTTTCTCAGCAAGAGACAGACCTCCTAGTTCATGAAATCGTCCTTCTAAAGCATGACCCAGACCTGCACACGACACTTTTCGAAGTTACAATGATAGTAACATCTAGCGGCGTTTCGATGTTTTGGCTCATGTAGGCTCTTAAAAATTGTTCAACATCTGGGTCGAGACGTGCATGGTTCCAGATCTAAGTGATAGTTTTGCTATGGCTTGCTTAATTGTTCCCTTAAGTCACATTTCTCGAAAGTCGGTAAGCTTGCTCTCATCAAGCGATTATATGCAAGAAATATGTGGGAACTTGTGCAATTTGATTCCGTTTATTTGCTTGAGTCGAATTTCTAGCAGGCGTCAAACACAACATAACTTTTCTCATTTGGACGCCATGCGTTTTAAAATCAAGATAACAGTTTTGTCCTTGCTTATTGTCGGAACTTTCTTACTCTTGCTTGATTTTAACTTTCATTTTAATACCGAATCTCCTGAAAATGGTACCAAACTACAAACGCAGGATCTGGATGAGTATTCTATGTCCAAACGACGAGCAGATCATTTCCACAACAGCGGATATTTTTCAGGTTTGTGTGTACCAGGCGCGTTCTTTTCTATTCTCATTTAAAATAGTTTCAAATAATATGCATATTTAGCGTCTTTATTGCGCACATTAGATAAACACGTGTAAATTGTTATTGTTGAGCGTCTCTAAGGATCGTTCGACATTGTTGAATTTCACTAGTCTTATTTTAACTTTGGTTAGAAAGTCTGCTTGTTTTACTGAACTTCATTACAAAGCAGGGATGTGTTTAGAATAACATTAGTGACAGACTAATAACTTTACTCTCTCATGTAAGTAAATATATTTTTTACGTATAATTTAACGGGTAACAGTTTGCTGGTATGTTAATAGTTGTTTATTAATTAGCTAAATAGATTACCTGCTATTTATGCCAAAATGTTACAATATTGTTCAGACCTTATGATAATGGTAAAGTTTATAGCAAAAAATATCTCTTGAAATTGGGCTTAGCATTTTTGTGCATACAAATTTTTGTTGTATAAATTACTCAACCACCATTGTGAACAGGATGGCATAACTGATTAAAGTATGTTTCTTGAAGTATTTACACTTTTAGTATAATATAAAACAAATTCCGAAGAAGCAAGACATCTTGAGATTGCAAAATATGAATCAAAACAAGACGAGAAGTAAACTGTAAATTTTTGACTTTATTTCAAAGTCATCCTCGGACAGAATGTAAGATGAAAGTCAGACATTCTGTCTGAGGATGACTTTGAAATAAAAAATTTACAGTTGCCTTGTTTTGATTCATATTTTGCAATCTCAAGATGTCTTGCTTCTTCGGAATTTGTTTTATATTATACTTCTTTAAATTGTTGGCTGGTCATGGTTTTTACACTTTTAGCTCAAGAAAAAAATGTCCAGTTACCCAAGTTTAAACTTGAAGAGGCGTTGGTAGTCAGCCACCCATTAAAAAAAAGTTAAGAATATGTTGTAGTTATATAGTTAAACTTGGTAAATAGTTAAAAATTAGGAAGCAATGAATGGTGCCCCTTGTTTTTATTTCTCGAACTACACCTCAACCTAGGGTTTGGATTTGCTCCAGTTTATATCAGATTGTTTTTAATGGATTGAACATGTAGCAATGCTCAAAACACATTGGGGGTTGGGGTGGGGTGATATTAGAATAATTTTCCATTTAGAATCTAATTTTTGGTAAGAGGAGAAAATAGTTAAAGAATTGTAAGACACATGCAAAAGTATTTTAGAACTGTTGCACTTGATATGATATCAATGCAATTATGTACTTTGTCAATTTTCTTTTTGGATTAATGATCTAATGTCATAGTCTTCACTCTAATTATACTTTCACTTCTTTATCATTAATAGCTGATGCTGTGGATTTTTATCAGGTAATGATGGTAATTATAGTTATTGTTTCTACAAAGCAATTACAGATACGGTCTAGTTTTATTCAGTAGAAACTGCAAGCCAGGGTACGCATCAACACAGACACTGAAGTTATCTTGTCTGCTAACTTTGTCAAAATGTCAGTCAACACCAGCAATCTTTCTTAGAACTGAACTAAGCAGATTGATCTACATCTACAAACATACATTTTTATGTGTAAAATTCAGCATCCCACAAATAAGTATGTTCTTGTGAAATTGTGTCCCCACACACACACACACACACTTATAAACATTTTTCTACAGACCCTGTACTATTTTCAAAGTATTGACCTTTAAGAAGTCAACTCTTAAACATGATACAAAAATTAATATGACAAAAATATCATACTAACACTTTTGTTGGTTAGTGTTGGTACCATGCACAGTGATGATGCAAATTACTTGCAATCCAAAAACTATGTTATCACCAAAAATTTCAAGCTTAAATTTTTAATCTATTTTCAGCGAGTTGTTTATAATCGTGTCCCAAAATGTGGCAGTCGCTCCCTGCTTACTCTCTTCCGGCAGTTATCACGAAAGAATGGCTTCCACATGATGGATCCTGCTATAAACCATCCTTATCTTCTGAATGCAAAGGAGCAGGTATGTAAAGTTGCATTCATGAAAAACTGTTCATGCTATTTCAGTATTGCATTGCACTCAACCATTCTGATTGCCATCTCAATCAATTTATTTCATATTTCTTAACACCAAAATCTTGGTTTGATTTTTTGACCATAGATTTGACACCGCAGATGGCAATCTCTTACCATTCCTGGTTTTTGCTGTGATTGTAATCACTGCCTCCAACCAAATCTCTCCAAGACCCTCAAATTGAGGGTCTCATCTCATTCCAAAATATGATAAGGCATTTTCTTTGTTTTTTCTACATTTTGCATTTCATATATAAGGGTCATTCTCTTTCATTCCATTTTTCTCTTTCATTCCAATTTTCTCTTTCATTCCATGATTTTCTTTCACTCCACTTATCTCTTTCATTCCATTAAATGTCTTTCATTCCATCATTCTCTTTCATCTCATTATTCTCTTTCATTACATCATTCTCTTTTACCCAGCATTCAGTAGGTCCTGTAATGCTTTTTATTTTGATTTCTGCATCTATTCCGATACCAGAAATTACAAAATTTGTGAAACAAAAAACACGGTTTCATAACGCGACGCTCGCCAAGATTGACTCAATGATGATTTACTATAACCTCTTATCTACACACCAAGCGCGAAGTTTAACAAATAAAGTTTATTATATGGCATTTATACTTGGAGAAACAGAACTTGTATTTTATTGATTATTGAATGGCATATCTCTGAAAAGCATGGTAGCTTTACACACAGCTAATAAAACTTACTTGCCTTGTGTTATTTTTCTTCGACTCGTATTCGTACTTAGTTTCTATTTCACTTTTGGTGTTTTAAAAAACATTTGCTGTTTTCTCGAGCCACTGCTCCCTGGCGAGAAGCCTAGAAAATAATAGACCTTCAAAAATATTTCTTAGCCAATCAAAACGCGCCATTTGACCGAAAGTAACCGTTGCTCCATTAACTATAACAAAATTTACAGATTTCAATTTCAAACTCGAATTTTCAACAACAGTTCTGTAAAACGCCTATATAAAAATTTAAAACCATGACATGCGATTCAGAGAAAGAACACGCGGAAAGTGAAAGATTCTTCGAATATGCAATCATTTTAAAAATGATAATAACTTGTCACATTACCTATTTTGTTCAAGTACAAATGTTTTATGCCATACGAGAATAAACTTTTTGTTAACTTCGCTTTCTCGGTCTTTCTAGAGAGAAATACTGAACCTCTGTCTTAGTGTTATTCGCCTTACTATACAGGCTTGATCCATAAAAAAGAACTCGCCCTTGGCTGACTAGACCTAAATTTTATTGGAAAAAAATCATCTTTATGTAAAATGATCAAATTAGATGACTTTTGACGTACGAAATATCACTTTTTGTTTCACTTTCCAACATATAAATTATATTTTGAGTTTCACTAAATCCTTTTACTTTACCCTGAATCTAAAGAGAACTACGTACCGCTAAGGATATCTAAACGTTGGTTAACACTAACACCCACAGTCCTCGATCGGGACTGCAACTTAGACAATCAACTTCTACAAACATGTCTCGTGCATTTCCTTCTTTACTATTCAAAACGACACAATGAACTTAGCATGCTGTAAAATTTTAATTACTGCAGATGCAGTTCACATATAGCTTACGAACTAAGTTAGAATTTCTGAATTCAGCGTTCTGATGATTTCGAAAATTTTCTTATTATTTAGAAAAGAGTGAGCATTCTAATGTCAGCTTTGAAAGAGCCTTTTCTCTATCATCGCCATATGTACTTCATCGACTTTGAAACGTAAGTTATTTGAACGAGTATGAAAACATCAAATACATTGATCTCTTGTGAACCATCCTCACTATGACATAAGCATAAGTTAATTGATTTCAATTGAGAAAGCCAGGTGAAATACCTTTTTTTTCTAATTTAGTCCCTGTACTTAACTGTCTCTTCAGATTTAACAGTCCACCAATCGCGTATATCAACCTCATCCGGGACCCTCTGTCACGAGCTGTGTCTCATTTCTATTTTCGCCGCCATGGCGACAATGCGTTAAATCGACCTCGTGGTAAAGTCAAAAGTGACGAAACAATGGTAATACATTAGCGGTAGTGTTCTTGTATCTTGTAGCTGATGTAGCACAATAGCCACCCTGCAAGTTTTTGATGTAGCTATTTACATTTCATAGCATTGTCATTATTCATTTCTTTAGATATCTGTTCTTTTCATAATGGCTGGTCCCAGAAAATTAACATAGCAGTGTTACATTAGTTGGCTGCCTACACCAATAGTATCTAGTTCTCTGGCGTAGCCAGCCTGCGTATGTAGTCCTGCTATGTGTTCAATTACTGTGAAAACAAAAGATTTCTAAAGAAATGAATAGTGATAATGCTCTGAAATTTACATAGCATAGCAAGACCAAAACTTGGGGGCTGGCTACTCCACTGATCCAGTGGCGGTATCTTGTGACTGCTGTTTCAAAATCGAAGAATTTTGTAGTAATATTAATAGTGTTAAAATGAATAGTTTCACAAGGAATAATCGTGACATGTTTGTAGATGTAGATCGTCTGGGTTTGTTGAGTCCTGAGAAGGACAGTTGGTGTTGATTTCACTGATGTTTCGACAACCTTAGAGGTAGTCATCTTCAGAGTCAACTCCACTCCTCACTTCATTGAATGTAAGAATTGACTATTGCACATATACGTAGTACAAAAAATGAAAACATTTGCCAACTTTTCAGAGTGAAAGTTACTACGTATAAATGGTTATAAGTACTTGTTTTTAAGATCCGTACAGTGGAAAATATTTTTCCTAAATCCATTTTATTATCAGTTGCATCCAACTTTCCCTCCGATAGATTTGCATATTTTCTTCATTTCTGGACTTTTTTTCGTGTAGTTATTAACCCTTTTCACATTCTTCAATCTTTTTCCAGACTTTTGACGAGTGCGTTAAAAGACGAATGTACGAATGCGTCGGTAAATGGGGTGTATTCTTTACCGTACCATTCTTTTGTGGAAACACTCTGAACTGCAGGTATGTTGTGTTTCAATTAGAATCTGTAACAGCGGAAAGGGGGGGGGAGGGGTTAAGACGTCCCTGATTAAAGTGAGGTAAGCCGTAAGACCAAATTATGACTTCATAGACGATCAAGATATTGACCATTTTATAACTTAGGACTGTCAATACGTCTGGACAGATCATATGTCCATGCAACTATGTAAATTGTCAAGCATAAAGACGGGTCGATTTAACACAAAACTAAGCGGGATAATAAATTGATCTAGACTTGTTGACAACTAAACGCTAAAATCGTTGTTGAGCGTCTTTATCCTTCCGACGAATTCACGAAAAATTCGTCGTAAGTCGTCCAGACGTATTATCCATCTTAAGCATATCACCATTTTTAGTGAAAGAATTTACTCGTAACTTTATGTGAAATAATTATCGTATTAATTATTTGTCAAACTATGAAATCCTTTCAAAAATTTTCCCCGATTTACCTTGTCCTCTGTGAAGGATTCGTTATTAGAAAGAATAAATTATAGCTGCTCGTTCTTGAATGCACGTATTTAAAAAGGCAACTCGATTTGTAACTATTCAATCGTTATGCAGGAATTCTTTACGAATATACCATTATTATGAAAAGGTTTTGTATTTAAAATGGAGCTGAAACATTTCACTCTGCGAGAAATGATGTACGTGAATTAAGTCAGTGGACTTATTTCTCTGCGCTCTTGTTCAGATTGCCAACGCGCTGGGCACTTGAAAAGAAGAAAAATGTCGAGAAATATGTTGTCGTTGGCATTTTGGAAGAATATGACGATTTTGTTAAAGTTCTAGAGAAACTGCTGCCCAACTTTTTTCGAGAAGCCTACCAACTTTTCAAAACACCAGGTAAACGATATTAGTTTTGAGAAACTCTACATTTCATTGTTTTATTTGTGAAGGAACTTTATTTTGTATAAGGTGATCAACGAACGGCAGAATATATTTAATCAACCAATATATTATACTACATAAAAGATATACAACGTCTGTCTGTCAGTGTAGGTAGTAGCGAGTTTACGATTAGCGACGCGTCCTTCTAAGACGACGTATGTGAGAATGGGTTCTAGCGCGGTCAGTTCGTTGTCGTTTTAGTTCAAAAACACTGATCTCGAAATAAGACTGGATCAAGCATTTAGCACAAAAGTTGAAGACAAAAAATAAGGAGCGCCGCTATTACTAAGAGACCAACTTTCGAAAATAAAGAGCAAATATATTGTGGATTTATACGAGAATAATCAATAATTTTCAACATGTAACTACATGAACATAACTAAGAGATAAATCAGTTTATAGAAGAGCTAAAACTACGATGAAATTTGATGAAATATGATCAAAATGCAGCGATTTTTGTCATCGATAACTCTGCTGTGGTATGGAAAAACCATGGAAAATAGCCCACAACTCCATGGAAATACCTAAAATTGTTTAAATCGTAGTTCAGAAGTACAAACTGATTAAATAACCTCATTCACGATCATAAACTGATCAATCTTTTAAAATTACAAGCCTTTTTTACGAGTTATTCAGAGTAAAACCTGTATGCGTTTTGTTTTATACGGCCGATTATTCTTTCTGACTCGCTTTACTATCGCCACAAAGGTTGTTTTTCATCTTCTGCGTTATCTTAAAGCATAATTTGGCCATGTGTTGTTATGTTTTCCATAGTTTTGTCAAAAAACCTTTCGATGTGTGGTCTCTTACTAATGGTGGCGGTGGCTTCAAAATTTGTTTGCTGCAAACATACAGTTTCTCGATCAAAAACTTTGTTACCATTTGACAACCCCACGTACCGCGAAGGGCTCGAAAGTTTAAAATATATGCAAAATATCGGATTTTTTGTCATGCGTGTATTGTCAAATATCATCTTTATAGGTTTAAACTGCACGAAATCATGGTGTGAACAAAAAGGTCTAACGAAATTTCAATAAAGCGGAAAATAGCGTTATATTGACCAACATTTTTGCAGGAAGTTTAAATTTGAAATCCTAAGTTGGCTTCGCGACGTAAAAATGCCGAATTTAAGATGAAGAACAATTGATGACAACCCAGCAAACGGCATGGCAACGCAACCGCGTTAGAATGAGAACAGTTATAAGACTTCATAAAATATACAAAAATAAGATAACGTGTGTCAGTGTAGATAGAAATGAATGATTAACAGAGAATGAGAACAGTCTTTACAGTACATAAAATATATAAGAAATAAAATAACTTGTGTCAATGTAGGTAGTGATGAATGAACAAGAACGAACGAGAGCAGTCTTTACACTACATAAAATACATAAGAAATAAGATAACGTGTGTCAGTGTAGATAGAAATGAATGAACGACAGAGAATGAGAGCTGTCTTTACACTACAAAAAATATATAAGAAATATATGATGACTTGTGTTAGTGTAGGTAGGGACGATTGAACAACAGTCTCAACCGAAAAAGAAAACAGTTTTAAAACTACTTGTGTATAGCAGAGATCAAAAGAAAACTGAAATTCTATGGATTATGAGTGAAAATGAACTAAACATGAAGGCGTACACTCTTGCTCTATTGAAGTGGTGATTAAACAATTTCCGTGTTCGAATGTCATCGAGCTGGGGGGTTTCTTAGAAAATCGAAAAGGCAAAACCGAAAACCGTCGGGAAAAAAACGGAAAACCAGTTTTTTATCTGAAATTTGAAAGTAGAACTAAAACACAGTATGAGTGATTGAGAACTTAAAAATTTCCCACATCAAAAATCTACTAGGAATTTTAATGTTAAAAAGTCCGTACTGTAGTTCACAGCATACCTTTAACTTTTCCTCAGTCAAGGAAAATATTTTGTGCTTCTGTTTTACGGCATTGAAACGACAAATTGGCCGAGTAGAAGTAATTATGTATGAAGCCTGGTTCTCATATAGTCGTCTGAGTCGTTTCAGTCGTGCCAAAATTTCACAGACGACCAGTGTGAAACATTTTAAAATCGACCGGGATGACCTCAAATGACTCACGACTGAAACGACTAGGATCGCTTGGATAGAACTCTGCTCTATCCGCCATCCGGACGACCGAAACGACCGTTGAGAAATGCAAGCAACCCTTTTATGGCGCAAAACGATTTGAAGGAGCAAATGACTAGCCAATAGACTTCGTCTTTGATAAACGGCAGCTGCCATTTCTAATGTTTCGCGAAAAATTAATTAAACAGTCTCGGCAGCTAGTACGACTATATGAGAATTCCTTGAGTCGTCCCAGTCGTTTTGAAAACAACGAACCAACTCGGAACGACTCGGATGACTCAAGCGACTTAATGAGAAGAGGCTATATAACATTGACGTCCCGGCTTTGTTAAGCCTGACTCACGGGCGGTACGCAGTAGCTTTAGTGGCGGGTCTAAAGCCTGATTAATGGTTTCCATATGATCATTTCTGTCGTAAGGATTAGGATCGTCTTACCGCTCTGGCGAGTTTAAATGTATCCTTTAGCGCAGGGGTTCTTAACCTGGGGTCCATGAACCCCTAAGGGGTCCATGATGGTGCTTTAAGGGGTCCGCAAATCCAAATAAGAATATCTACAGTAGGCTACGTATTTCTATTGACCGATTAGAACCTAAAAAAGCAACATCGTTTAATGATCGTTCGAAATATATGCTCACAAATCTTTGGACGGAATAAAAACAAGATGTTTTCGCCTTCGATATGTATATTTAACTGAAGTATGATTGACATGTTTTTCTTTTCTATTGTGCATTTATAATTAGTAGTCTAATGTTTCTTACACATCGCATTTGTGATAAATAGGCCTATGTAATCATACACAATGTCTATGTCATAGACATTGTGTATGATTCAATTACGACATAGACTCTATGTCGTAATAGAATAAATAGATTGAACAAAAAACCGTGCACGTGTATGCTGCATTGAGTATTATAGAAAGCTGTCAATTTGCTTATGTGTTTTCTACTACAAAGGTTTATAACCTGGAAGGATAAATAAATTTAAAATTTTACCAATTTAAAAAAATGTCGAAGAAGAGAAAGTACAGTGAAAATTATGTAGCTTTTGGTTTTACCTTTATTACTGATAGTGATGGCAGCGAAAGGCCGCAATATTTTCTATGTGGTAAAGTCCTTGCCAATGCAAGTTTGAAGCCAGCGAAACTGAAAGAGCACCTCATATCTATTCATCCTAAAAACGCACTGGATAGTGTTGATTCTTTTCGTTCTAAGAAGGCTCGATTTGAGAAATCAGGGACTTTGCCGAAGTTCGGATTCATCAAGACGCAGAAGCCTTGCCTTGAAGCATCTTATAAGGTCGCTTACCGCATTGCCAAGGCAAAGAAAGCTCACTATCGGAGAGACATTGATAAAACCGTGTGCTCTGGAAATGACTGAGCTAGTATGTGGCACAGAACAAAGAAAGAAACTTGAAGCCGTTTCCTTGTCAAACGATACCATCAGCTCCAGAATTATTGACATTTCTAATAATATTCTGAAACAAGTAATGGAGGAACTTAAAGCATCACCATTTCCATTTAGCATGCAACTGGATGAAAGCACAGATGTCTCTCAGTGTGCCCAGCTTCTTGTATATGTTCGTTATATGCACGCTGATGCAATTAAAGAAGAATTCCTATTTTGCGAGCCTCTCTCAGAAACTACAAAGGCTGCAGACGTATTAGAGATGGTGAACAATTTCTTTGCCAAACAAGACTTCAATTGGAAGAGAAATATTGGTAGTTTGTGTACCGACGGAGCGCCCGCAATGCTTGGAAAAACCTCAGGGTTTGCTTCGTTGGTAAAGAAAGAAGCTCCTCACATCATTGTGACTCATTGCTTTCTACATCGACATGCATTGGCATCAAAAACTCTATCACCAGCTTTAAAAGAAATTTGTCTGTTTCTGTAAAGATCGTCAACTTTGTCAGAGCTCGAGCTTTAAACAATCGTATATTCAAAAGACTTTGCCAAGAAATGGGTGCACAACATGAAGTACTTTTGTACCACACTGAAGTTCGCTGGCTTTCGAGAGGTCAAGTTTTGAAGCGTTTGATGGAACTGAGAAAGGAAGTTTCATTCTTCTCACGAGAAAAACAAAATCCTCTATCAGTGCAATTTGACAGAAAGGAGTTTCTTTATGGCTTAGCTTACTTGGCAGATATTTTCGGTCATTTGAATGAAGTAAATCTGTCATTTTAAGGACCAGATGTAACGATTATGGACGTTACAGAAAGACTGCAGGCTTTTCAAGCAAAGCTTCCTTTGTGGAAAAGACTTGAGACAGACAACTTTGCCAACTTCCCAATGCTGGAGGAAGTGATCTCTCAAACTCGAATCGATAATACTGAAGCCCTGCTTTCCTCTCTACGTGGAAATATGTGCGAAAATTTAGACAGATTGCAGCAATCTTTTGAAAGTTATTGCTCACATGATCCGAATTTTGAATTGTGGATTCGCAACCCATTTCTTGCAGATCTAAATTCTATTGGTGATGACGATCTTGCCAAAGATGACCTCATTGAGTTGAGGACAATGCAAATGCTAAGGAGCGAATTCAATTCAAAGAACCTTGCAGAATTCTGGTGTTCCTTGGCACAAGCGTATCCTCGCCTGGTGAAGAGAGCCATGGTTGCTCTTATTCCTTTTGCTACTACCTACCTCTGTGAGGCAGGGTTTTCTGCTCTTCTTGCTATCAAAACGAAACAGCGAAATCGGTTGGATGCTAAGGATAACATGCGTGTGGCCCTGGCAAAAACCGTCCCACAATTTCGTGTTCTTGTTGAAGATAAGCAGGAGCAACCTTCGCATTGATTTAAAAAGTTATTTGCGTTCTACTTATTGGTTACTGCACTGTATTTTTTGATTCTTTATGGTTTTGTAATTGTTGTATAACTTAATTGACTCGGTAATTGATTTATTATTCATTATTATTCGTTGAATTATTAATTTGCTTCTGTTTGGTTTGCAAATTTCTGGACTATATTACTAAGTTAATTAAAAGCTAATTTTGACAATTGCGATGTGTTTCTTCTAAAGGGGTCCAAAGCTTTCATTAGAATGTTTTGGGGGTCCGTGACCAACGAAAGGTTAAGAACCCCTGCTTTAGCGTCACTTATTTTTCCGGTTTTTACGTTTTTTCGGTTTTTTTGATTTTAACAAAACTGAAAAACCGCCCCAGCCTAGTATAAGAAACCATAGGTTGCTCGCATTAAAAATAAAGTGTCTTTTCTACTCTAGATCTGGATATTTCTGAAAAGTCAAATTTAACATTGACGCGTATGAAGCGGAAGCCTTCAGAAGAGACAGTGTCGACAATGAAAGGCGAAATGAAACTCGAGTATGAATTTTACAACTTTATAAAAGAAAGATTTCACAAGCAAAAAAGGTCATTAAATATAATTTAACGGAACGTCAAAGGAAGGACAATTTGGCAATTTTCAGTACAGGTATACATTTCATCAGGTTTTATTTTTTGTGTTGACAAAAGTAATATTGAAGATCATCTGTTGACACCGAGGATCTTATGGCAATATTTCCCTTCTATATTCAGTTATCCCTTTTCTCGATTACTTCATTTATCTTTGCAGGTCTCTATACCCGAAGATGTGCACGAAACCAGCATATTTCGGTAACTGTTATAGGCAGTGTTGGTAACTGTTAAGGTGCAAATATGTGATGAAAAGAGGAAGTGGAGTGGATATCGAAAGTGGTGTAGTAGTAGTTTTCCTAATGCTAAATAATTGATTTTCGAAAAATTTAAGGAGTTTTCCTCCCATGATTCTCGCTCTTGCTGCCCGCAAGCTTAGGCTGCGTTTACACTTTACCGGATTCGCTCATCACGAGATCTTCATTTGCTTTAAAGGAGCAGCTGTTCGGAGTAAAAGCTTTCAATACAAAGAAAATATAACCTGATATGATGATAATCTGGTATAATGTAAATGAAGCTTTAGTCGCACTATGTAAAGACGCATTTCGATGCTCACTCACTGTAAAAAAATTCAAAGAAATCGAAAATGCTCATAATCTGAAATTTCCACTGCACAACCACTATGGCCGGTTGCACGAAGGCTGAATTAGGTTAGCCACTGGATAGCAATATTTTTGAACGCTTCTATCTAAGACTTCGCCTGGGCAATCAATAGAATAAAATATTGGTTCTAGAATTGCACAGTTTTATTATCGTATAGAAAATATAAACACCTTCTTCACTAGCTCGAAAAATTTAATATCTATTTGATAACGCTATTCATGCTTTGTACAACCAGCCCCTGATAGGTATATTAGACTGAATAACGCGACCCCTTATAAAATATCGCTCTAGAATGAAGCTGGAAGATGGTTCATTTGCATAGGTTTACTCGGTCCCACTTTACCACAGTTTTGTACAATAAAGTTACACTTTTACCGTTTTTACTCCTTTAACTCATTTCTGATATGATCAAATGGAAGACCTGTAAAGCATGGCCAGGAGAGTGAGACTGATGAAACATGGATAAATGAGCCAACTTCCGGCGTCAATTTTCACATTATATGCGCAGAGTCCATAGCGTCCGCCATAGTTTGACTACCATGAAATTTTTACATACGAAACAACGATTGGGACGAAAATGGTGGTGAGACACCCACGTGACCATATTTATCCAATCATCATGATCATAATGCAAATACGTGCCCAACTCTCTCATAAGCGTTATTGTTGCATGTTGACACTCAAAAATAGAAACATAGCTAGGAATAGCTTCAAATGCTTGATTTTTCTTCATATCATGAAAAAGCAAATCCAAAAATTTTATCAAAATTTTCATAAATGGACGAACTTAATTATTTTGTATCACGTTCTTTTTGATCATGAAATGTTGATGTCATTGTTATTGACACGTATCGTTACGTCATAAATAATTTATGTCCACTTTGACGTCACTCTTTATATAGCGGTTTTACACATGGCTATTAGCCAATGAGCAGACCCGAATTCTTTTAGAACACAGCATAACAGTGGTGATTTGTCTGTTTTATCACGTGCGCACTGCAGCGTATATCAAAAAAGAGAATCGAAATCAAACTTTACTATGCTATCGTGCATTTGATATTAAGTTTTTATGTCTTATATTTTTACATAGCAAAAGAAATGACCTCTTTAACTTTCCAATGATATGTTTTTCATTTCGTAACATTCAGGAGTGATCTAGTACTATTGAATTAAAAATTGCAAGTAGAAATTGCATACAAGTATTGAGGTTTCAGTACCATTTCAAACAAAAGCAAATAAAAAACCAGGATTTTTCCTATGCTGTGTCATACCGCTCATGCTAAACAATTTTTAATAACAGCTGTTGGGATGTTGAGTTTGATTAGTTATTACAAACAAAAATTTTTAAATTTGTTGGTGTGATGGGCTTAATCAAGTCTACTACGGCTTTCCCAGCGGTACAGTGCAAATACAACTGACCTCATTTTATTTTGCAGTTTTCATTCCGATCAAAACGTTGCTAAGTTAAATATACAATGCTACTTTCTAGTTTAAATCATGACTATGTACAAAAATTTGACATAAAATACCTTACTAAACTAACTGTGTTGTTCAAACGATGCTAGGCAGAATGAAATTTACATTGTTGTTGGTGTGTGTGCGTCTTAATTTCATTTAAAAACATCTTGTTTTCTTAACGCTTCAATTCAAATTTTGGAGTACACGCGTGTTTTGGGTTGGCAACTGAGTTGGTAATTTGCTCGAAGAGTGACAATATCAAGATATCAAATGACGATCAATTAAAAATATTAATTGCCGTCAACAGATTGAGTGTTGAATTACTGCTCCAAATTCCTTATTTAATATAGTGCCAATGTTCTGTGGTAAATATGAACAGTTTGCCGAGACTTTCGAACAACAAATGTCGTGCTACAAGACCAATTTCCTTAGGACCGAAAGATAATCTAGTATATGCGGAAAAAAGTGCTTTTGTGGAAGGCAAAAAAACGGCAACAAGCTTAGATGGCACGCAATTTGAACTCCATGGAAACAATTTTAAAGATGAACAGAAAACATACGAATATCATCGGCCAAAATTCTTTGTGTCCGCTAAGAATGATCCAAGGCACCAAAATAAAGTATCACAAATCGTTGAAGCCGTGTCTAATGACTCTAAAAATGATAAAGAAAGCCAGGTATTTGGTCAATGCATACTTCCTCACACTGATATTAGTGATTGCTTCCATGTCAAAATGTCAAATGAAGTCAGTTTCGTGAGTTTACAACTGTCGAAAGTTCTTCGTGAGAAAGATCGCGAAATCGTGCGATTACGTGAGAGTATTCGCAAAGCTTTGCTTGATCGAGAAAATGCGACTGGTGCCAGCACGCGGACACGCATGCGCGTTGCGGAACTTAAAACTAAACTATCCAATCAGAAGAGGCGCATGGAACACGCAACAAAAGTAGAACGGTTAAGGTGTAAGGAGAAGGTTACCAATGAAACTGAACGATTACGTCACGAGCGTGATGAAGCTCGAGAGCAACTTGAACAGCGTGATAAGATGGTATGGCACTTGAGAAAACAAGTTGAGCAACTGGGTTACCTGAGCAACCAAAGGTAAGCCACGTCTTCTGGGCCATAAGAAGACAAAACCTAGAATTTGATGAGATTTGTGTCACCCAAATTGAAATTTAAGAAAATGATTCTCCGGCTCTAACACGTACATAACAGGTGGTCTAAAACGTTCCTTCTGGTAATGCGCCTCTATGCAGGGGGACTTCAAAAAAATGAGCAGTTAACAAAACTTTAATAATTCAACAGGGCAAAAAATTTGCAAAAAAGTTAATTGAAAAAAGTAGTCGGATTTCCAATGGTTCCTCTGACCGTCAAATCGCTGTTGCAAATAAAATAACGCTCAGTTTTCAAATCCCATTTGAAAAAAAAACACAAAATAATCTTCCATTTGAATGCGCGTATGCACTCGCCAAATTTCCTGAAACTTTGTTAGGAAATGATGTTGTGCCATATTTTAACCATAGATGTTCCAACTGCTTTTTAAAAAGAGCTCAAAAATGCATTATGTTAGTGTTTTGTTTATTGTACATCCAGTCTGCACACAGAAATAAAAAATATGGATGGAAGACGGTCAGCCGGCCGTTTTCTACTTTTTCGCCTTATAAAATAGTGCTTAGCCTGCATAAATTCTACAGTACCTACAAAAATTCATGTCTATTTTTTTGCAGTCAAAGCTCTTGAATGTTTTACCTCGTTTTTGTACAGACCTATATTAAGCGGTCACATAGAAAATCCCAAGGTTGGCCGTGCTTTTAATACTTGTTCACTGCAGTATTATTAAGAGTAATACATAAGACTCAGTTTTCGTGCCCTTTTCATACAAGCCTTGACGGGGCACCTGTTCAACCGCCAACACTAACACTTAATGTAAGCTCATTTATTTGTTAGGGGATATTATATATTTATCCTATATTTATGAAAACTTGAGTTGAAGACTTAGTTCTGCTCAGTGTCAGACACAGTGGTCAGTGGCGCAACTTCTTAATCTACTATGACTGTTTAAGACATGAAGCTATTACGATAGCTTGTACTCAATCATGCCTGCAAAATTTGACGTTGACAATCAAACGATGAAACAACCCCCTTCCTGTCCCCCTGTTTTCCTGAGAACATTGTCATGATTTCTTATTTCAAAAACAATAGATACAAAACGATTCAAGAACTAAACAAAAAAATGGCGGTAAAGGAAAAGAATATACAAGAAATGAGAAGAAGAATGGAGCAAGCGCAACTCATAACAATTCCTGGAACTAGTTCAGCAGAAAGGGAAAGACGCAACAGCACAAGCAGTGCGGACGGCAAATCAATAAAATGGGACGAGTCTGGTCGCTTAGCAACAGTTATTGAATAAGTTATCCGATTTTGTCTTTAAATGTAATTGTGTAATGAATCTGCATCAGTAGTGCAGCCAGAATAAGTCAGAAATATCACCGTAAATGTATCAACTCCAATTCAACATACTTTAATTATTGCTCATTCTATTGGTAATACAGGCCCGTAACTAGTGGTGGTAAAGTGGTTGCAGGTGCACCTACCCACCTCCTGCCCATACATCTATGACGTCTTATTATTATATAAAAAAAATACTAAACAATAACTGAAATTGTCTGTTAAAATTTAAAAATAAGAAAGGTGCCTATGCAATTAAGCTCGATTAACGTGTTTGTTTCTATGTATTCTCATTCAAAGCACGTGTACAAGTTAAGCCCGGCTCAAATGCGTGCGCATACTCACACACGCACTCTCTAGTCCTTAAAATTTCTCTGTTACGGCTCTGTGACATGTTCTCGCCTACAGTGTTGTTGTTATAATATTTTTAATGTAAAATAAGCTAAAATAATATAATATTGTATTCTTTGGTGGCAGAGAAGGGCCATTGATATTTCCCCTGACGTGAATACACTCGAATGCCTGTCACTCGGAACCGTTCTATGCGGTCCGGTTGGGAAGGCATCTGTCTGCCCTGCTTCATCGGTCTCATCGTCAGCCTGTTCTTGTTAAAGCGCTTATGAGGAGAAAATTTTCTTTTTTCGATTATAGTTTTAGCATACAGAACATTTAAAATCACATTAGACTTTCTAAAACAGTTCGTGCTTATGGATTGTTTTGTTTCAAATGTCCCCTTTATTACAGAAGTGACGTCATATTGCACAATGAAAATTTGAGTTATCTAGTATGCTTGATGTCAGTTGATGATATTTTACTTCAACCGAACAGAGATGCCTTCTTTAAATAGTGATAACTTCCCAAGCCTTTCCTGCAAAAGTTGCCCGGAAACTGAGTACGTCTGTAACTCAACGGGACTTTACCAAAACTGTTATATCTTGACGATGAAAAAATATTTTTACAAACTGTTTCAGAATGTCTACTATCAATTTTAAAGTTTATTGTACTAACACCATAATTTCGAAATTTGCACTTCGTAAGCACTTTAATGGTCCGCGTGCGTACCTATTCTCCTGTAAATCTTTGGCCAGGAGGGGCTGTTGATGCTTCTTCTAAGAATTGCATTTCTGATAACGATTATGCATAAAATTGGCCGCAAGGCGAATTTTATAACGATTCACGATTTTTTATTTTATGAAGCATGTTTTCAGCTGTCCTTATCGAAGTTCGACAGTATGAAAGAAGTTGTTTCATCTTAAACTGTCATAACGCGGCATTATTTTAACTCATGAGAGATTGGTAGAATGATTTGATTTGTCAAAGCTTAATCTCAAAGACAAGGGAAAAGCCCAGAGTGGCAGGAGCGAAACCGAGCAGATTGTTTTGATTTCCTCATGTCGATATCGTTTGTTCTATAACCAGGTGAACTGACGATTTAGATATCTTGGAGAGAGAGCATCACATTAATACAAACTAAAAGATTTGTGTTTTCGTCATTTTGTCTTTTTTCATCAATTGTTTCATCAAAGGTAAAGTCTTAAAGACTAAATGTATGTCCATAGTTTGTACGCATATGGAAAACCTAGTTTATTTTGATTTTCTATTTTAAAATTCGAATTTGTTTCAGAATTCCAATTCAGAGTTCATTTCACATTGTTCGTGTTAAATTAATCGATTTCTGGTCGTCTTTCAAAATAGTTATGTGTATATTTGTGATCAGTCGGTTAAATTGTTTGTTGTCATACGCGTTGCGGCACATTTTATTTTAATTTATACTCGACTCAAAATACAAGCTTGTTTTAATATTTATATCAAATATTTCAATGAACGATCTTCGATCCCTTCTGCACAAAATATGAATTCGACAATCTTGCTTACGAAAATGTGCCTTCCGTTTATAACATAATAAACATGTTTCATATCGTTGTTGACTTTTATTGTATTGACGAGAAGTTGAAACCTTTAACCCCTCAATTTTTACAATGCGAAGTAGGAAACGTTTCATAGTGTTCTAATCACTAATTGGAGCTGAATTCTTTTGTGATAAGTCGGGAAAGCATGGATAATTTAGCGATTTTAATGACGCTATCGAACTAACATGCCAAATTGATTTTACCATTATTATCTCTAGGCTCACTTCATATTACGCCTGATTAAGATTTGGTAATTTATTGTCTTTGTTAGACTAATACTGCATTCAAACTGATGTTTGCGTCGAGATAATTATTTACAAGAAACTTAGAAGTATTAGTTGTCACATTGAATGTAGTTACTGCTTACATCAAAAACTATTTCAAAGTGAAATCACTGGACATCCTTAATAGCTTTAAGAATAACAGGGCTTCCTGTTATTGCCCAATGCCATGTGATCATGCTTCTAGTCTTACGAATGGTGCCAGTAGCCTTATTCAACTCAATTCCTTTATCAATTAGTTGTTTTTGACAATTTCAACTTCATTTGGCTAAATATTTCATCACTTAATTCTCTCGCATTCTCCTTGCTACACAATTGACTTTTCCAGAACTTTCATTTTCCACCTGAAATTTGCCTTCGGCATTTCTATCCCACTATATGTACCTTATAATACTTAGACTTTTTTTCTAAGTTTTTTTGGCTCTGGGTTCCCTAACCTAAATCAGACAATTAATTTTCTACACATTGTGATGTAGAAGGTTAGGCTTAGCATGTCTTGAGATCAGTGACATAGCCAGCCTGCAAGTTTTGGTCCGGCTATGTAAATTTTAGGTCATTAACATTATTCATTTTTTTAGAAATCTTTTCTTTTTACAGTGAGTGAACACAAAAAAATAACATAGCAGGACCAAATTCGCAGGCTGGCTACGCCACTGCTTGAGATTAAAGTTAAAGGTTATAAGCTACAATAATCAACTCCTTTCTTTGCATTGTTCAAGCATGGATTGTTTTTATATCATTTGGCTGAATCCTTTTGCATAAAGCATGTTGCAGTTTTCCTTATATGTTTCAAACAAATGGATGTGCTTATGACTACATGCTTATTTCTACTTTGGAATTTGAATTGCTTTTATCAAAAATAAGAAATCTTAGTTATAATGTGCCATGTCTGGAGCAAATAGGATCCAGGATTAGGCAAAATAAATTTCATTGGTATGATTTAATTCTTTTGTAGTACTTGGTATGAACAACCATAGGCATTTTGTATTCCTAACCCCAGATTCTCTTCTGTTCCAAGCTGTGAAAATTTAGGAATTATCAAAAATTTTAACTAAACAATATAAAAAGTTAAAAAAGAGGCCTTTCTTGATGCCTTTTTATTTAATCAAACCATTCAACCATTTCTTTCTTTTTCCATTTTAGACTGGTAATTTTGACTGGAAATGGCTGGTCTGATTTTTTCGTATGAAGGGGAATTGATTCATCAGGCAGCCATTTATGACCAGGTTGAGTTTCTGTTGAATTTGCTGTCCATCCCAAGCAATGGCGATGCAAACATTAGAGATCAGCAAGGAAGATCTCCTGTACACACAGCGCACAACATGGCAGTGAAAAGTGTCTGAAACTGCTGCTTGAAAATGGAGGTAACTTTGCTTATTTTTGATAGAAAGACTGCCTTGGCCATGGCCTTTCAAATAGAGTTCTTAGTTAAATTGAATGTGGAGGAATGATGGGTGTTCTGTTGTTATGGAAAGTATTTGCTAAGGGATGAAAATGAGTTTGTTCAAACTTTCATCTCGTGAAATCAGGACAAATTCTGTTTAGCAATTTCATTGAGAAGGATTCAATGACAATTTTCCACTTGTTGTCCTCTTAACAAAACAATTTAGCAATTCAACTTTATTTAATGTTTTAAATTGTTGGTCAATAAAATGGTATGTATGCTGGAATTGTCATATTTGTGCTTGTCTACCTCTTCAAAATGTCCATTGACAACATCTCTATTGACAACATCGATACACAACATCTTAATTAAAAATATCTCTATTGACAACATCCCAACTGACAACATCTCTTTACTAGAACTCTATTGACAACATCTCCATTAACATTTTTTCATAAAACCTCTCTATATAGAGAGCATCTCCATGAACAACATTGCTATTGATTTGAAAGTATCTGCATTGAAAACATCTCTATTGATAACATTTCAGTTGATAACAATCACAAAATCTCTTTAAACAACATCTCTTTTGACATCTTCTCTATAGACAACATCTCTATAGACAACATTTCCAAGGACAACATCCCAATTGATAACATTACTATTATCAACATTTCTATTCAAGACATCTCCATTGAAACATCTCTATTGACAACATTTCTATTAACAACATCTTTATTCACAACATCTCCATTGACAACATCTCTATTCACGTCATCTCCATTGAAAACATCTTTACTGACAAAATCTCTGTTAACAACATCCCGATTGACAATGTGTCTATTGACAACATCTCTATTGACAACATCTTTATTCACAACATCTCCATTGACAATGTCTCTATTAACAACATCTCTATTGACAATATCTCTATTGACAACATCTCTATTGACAACATCTCTATTCACGACATCTCCATTGAAAACATCTTTACTGACAAAATCTCTGTTAACAACACCCCGATTGACAATGTGTCTATTGACAACATCTCTATTGACAACATCTCTATTGACAACATCTCTATTGACAACATCTATTCACGACATCTCCATTGAAAACATCTTTACTGACAAAATCTCTTTTAACAACATCCCGATTGACATTGTCTCTATTGACAACATCTTTATTGACAACATCTCTATTGACAACATCTTTATTGACAACATCTTTATTGATAACATCTCTATTAACAACATCTTTATTGACAACATCTTTATTGACAACATCTTTATTGACAACATCTTTATTGATAACATCTCTATTGACAACATTTCATTAACAACATTTTATTGACAACATCTTTATTTGCAATCCTTCTATTTGAACAGGTTTATGCATTTTGTTCATGATACCATAAATCTTTTTTTATTTAGGTAATCCAAACTTGGTGTCTTCTCAAACAGATTGTTGCTCTGTAAGTAGCTGATTTCCATTATCGAATATTTATTTAATCATGAACATGATGCATCGATCAACATAAATTAAGTCTATACATATACTTAGAGTAGCATGAACCAAAAATCTCCTTTATGACACTGGGATTACTTGTTCTTTTTCCATAGAAAAGGTGAAAATTTTGAGTTTGATGAGGTGTTAGGTTTTGTCACAACTGTTATATGTTGGTTATGGATGTAGATTGTCAAGGTGACAAGGTCAGTGCTGGCAATGGTGCTGGCTAAGGATGTTTGACTGTCAGGCAATACCATTGAACTGAATATAACCATGAATACAACTGGCATTTTTCTGCCAAAATTTAAAGTCAGCACCTTGACTAGTCCCAATCCTTCCGCGCACGGGTCAAAAAAAGTTCATTAATTACATGACAATAAACCAAAATTCGCGACTTTACCTTGATTTTATCCCATGAGACGTGGGTAAAACTTGGCTTCATGCAAGTACAGGCATGTTTATTTAAAAATAGCCTTCCAACCACATATTTAGTTTAATCGATGGTCATTGGTCAACAACAACATCAGCAGTCCCTCTCGTCAGCAGTGGCGTAGCCAGCCTGCAAATTTGGTTCTGCCATGTTAATTTTTCTCTGTTCACTTGGTGTAAAAACAATAGATTTCTAAAGAAACGAACAGTTGTAATATTCTAATATTTACAAAGCAGGACCAAAACGTGCGGGCTGGCTACGCTTTTGCTTGTCAGGACTGTGCCTCATTAACCTGGACGATCTATATCCACAGACATAAAACAATACTGCGGGGCTTAATCTATTTACGTAAAATCTAGTTAAGTAAGCACAATTATCATGTCCTAGACGTGGTGATGATGATATATCTCTCTGTCCAACTCACTCTTTTAGACGCCTGCGCATCACGCAGCTTATAATGGCCATTTTTTATGCCTAAAGCTGTTAGTCGAGAAGGGTGCCGACCTTGACATTTCTAACGCAAATGGTAGAACTCCTATCGATCTGGCTATAGAAGAAAGACATACAAGTTGCGCTAAATTCTTGAAAGATGAGGAAGGTCGGAATTTGTTGAAAATTTTCCATTTTAATGGATTGTTATTGCAATTAGAGTATGGAGCGGTTCATGCGTTTTTCTTCACAGTTCAATCAGAAAAGTTAAGATAAACTTAACCATTTTCTTTTGGTTTTTACCAACTGATCATCAAAACACTTTCATTTTTTCGCGCGATATTCGTGGGAAATTGAATGAAAATCACGTGACGTGTTGGATTATTCATTCTTAAGTCCCGTTTATCGGATCCCAAAAACGGATCGTGTGAACACGTTTAAAAATCACGTAAGCAGTGTCAAAAATCGGATGGAAATAGAACTTGCTCTATTTTCATCCAGCAAGATCAAAGGTAGCCGACTAGCCTCAAACTTTTTACTCTCTTTACTTCCCAAATTTTGATTTGCCGCGAGTAATTAGATTTGAAAAAGACTTAAAAATAAGAATAAAAATATCGGGCCGTGTGAACTAGCAACCAAAAGTCGGAACCTAAACCATCGGATCCGACAAATCGGATCGTGTGAACGGGTACCTCATCTTTTGGGGGATGACCTGGTAAGGTAACGTAAAAGCAAAGTAAAATGTACATTTTAAGGGCTGTTGGGTAGAGCGACCCATTTTCTGACACCCCAAGGGAGTGTAGACAGTTAAAAACAGATAAACTATGTGCAGCACCTTCAAGAATTGAAAAATTCTAAATTGAAATTTTTGACGCTAAGCTTGTCTATTGTGGTTTTCCAACTGTACGACGTTTTGTTTTGTTTTTCTTCATTTTTTGCAGTTCGCAGACACAATTTGCAGATAGCTGGATGGCAAGAAGGTGAGTCAGTGTATTATTTGATTCGTTTTGTTTCTCTAATTTTGAAAAATGATATTTATTATTTACTACCGTATTTCAAAAGAACTTTGTGCATAAAACAGTAATATTTGTAACTATCGATAAGACTCTCGGCTTATCGGGAGAGTTTAGAGCAACCAAAAAAATATAGGATGTGGTACGTATTCATTAAATTTCTCTAATTTTTTGACTTCATCGAGTTAAGTGTACATGCCTGAAGATGTGAGCTGTATTAGTTTTTTCTTCCAAAAACAACTGAGCAGCTTTCGTAATAATTTCGCCGCGAGATCTTTTTTCACGGAAATTTTATGGACGTAAATTTTTAGAACAGATTGTATTTGCTGTATGTATAGTTCTGCGAAAAAAAATGTTTGCTCTCGAAATCAAATGTCTTCATGTGAAAATGAATTTTGTTTTTTCAGAGGCTTTTTCTGCTACTGCCAGAGGAAATTTTCATCGTTTGAAAGAAATAATTGAACAACTTGGTAATGAGTTTGATGTTGACAAGCAGTACGCTGCAGGCGAAACACTTTTGTTAAAGTAAGTTGACAATCATTAACATTTTTCATCGTAAAGTTATTTTGAGTGGCCAGGCGCCTTCAACGGGAAGACTAACTTGGGAAGACTAGAGGACTGGAAATAGCGAAGGAGCCTTATTAAAGATGTTTAGTTACCTAGACCTCCTTGATTACATTCACCAATTATATAGTTGGCTATAAGTGCAGCACTTTTGAGAGAGCAAAGCTGTCAGCCAAATCTATTTTTTTATTCAGCAAAGAGAGTTAGTCCAAGCGACAGCAACCCTTCTCCCAATTATCAATAATTTTTTTATCATCTAAAGATCCATAGCGAAAACCTCTTGGTTTTTTGCGAGACAGGTATTTGTAAAATACAGAGAATAACTTCCGGTAGTCAAGGATATTGTATTTGCCAACCACTAGGTTCCGATATCTTGAGATTAGAAGTTTATATTAAATTTTAGTTCTTATCACTAATGACGTCATATCCGTGTATCTATAACTGTAACTGCAAGGGTCTCCCCTCTCCCTGCAACTGTTCACTTTTGCGCTCTTGTGTAATTTTTCAGGGCTTGCGAGAATGGAAATGTGGACGCTGTTGATTTGTTACTTGCTTCTGGAGCATCGGGCACGTGTAACCCTTATTCGGGAATATCCCCTCTATGCATGTGTGAACCAGAATGTGGTTGTCGTGAAGAAGTTACTACGGCGATTTCCGAATCTTGCCAAACATGGAACGAAAGTAGAGAATAACAATCCTCTGCATTTTGTGTCAGGGTGTGGAAATGTTGAAATTGCTAAGTTGTTATTACAAACCGACGATGGGTAAGAATTACATTAAGCTGTTCATGATTAGACTTGCGATGATGGAGCATGTATTTTGTGAAAGAATATCACAGGAGAACTCCACTCACAAAACAAAATTTTTGTTTAAGCGAAATGCCTCATAACCACAAGTGTAAAGAAATTCATATGAGTTTATATTATTCAGAAAGCGTCTCTTCCGGTTAAATTAAATGGCGCGCTTTGATCGGCTAGAAAACATTTTTGGCAGTCTATTTAAGAAAGTAAAGCTTCCTGAAGCTAACAGAAAAGGTACAAATGTCTCATGCCATATAATATACTTTTGGTTACCTCGCTTGAAATGTCGAGAAACACAATAAGAAAGCTCATTTTTCAATATGGTGTGTTATAAATAAAAATTTATGTTCTTTTTAAACTTTTGTTTTATTTTATGTTCTAGATGAAGCACTGTGTTCTATTTTATGTTCTAAATAGAACTTTGCGTTATGTTTTACGTTCTAAGTGAGACTTTATGCTCTATTTCATACTCAAAATAAAACTTTATATTCTATTTTATGTTCTAAATGAAACTCACTGTTCTATTTTATGTATTAAAAACAATTGATGCTTTCTTTTATTTTACAATCTTTAAATAATATGCGAAATACTTTTACAAACTTTTAAAGTCGCAAGGCCCTACAAGGCTTGTGTAAGTTAATCGAACAGATAATTATTTATTAATTAATTGTAATAAATTTAAAATGTCACTGTCGTATGACGCTCAAATATTGACTTCAAGATATTTAAGAGTCATACGACAGTGGCTCTATTCATTTGTTCTTTGTAAACTTGCAAATTTTGCGTTTCGTTGGTTAGAAGCAACTTCAATTTGCAAAAGGGGGGGGACTATGCTTTAAATAACGATTACAAGTTTGTTTTGTGTGCGACTCGTTTGGCATAGATTCTACCTACTAATTTTTCCGTCGGTCGGATTTTGTGTTTCTTGAAGGTAGCCAACTCGTATAAGTCAAATTCTATCTACTTATTTTTGTTGTTTTTTAGGTCTGAACCTTATCCCTGCCTTGGTATTGACATTAACTGTGAAACGTCCAGCGGTATGACCCCATTGCACAACGCAGCAATTGCTGGACATATTGAAATTATCAACTTGCTGTTCAATCCAAATCACCACTGGTCAGTATCTATTAAGAGAACAGTCTTTACACTACATAAAATATATAAGAAATAAGATAACGTGTGTCAGTGTAGATAGTGACGAATGAACAACAGAGAACGAGAACAGTCTTAACACTACATAAATTATATAAGGAATAAGATAACTTGTGTCAGTGTAGGTAGTGATGAATGAACAACAGAGAACGAGAACAGTCTTAGAATATATAAGAAATAAGATAACGTGTGTCAGTGTAGATAGTGATGAATGAACAACAGAGAACGAGAACAGTCTTAGAATATATAAGAAATAAGATAACGTGTGTCAGTGTAGGTAATGATGACTGAACAACAGAGAACGAGAACAGTCTTAACACTACATAAAATATATAAGGAATAAGATAACTTGTGTCAGTGTAGGTAGTGATGAATGAGCAACAGATAACGAGAACAGTCTTAAAATATATAAGAAATAAGATAACGCATCAGTGTACATAGTGATGAATGGACAACAGAGAACGAGAACAGTGTTAACACTACCTAAAATATATAAGAAATAAGATAACGTGTGTCAGTGTAGGTAATGATGAATGAACAACAGAGAACGAGAACTGTCTTAACACTACATAAAATATATAAGAAATAAGATAACGTGTGTCAGTGTAGGTAGTGATGAATGAACAACAGAGAACGAGAACAGTCTTAACACTACATAAAATATATAAGAAATAAGATAACTTGTGTCAGTGTAGGTAATGATGATTGAACAACAGATAATGATTTTCCAGTTGCACACCGTGTTCGATGAAGTCGAACGTTAACGTAAATGCGAAGTCGAAGGTCGGACGCACGCCGCTGCACGACGCTGTGACGTTGGGAAACGTGGATATTGTCGAGGTCTTGCTCGAACACAAAGCGAATCCAAATTGTGCGGTGAGGACAGACGATATGGTTGGGTACCTGGATGTTAGTGAACTCATGGCGGACATGTTGGATGTAAACATTGGTGCTACGATGACAGCACTCCAGCTTGCTTGCTCTCATAAAAAAAGCGAGATAATGAAGGTATGGGTTTGTTGAGGAAGGTTGATATTTGACTGCATGTGAAACTGGACGACTACCTCTCTCCGAAATTACCAAACTGAATTGTGAACGAGTTTTACTCTTTCCTACCCCTCTTCCCAAAAAAAAAATAAAATCTTGCCTCAAAAGCCAATGATTCCTAGACTTTCCTCCGCCATAAATTTCAACCAGTAATGTAAATCAGTCCCAGTCTTTCCTCCGCTACAGATTTTAACCAGTAATGTATATCAGTCCCAGCTTTTTTTCCGCGAAACATTCTAAAGTATAATATGTATAAAATTACTACTCCGAAAAAGTATTTTAGTAAAATGCAAAACAATTGACACTGCGTCTAAAGTAAACATTTTATTCTAAACGTTTCGACAAGTGTTACATGTCGCCATCAGTAGAACAAGCCCAAATTCTTACGAGTGATGACATGTAACACTTGTCGAAACGTTTAGAATAAAATGTTTACTTTATATCGAGTGTCAGTTTTTTTGTGTCGCACTATAATGTGTATAGTTCTCCGTCTTTTCTACGTAAAAAAATTGTAATCTAAAACGTAATTTCATCTTTTCATATACAATAATTGACCAACCACCCTCCCCCTTTTTTTGTTTTTGCTCTGGTGCAGTAGCCAATCCAGTCCTTTTTACTCCTGCAATATAAATATTTTTGAGTTAAAATCATTGGAAAAACAATGAATGGAAAAATTTCTTAACAATTGAATACCAATTTTGCTGAAAAATTGCATTGTAATTGCTTCGGACTGGCTCCACCACTGCCTTGCTGTTGTTTCCAAATCAATCATTGATCTATGCTCGAATCTTTATTGATACCTTCTTATGTGTTGGTGTGATGTATTTATACACTTACGTCATTTTATTTTAGATGCTATTACATCATGGCGCCCAAGACTTCGGCAACAAATGTCTCCATTATGCTACCACGAATGACAATGAAGAAATGACCATCATCCTTCTTGGAAAAGGTTTACTGCTGTGTATTTTTCTTTAAATAACATCTTGGCAGTCTTGATTTAGGGAAAATGGTCATTGTAATTGTCTCAATCATCATTTTCACTTTCAGCGAACAATTTAAACTCAAAACAAAATGCACATTTCCAGGAAAAAGACATTTTCGCAATACAATATACCATTCAAAATAAGAATGAGGTAGAAATAAAGTCGAAATTTTACAGTTTGCACCATCTGTTTACGTCTTACAGTTTACGTTAGGATCTCCCCCTGTTTTATATAGTTGCAAAGTTTAGAGCGGGGGTATTTTGAAGATCGCCCGACCGAATCTTGTAAAAACTTGCATACGTATATGGTTATTCTGGCTCATGGGGCTGTTTACACAGACTAATGTAGACTCAGTGAACCTTTAAATGACTTCGGTATATCAAATTCGATGTTTTTATCATATTTTCTTTGCATTTTTTCGCTTTAAGCCGTTTTTAAAGTATACATATCGAAATGCTTTTGAAACCGAAGTGTATGACGAGCCATTTGTTGTGAATCGTTCGTCTCCACTTATTTACATTTGTTGCTTGGCTTTGAAAGGGAAACAGTTAAAAGATAATATACAAAATAAACTTTTACGCTGTGATAATGGCGACGAAAAACAAAATATCGACAAGCAATCCTTTTAATACTCCTTTAGTTGCTACCTATTTTGAAAATTTTATATTTTGCCTTCGACATATTTTGTACATTAATTCGCGCATAAATTATTTTTCCTAAAATCTGGCAAACAGGCGTAGCAGCTTTCTCGAAGTTGCGCAGACCCTTACTCCTTTAGGAGTTGAGAGTCTGCACGTAGACTCGTGTTAACATCATTTTTCATTGTTACATATTTTTCTTCAGACGTACATCCAAGTCATGAATACAGTTTACCATTGAAGCTACGCGAGCAACACAATGACTGGGCTCCAATATCTATCGTTTGGCATAATTATGACCTGCACAAGATCGAGGCTGCGTGGTTATACTCAGCGCCAAAGGCCATTCTTAGACCAGCGGTGTCAGCGACCATGAATAATTTGATGTTGGCGTCTTTGATCACCAACTTGGATCTTTCTAACAATCGTTTGCAGAGTTTACCTATTGAAATATTTCAACTATCTTCACTGAGGCATCTCAATGTATCCCACAACGAGTTGAGTATGTTGCCTGTCGGAAAAAGTCGTAACGACGCCGAAAGCTCCTCGGCCGATGACGTTTTTGTCGAAAATCGTACGGAAATCGCGGTGTGGTACTGTCCGCATTTGGAGGAAATCGAGCTTCAATATAACAATCTGACAACTCTTCCGGGCTGTCTTTTCTTACTTCCGGCTTTGCGAATTGTGGACGCCAATAACAACGATCTTAATGGCCTACCATACGATATTTGGCACAGTCCTAATTTGAGGATTGCCATTTTCAGTAACAACTACATCGATAATGTACCAGTTCTTCCGAACTCCAGCGATGTTGTTAGCGGTAGCAATTGGTATGTATGTTTTTTTTTCTCTAGAAAATAGCTTGCGAGAATGTGAATTCTTTAACGAATTTCCGAACTTAAAGTTTTATTGCGCGATATTTCACGTAAAATTTGGTGCCTTCCAAATAATGGCATTACTTCATGTAATTTTGCTTAACAGTTTAGGAAGGGTTACTTAAATCCGCCGTTTTTTGGCCTTACAAATTTTCAGTGTGAAATCGATGACCCCTTTATGTTAACAATTCCATAAACCTACTGGCTCCCTTTATGCAAACGCATTCATCGTTGAATCCCGTGGCGGCCATTGGGAGTGGGGCAAGGGGATGGGGGTCAAGTCCTCCACCCATTAATGTTAAAAGTCTAAACATCTTGCATAAAATCTCCCAAGTCACACCAATGTATGGTGTCTCTCCAAAAAAAGGCAACCCACAAAAATTAATGATGTATTCGTAGAAACTATTATGCACAATAGTGCAACTAACATTCACACCAGGAATGTTCTACGTTAATCAAAAAAGGAATCATATTTCCATAAGTTGCAACAAACCTGGACATACTAGCGTTCAACCAAATCAACCAAGCAGAACAAACAGCTGTTAAAGACTAATTATCTAATGCAGTTTTCATTTTCATTCCTACATAACTTTTTTGCCAGTTCCGTTTTTTTGTGAGGGAGGACACCCTGTACATATCTGTGGCTTCCTCTAGCTTTGTCCCTTTTTAAGTTGAGTCGTAATTCATTGTTTCATGTGTTTTACAGGTCAAGTCCGAGATTTAATGGCAATACTTCATATGAAAGGCAGAGCTCATCGACTTCGTCTTCCGATAGGCGCGGGAATGAAGATAGGAGAAATGAAAAACCGCAGGAAAGGCGGCTCAGGATTATAAGCTACCGGACGTTGCTAGGCGACGCAAACCCGGAAGCTGACGATTCTGACGAGGAAGAGCTTGATACACAAGTGGAGTGTGTTATAGAAAAATTGGATCTGTCATACAACCAGTTGACTAAATTTCCTATTGGTTTAACGTGTTTGGCTCCAAAGTTATCAAAATTACTTCTCTCGAACAACGGCATCGATGAATTTCCGCCAATTCAAGAAATTCCGGAACTTTTGTCCCATTTGGACTTGTCCTTCAACAAAATACAGACATGCTTGCCAAATTATGACGACAACCAGTGTGACAGGTGTGTTGTCATTAGTTTTTATAATTAACATTAGTTTTTTTCATACATTTTAGACAGTATAAGACTGCTTTTGTTTTTTGTTGGTCATTCATCACTACCTACACTAACACACGTTATCTTATTTCTTATATATTTTATGTTGTGGACACTGTTCTCTTTCTCTGTTGTTTGTTTATTTTCGTTTAATCCACTAGTTTTAGGCTTGTAGTGTAAATTATCAGCGTTTACAGACACGTATAACTAAACAAATTACTGTAACATCCATTAAACTCAATATTGTATCACTCCAGGTTATGTTACAGCCCAGTAAGAAAACGTCGCTCAACTCGTCGCACGCGAAGCCGAACTTCGACGTCCTCGACCATGCGAACGTGGTGTCGTCATTGTAGGCACCGACAATTACGTCATTTGAAAAGACTAGAGCTGAACAACAATCTGTTGTCGAGAATACATTTCGCTTACAACACCCCTAATGCTGACAGTGATATTTGTGTTTACCCAAATCTTATGTCGCTAACACTGAGCCATAATAAACTGGAGTATTTAACGGAAGAACTTGGCAAACTAGTTAAACTTGGCTCATTAGATGTGAGTTACAATCCGCTGACACGTGTACCTAAGTTGCCACCTTCCATAGGATTGCTAGGGGATCTTTGGGATCTTAATGTGAAAGGATTGAATTTGTACGATCCACCTCCTAACGTTCTTGAAAAGCGAACCAAGGCTATCACCGGATATCTGTTATCAATACTGGATGAGTAAGTGTTTAATGTGATAATATAGCTGGGTTGACCATTTGTTTATCTACCGAACGCGAGTCTTCAATGAGAAATATCGGACCAAGATCGTACATATTACCAGTGCTCTCAGTTCTTTCCGTTCAACCCCCTCGGTTTTATGATACTTGAATGTATGCCTACCCTACTGTAACATAAAAAAGGACGCTCCATTTAATTATATATCTGTAGGCATTGCCGTCGTATTATAACTAGGAGGTTTTTGTTCTTACTTTGATGTGGTATTTAACCAATATAGGCCTCGGATATTGTGACATAAGACGACCTACAGTTAATGTATAACGTATGACCTCATAATGACGTCATATTTAGCACTCAGAAATTTACGTCATAATGACGCCATACCCAACACTCGGAAAATTACGATATGATTGACGATGTTATCGTGGAGCAGCCATGCCGTTAAATGCGTTTTTGTCCAGAAATGCAATAAATTACAAAAAGGGCTCGTGCAAAACTTGAATGTCCTTAAATGGACATCCTTGAATTGAAGGATTAGGGCTTAGGAAAGGTTTATTTAAGTTTTGAAAATGTAAAGAACGAACTAAAGAACTATCTGTCGTGTAACTAAATAGCCTGTTGCCGGGAGTTTAGTCACCAAGGTTTCCTCAATTTCTATTGTTCTAGTAAGACGAGTTTATAACGTATTTACCTTACAGAATTCGTGTATTCAAATTCAAAGTCGTAGCTTTGTTATTCGACCTTGCTCGTCATCTGTACTCGTAGTCTTACAAACAATGCCCGAACTTCCAGCTTGAAATCACCGCAAAGCATCCCCATAAACACCAAAACATTTAATTTACACCATCGTTCACAATGTGTGAAGCACTGACTAAAACATTTCTGCAATCATAGTACTACTCGACCTTTTTCGGCTTTTGAGTACATTTAATCACTAAGTAACTTTTTTAAGTTTTTTACTGGTAGATTTAGCAAACCGTGTCTGGATTGTGACGTCTGTTCTTACAGGGCTCAGCCATATCCAAGCTTAAAACTTATGTTTGTTGGTGTTTCCAATATTGGCAAAACCACATTGCTGGGGAAGCTCAAAGGAGATACAAATACGACTAAAGGATGGCATGAGAGAAAAGTATTGCAGAAAACGCCACGTACGTTGATTTTTTATTTTTCCGAAAAACCCGCGAATGTAAGGGCATGTAATGTGAAGAGGGTGAAGCGGGCTGACCGGTTGTTATCGTCATTGACAAGTCAATGCCCTAGGAACCAATCTACTACATGCCTTACTCCGCCAAAATTCAAAATAGTTGTATGTGAGGCAAGTCGCCATTTAGAAAGGTGTCAAAACTGGCGATAATTACGAGTAAATCTGCTTCTTCTGCGTTAATGTACAATTGTATAGTTTGATTTATAAAATGCTTGATAGGATTAGTTTTACATCAGAGTTTAGCTTTTTGCCATCTTTCAAGATGGCGTCCATGTCTCATTTTCACACTGTATTTTCACATTTATAGGGATTTTAAATCATCGATTATAGTATTTAAGGAATTTAACGCACATAGCTGTCTTGTTAGCTTTAGGCAAACGAACTTGAATAACAGTTATATGTATTCATTTTGACACGGCTAACTGTGCTTTAAAATAATTTTAAAACGAAACGGTTTATTAGTTAAATTATCAGATTAAAGAAGGCCATGCTTACATTTGTTCAGTATAACATTGATTTGGTCAAAGCTGAGAGACTTCTATTTGCTAACATTTCATCCATAATAGTCGACCCTTTGCTTCGCAGTTTAGTTAGTCGAACATTGGAGACTGTGATTATTTTGTTACCATGCCTGAATACATCATAACGTGATGTTATTGTCTGTGATATTAAGATTTGCAAGAAACTAGAACTGTGTTTTCAAATATCATCATAGTCCACAGTAAGTCCTGTACCTCTGTAGAACATTACTATACATCACAACAGCGTAATGTTATTATCTATGGTATTACATTATGAAAGAACTGGAACCCTGTTTTGAAACATCATCCTAGACCACAGTTGATCGTATAGTCAGTTGATAGAATATTGGAGACAATGATTGTCTTGTTACTATGCCTGAATACATCACAACAACGTGATGTTATTACCTATGATGTTAAGATATGAAAGAAGCTAGAACTATGTTTTAAAATATCATCATAGTCCACAATTGATGTTGTAGGTCAGTTGTAATCTGTTATATGAATAGAACCGTGTTTGGAAGAGCTGGAATCCTTGGCATGATGTGGGTTGTGTTTTTTAATTCGCCTGTTCCATTCTTTTTTGTAGAAAAAGGAAAGAAAAGTGAAAATGTTTCGACGGTTGGTGTGGACGTTGCGGAATGGGTATATCCAAATCCTGCCGGCACAGTATTCGCTAGAAATAGTCGACCAAGTGTGATATTCAGCACATGGGACTTTGGTGGACAGGTATGCTTGAGAAAACTGAGGACACGTGGGTTTAATAGATACTTGTTACTTGTAAACGTGATCACTGGGTAGCATTTTACTCTACTGATTTTCATTAGAGATCATGTCAGCAGAAGGCGAAATTGGTAGAACATTTGAAAAAATGCTTATCTTGTTACTATACTAAGTACATCATAACAACGTGATGTTATTTATCTATGATGTTAAGATGTGAAAGAAACTAAAACTGTGTTTTGAAATATCATCATAGTCCACAGTTGGTCTTGTAGTTTAGTTGGTAGAACATTGAAGACAATGATTTTCTTGTTACTATACCTGAGTACATCACAACAACGTGATGTTATTATCTATTAGGTTAAGATATGAAAGAAACTAGAACTGTGTTTTGAAATATCATCATAGTCCACTGTTGGTCTTGTAGTTTAGTTGGTAGAACATTGAAGACTATGATTATTTTGTTACTATATCTGAGTACATCACAACGACGTGATGTTATCTATAATGTTAGTTATGAAAGAAAGTGTTTTAAAGTGTATTCAAAGTCCACACTTGGCACGCACTTGTTTTCAAACCAATAGAATATTTGAACACCTTGATCAAATATTTCAGTTTTCTATCTTAAACAAACTCTATGTCAATTGATAGTAATTGATATGTAGTGCTTAGTTACCTACTGTTTATCGTTTAAGTACCATCTTCAGCTATAAGGATCTTAAAGCTTAGAAGAAAGTTGTGTAAATATGAAACTTTTGACTTTTGTTTTTGTAGAAAGAATATTACGCGACTCATCAGTTATTTCTCACACATCGTGCATTATACCTTGCCATATGGAAACTGACTGATGGTGAGGATGGAGTGCGAAAATTATATTCTTGGCTTTTAAATATTCAGGTCCGAAAGCTACCCTTTGTTCAATTTTAAGTAATGTTGGTCAATTTTATACACACCGAACATTTTTCAGAACTCATCTTGCAAAATTTAATTCAGGCAAGAGCACCTGACTCTGTGGTCATCATTGTCGGGACTTTTTACGACAAACTTTCTGCAAAAGACAAGAAAAGCGGATTTGTCGATCGCATGCACAATCTTATTCGTGAATTGTATGTCGGAAAGGAGCTTGGAGGTGGTGTCGGAATCCCCCGCGAACGTGGTCTTCCGAACGTTGTTCGGACGATCGACGTTAGTTGTACTACCGGTCATCAGATCAGTCAACTGAGAGAAATCATTTACAATACTGCTTTGGAAATCAAAGGACACGGTAGGAAATATGAAAATGCTAGTGAAGTTGTTGGTAGTGGCTAGATTTTATTAGATTTGAAGCATAGGGGGTCGGAATAAGGGGTTTGGTTGGAAGATAGAGTTTGCATTAAGTCGGCTTGAGGTAGAGAATTTAAATTGGTAGGTGCTGAAGTAAGAAAAATAGGCTAAGGGGCTAATTACATGAGCCCGGGTAGCCGGGATTCAGCCAAGCTTTAAATGATTTTGGCAAATAGAAACGATTCAATACTTATCCTCAGATAAATCTTCTCGAGCAATTTCACAAAATTCTTATTTAATAACTACGCAAAACATTTAAAATTGAAACAACATGTTTGGCCTAATTTGAGAATTTCAACAGGAATGAGTTGTGGCGCTAACAAACATTTTTAGTTTTTACGCTTGAAGTTTTGCCCCTTTCAATGCCTTAAAATCATTTCACTCCTCACTGCATCTCGGTTAGCCGGGATCGTGTAAACAGCCCCTAAGAGGGCAGTGGCGTCGCAAGGGAGGAAACTGAAGGGACGTGGCTTCACAAAAGATCAATTTGAGATTTTAAAACATGAAAAGAAATAAAGGGGCTGTACAATGGATAATGAAGGCCTGGAAACTGCCACATGGGCAAAGTCGGTGTAATAAACAGCAATCTTCGAGCATCGTTGTCTCTAAGATTAAGTTGAATACTTTTTTTCACACATCTAGAAGAAAACTGGCCTTCTTAAATCGTGTGTCTTTTAGATCGTAAAGCCTGCCTCAGAAAAATAGCATTTTTGAGAACGTACAGTGAAGGTGGAAAGTCTCGCACCTTTTCACGTTAGCAATGTCCTCCCAGTGCGAACAACCTGGCGACGTCATTGTAAGAAGATTTTTGGGGTTACGGAGCTAGCTCGTAATTTGGGAGGATAATATTAAAAAATTTATGTTCTACCGCATTAAGTTTCTTTGAAATCAATTGTTTTTTTACGGTTTAACACATGCATATATAAATATATCGCCTCTCCCCTTCCCCAATCATCAAGGCTGGCTACGGCACTGAGTTTTGACTTAGGAGAGCTGTTATTGGGAATATGAACTCAGGGGTTTGGTAGTGCGCATTTAATATAAACGACAAGTTTTTTGAAAATAGACATGTTTCGACATCTCATGATGCCATCTTCGGTTTGGTAGTGGTTGGGAGTTAGGTCAAAGGGGGGTGCAGTTTAATAACAGCTTTCCATTGAACTGCGATGACTTACGATGTATGAAAACCAGGTTGGATGAACAATGGAGAATTGAATTTTTCATACCGAACAAAGAAATTTATTCGGATTAACTATTTAAGGTGGTTATACCTTAGTGGAAGAGCAGAAAATTCCGGCCAGTTATCTTGCTGTTAAGGAAGCTGTTCTCAACATTGCAATAAAGTGCAATTATGCAAATCAAACTCCTGTGTTGATGGCTGACGATTTCAGGTAATGTTACGGACACTGAGTGCGGTTAAAGGTCTATTTGTTCTGAAGAGTTAAAAAAATTGACGATACTTGCTCATTACCTACCCATACAGCACAAATGTAAGCCTTATTCACCAGTTGCGCACTTCACCAACAGTTTCATTTGTCCACCACACCTTTAGATGTTTATACAAGAAATAAACACCAATCGCCCACTTCACCAACAGTTTCATTCGTCGACCACACATGTACATCATTATACAGGAAATTATCACCAGTCACACACTTCATCAAGAATTTTTTCGCTTACTTCACCTGCAAATTTTTTCAGACAAAGGTTGAACATGAACTCGATTTAAAACATGTAAAACTACGAGATGACGACGAACTGGCACAAGCTTGTCAATTTCTTCACGATAATGGTATATTGTTACATTACGATGATCCCTCGTTATCTGGACTATATTTTCTTGATCCACAATGGCTCTGTGACATGATGGCTCATGTCGTTGCTATCAGAGATGTAAATCCTTTCGTTCAAAATGGTAGGTTTTCTATTGTAAGGAATAATATTTTCTATTTTGAGATTTTTTCAAGATTTTATAATGATAAATGGTGTTGGGGTTAGGGCTGGTTATTTGTTTGTGTTGGTTTTGGTGTTTTGGTGTTTGTGTGGAATGTTTGTGTTGACTGTTGGTGTTTGTGTTGATGTTTGTGTTGACTGTTGGTGTTGGTGTTTGTGTTGACTGTTGGTGTTTGTGTTGATGTTTGTGTGACTGTTGGTGTTTGTGTTGACTGTTGGTGCTTGTGTTGATATTTGTGTGACTGTTGGTGTTTGTGTTGGTGTTTGTGTTGACTGTTGGTGTTTGTGTTGATGTTTGTGTTGACTGTTGGTCTTGGTGTTTTTGTTGACTGTTGCTGTTTGTGTGAATGTTGGTGTTTGTGTTGGTGTTTGTGTTGACTGTTGGTGTTTGTGTTGATGTTTGTGTTGACTGTTGGTGTTTGTGTTGATGTTTGTGTTGACTGTTGGTGTTTGTGTTGATGTTTGTGTTGACTGTTCGTTTTGGTGTTTTGGTGGTTTTAACTGTTGGTGTTGAGTGTTGGGGTTGACTGTTGGTATTGGTGTTTTTGCTGGTGTCTACTGTTGGTGTTGACTGTTGGTGTTGACTGTTGGTGTTGATGTTGATGTTGGTGTTGGTATTGGTTTTGACTGTTGGTGTTGACCGTAAGCGTTAGTGTTGATGTTGGTGTTGGTGTTGGTGTTGGTGTTGATGTTGGTGTTGGTGTTGGTGTTGGTGTTGGTGTTGATATTGGTGTTGGTGTTGGTGTTGATATTGGTGTTGGTGTTGATATTGGTGTTGGTGTTGGTGTTGATATTGGTGTTGGTGTTGGTGTTGATATTGGTGTTGGTGTTGACTGTTGGTGTTGACTGTTGGTATCGACTTTTGGTGTTAGTGTTGGTGTTTATGTTGGTTTTAGTGTTGCTGTTGCTGTTGGTGTTGACTGTTGGTGTTGATGTTGTTCTTGGTGTTGGTATTGATGTTGGTGTTGGTGTTGGTATTGATGTTGGTGTTGGTATTGATGTTGGTGTTGGTGTTAATGTTGATGTTGACTATCGTTTCGATAACTTTGCGATAGTCGTCTAGACTATCTAAGGATCCATCTAAAGTTCTGTTGGTTGAACGAACCCAACGATGAACATCTACAAACATATAACGATACTTCTGGGTACCTAAAACTATTGATAAAACACAAATGCTAAATAAGAAATGTAAACTTAAACGAAAAAAACAAATATTGAGCGATTCTCTTCACTGTATTTTATAAAATAATTTTTCTAATTTCAGGTGTAATGAAATCCTCTGATCTCTCACACATTTTCAAGAGTGATCGCTTTCCATCACAATTCATCAATGAATACGTTAATCTACTCAACAAGTTTGAGATGGCTTTACCGTTAATTTCTCATCATCTTCTTGTGCCATCTCTTTTGCCTGAAAAACAAATCAGAGGCCATCATATATCCGCACCAGGCTTAAACACTGTTGTTGCTACGGCGATGAACATGATGACGTATACCGAGAACAGAGTGATCAGGCGGCAATACTTGATGTCGTACGTTCCAAGTGGTTTCTGGGCTCGTCTCATCACAAGGTAGTCTACACTGACCTGTATACAATTTACTTGACCTGTAAGCACGTCTACCATAGAAGACACTTCAAAAATAACTAATTTTGAACTCACCATCTATTTCAAGACCGCATTATCTATTTGTTTTATGGCAAGAGTCACTTTTATTGTGGTAGCGCGCTTTGATTGGCTCTGAAACATTTTTGTCTGTCCACAACTTTCTTGTAATGGAGCGGCGGTCCATTACACGTAATTTTAGAAACAAATGTAAAAAAAATGAAAGCAAACATCAATAGTTTTGTGAAATGCATAAAAGCTAAACAAAAAATCGTGCACGAATGTCTGTCGGAAAAATTGGGTTGTATTATCCAGATGACGCAACTTCAGATGACTTATTTTTAATGAGGAAAACTAGAGGAGCGAACGTCAATATTTGCAAAACAGTTAGTACAGAAACACCTCGGTTTGATATTCTTGGTATTCCTAAGACTACCAAAAAATTTTCCATTGCTACATTGCATTACGTCATTTATTTCTGGGGCTTATGTAGGATGATCAACGATAAACAGTTAGAATCTGCGGTCGGCGATTGCTTGTCCTTCACAATGAATCAACAATCCGTTATATTAGAACATCGAGAAAAGTCAAAAATTGCACAACCTGAGTGGTCGTGTTGGAAGACTGGTCTCGAGTTGTCCTGTTATGGTGTCAAACTACTCCGAGTTTGTCAACTGGAGGACGGAGTCCCATTTTATGGTTGCCCAAAAGGTAGGCGTGGGGAGGGAATAATATTTTCAATACTGTACTCTTTACATTTCAATTCTGTGCTCTTTACTTATAGATGTAAATCGTCCAGATTAGTAGAGTCATGAGAAAGATTGTTGGTGTTGCTGTCGATCAATACCAACACCAACAGTCCTTCTCCGGACTCCATTAATCTTGACGATTTACATCTACAAACATGTCACCATACTCCCAGGTTCAAACCATTCACTTTAGTTACTATAATGTTTATATCATTGACAATTCACAAACCAGCGGTGTAATAAAGTCAATTTTACATTTAACGATACTTCTGGGTTCAAACCATTTACTTTTTTACAAATAAATGTAATTATGGTAATTGTAATTTCGTTAAGGAAACAGAGAACGTCCTATAAGTTGTTCGGAGAAGCCGAAGTAGCAGTAACAATTTAATAACAATTTGGTTTTGTGTTTAGATAGTGAACGAATACAGCTTTTGATTAATGGAGAGAAAAAGGATAAATCATCGTCCAATGTTGTCGAAATTATAGCTCCCAGTGTTATGCTGGAAATTGAAAAGTCTGTCGTGAATAAACCACTTGGACGAAGAAACTCAGGTGATGACAGTAGATTGGAGTTTAATATAGGAGGATGTAAGAACTAAATTATCAACACCAAATCAAACTTTTTTTCTGCAGTTTACTGTACAAGGATTCAAGTTTTAACATTAGATCACTAATGATGAAGACACTAGACTGGAGTATAAAAGGACTCGAGATTCAACATCAGATCACTACTGATGAAGACACTAGACTGGAGTATATAAAGACTCAAGTTTCAACATCAGATCACTACTGATGAAGACATTAGACTAGAGTACATAAGAACTCGAGTTTCAACATCAGATCACTCCTGATGAAGACACTAGACTGGAGTATATAAGAACTCAAGATTCAACATCAGATCACTCCTGATGAACACACTAGACTGGAGTATATAAGAACTCAAGTTTCATCATTGGATCACTCCTGATGATTTAACTCATCATCAATACTTTTTTTTTATCTCCATAGATTTACCATTGCAATGAGTCTAATGCAACTTTCTTGATTTAAATCGTCTGGTTTTCATAATTTAAGGTCAGCAAGATTCACCGTCAAAAAATTACTTCTCGTTTTCAATCAAATCAGTGAAGGATTCAAACGTTAAAACTGCTGCTCGTTTTCTCGCCTTGACCATTCACCATATCGACAACCTGTTAGAAGACTGGTATCCAGGTCTCGATTCCATCAACATCTACGGTGAGAGTTTAGTAAATAGGCTTATTCCATGTTCAAAATGCTTGCGTCGTATCATCACCACGGCAACAGTGACGTCATCAAAACCAAAGAATATACCATCAAACGACCATTGGCCAAATTCACACAAAAGTGTTTTCTATTTTAATACACCTCCAAATAGTCCTCAAATTCATTCAACGCCTTTATCGTCTAAGAACGGGATTATATCGCCGTCTTCCGGAAGTGATTCGAGTTTTGGATTTGAGAACGAGAGCGGCTTTGCTGTTACTGATTCTGACGCAATGTCACGTGAGTCGTCACCAGCCTCTAGCGTAGACAACCACGACGGGAATGGGTACGAGCAACAATCATCTGACACTGATACGGACGGTTTTTCAACTAGCTCAGCGACTTCTGGCGTTCAGTCCAGTCCCCAGCATAGGGGAAGCTTTGATGCGAAGTTAATTGCGACATTTTCGTTCGAGGAGTGTGTCGTGAGTTCACAAACGTCTGATCACGTGTACTGCCTCATCGATGGAAAATTATTCTTTCGAGAGGAAGCCCCGGATGTAGTAAGTTGGATTTATCATGTATTAAGCACTTTTATTTAAAGATAACGTCTAAGTTCCATACCACAAAAAACGTTTCACTAAATATAACAAAGCATTCTGCATAAATATAACAAAGCATATGAGGCTTGCGCTAGAGGGCGAGGCTTATTACACTTACAGCAACAGTGAAAACCCTAGTAGCCGAAATAAGATGAGCGTATTGATGGGGTAGCCATATGAAATATGTGCGATCAAATTTAAAGCGTCCACGTCATTAAGCCTTTATTTGAGGGTTATTTCGAAAATTATAATTATTCAGAGATGAAGCCAGCCGTGTTCTACTCCGTCAATACAAACATTTATTCGTTTCTTTAAAAAAATAATTCCGTTTTTTGTTTTCCAGTGATTAAGAACAATAATATTTGCATTCTATGTTTTTCGAGCTTGTGAACTGTTTAGGTTTTTGCCGACGTTGCACCGGAATTAAACATCGACACGAATTGCGTTGATCGAAGAAAGAAGCTGGGACGAGGAACATTTGGTACCGTTTATGCTGCTGAGATCAAGCTTAATGATGGGAGTGTTGAACAGGTCGCTTTAAAAATGCCCCTGGACACTGCTGTGGACGAGAATGCGAGCGAAGAGGAGAAGAATGAGGCAAAATGTTGCAACGTAAAATTCAAGAAGTGCCACATTTGGTTTTACTGAGGCGTACAGGTTAGTTTGAGAGGTTGAATTTTTATGGTTAGGGTTGAACGGTGTTGCTGAATGGTGAGATTGAATAATGTAGGTTGATGGTTGAATTGTGAAGGGCTAATGATGGGGTAGTGAAATGGTGAGCTTTTAATGGTGTGCTATTAACGTTTGGACGTGGTAAAATAAATGGAGTAGATTGCCTATGTTGTTCAAATATTAATAGTGTTAACATCGTGATGCTTGTACATGCATCACAGATTGATATTTTCTATGATTTATCTATTGAGTATCTCTTACCTCTTCCCAATAAAACGTCAAGTCCTAATATATTACCTCCACTCTTCCTACTTGGCCATCCACAACGCCACACCCCTACTCCACTCTACTTACGTGGCCATCCACAACGCCACACCCTTGTCCATCCACCCACCCATTGGCCATCCACCACCCCTCCTCCCTCTCCATCCATGGCCACTCCACAACGCCACAGCCTCCACTCCACTCCCATCCTGTCCACACCCTACTCCACTCCATTTCCGTCCACTCCATCCTATCCATTGTCCATCCATTCCATTCCACTTGTTCCATCCACAATCCATCCATCCATCCTTGTCCATCCATCCACCCTCCATTCCATTGTCCACCCCCCTATCCACTGTCCACAACCCTCCACTTCCATTGTTAATCCACCTCCCCACCCCCCTCCACTTTCCATTGTTAAATCTACCCATCCACTATCCCACTATCCACTGCGTGGCCATACAATCCTGACCCCATCCACTCCCTGTGTCCACTCGCCCCTGTCCCCTGTCCATGACCGTCCTGACGCCACCCCTCTCCCTACGTGGTCATCGACAACGCCACTTCACTGTTCCTACGTGGTCCTACAACGCCACACCCTACTCCACTGTTCCTACGTGGCCATCGACAACGCCACACCTACCCACTGTCCCTACGTGGCCATCTACAACTCCACACCCTACTCCACTATCCCTACGTGGCTATCTACAACATTGTTATCCCATTCCACTTTCTCCACAAGGCCATTTACAGCATCACTACACCCACTTCACCTTTCCCATGTGGTCATCTGTAACACCACTAACTCCTATTTTCTATCCTTGAACATTTTCGAATTCATTACTGCTTTTATAAACCAATTTCTGCACAAATTTTCTTAAACCAGAACCATACGTCAAGAGCTGTCAATTCTGGTCAATCTAAATCACCCGCATATTCTCCAGTTGAGGGGATTCTGCCTTAATCCGCTTTCTTTAATCCTCGAGTTCGCACCGAAGAAGAGTTTAGATCGAATTCTAGCGGACTACAAGCGAGCAGGACAACGACTTGATCCTTTTGTTCTTCAAAAATGTGTAGTTCAGGTATGAAAGTTGGTGAATGAATTCAGTCGTTGATCTCAAATGATCTTATTTTGAAACTTGAGTCTTTATATACTCCAGTCTAATGTCTTTATCTAGAGTTTTCTGATTTTGAAAGTTGAATCTTTTGATACTCCAGTCTAGTGTCTTCATCAGAAGTGATCTGATGTTGAAACTTGAGTTCTTATATTCTCCTGTCTAGTGTCTTCATAAGGAGTGATCTGATGTTAAAACTTGAGTTCTTATGTACTAAAGTCTGATGCCTTCATCAGGAAAGATCTCATCATGTTGAAACTTTATTATTTATACATCTAGTTTAGTCGTGTCTGCTGCTTTGCTTAGGAATCGTTTACCCTAACCCCATATTTTCTTATCTGATTACATTTTTTAGTGCTCCGCTGCGCTGAAATATCTTCACCAGCGTCACATTATTTATCGTGATCTCAAATCCGAAAACATTCTTGTTTGGGAATTTCCGGAGCCGTTTACACCCAATCAGAGCGCACATACTGTCTTGATCAAGTTAGCCGACTACGGTATCAGTAGGTCAGCGTCAATGGCTGGCGCTAAAGGACTTGGTGGCACACTTGGTTTTATGGCACCGGAGATTGAAAAATATTCAGGACGGGAATCCTACACTGATAAGGTTTGTGTGTTATCATTTTGCCACTAGTGCTGTAAAGCTTTGTGCTTCGAAGAATAATTAAACAGGAATTTTGTGTTGGTAAGATTCCTGAGATTGCTTTCACCAAACCTACATAAAATTTTTTTACTCATATGCAAACAATTTCCTCCAAAATTATGTATTTACTTAAAGTATTGCACAATAGTTAGCCACAAGGACCTCAAGCTCTTGTTCACAACATCCTATTCCACGTGCTTAAACCATGCTAATTGATTGCTCATACTAATATAACTGTAATTGTAGTTATTATTTGCTGCTTCATACTTTTTTGAATTTATATTGTTTGTTTACATGCATGCATTCCACGTGCTTAAACCATGCTAATTGATTGCTCATACTACTATAACTGTAATTGTAGTTATTATTTCCTGCTTCATACTTTTTTGAATTTATATTGTTTGTTTACATGCATGCATTTCGATGTATTTCCATTTCATAAAAAAACTTCCGTAGAGGAAAAAACTTACTGGCAGCAAGTTGCCATGTTTCTCAAGCATTCGCTCTAATGGTGTCCATTACAATTGTTACTTATTTAATTGTGGGTACATCGTTGGTTATAAGTTTCTATAACTAAGTGTTGTTGGATAATGGAACCACAGAAACTGGAACTTGATGACCAAGTTGAAACATAATATCTCTTAGCAGGCGATGTGACGTTAAAAAGAAAAATAGAAACACTAAAACGTTTTACAATAGCTACATTGATCCAAAATCATATGACTTATTTTCAAGTGTTCGCCCTGACTTTATATGAACACGGATGGTCTGATGCAAACACGGATTGGTGAATTTAAGTCGTAAAAAATAATCTGTCACATTGGGTGGCATTTTCAAACACCGGAAATCTCAGTGAAGAGATTCGGTTTGTTATTTTCAAAGAGTACATTTTCTTAAAGTGTTTAAGAAGGGGGATTTGCATTTTTTATTAACTGAAAGAAACATACAAATGTTCGCAAGCAATTTGATGTGTAAGGGTCAGAACATGATCACGTGTGTTCTATGGGATTTAGAGTCCCGAGCATTAGATAAAAACCGATTCTGTTTTTAGGTCGATTCTTTTTCATTCGGGATGTTTATGTACGAGTTAATCACATTGAATCAACCATTCTCCGATCTGAACCAAGCGCAGATTAAACAGATGGTAGTCGAAGGGAAGCAACCACTGTTAACGTCAAAGGTATGTTATTGTTGATATTGCATTTTGTAAAACTTTGGAATTTTTTCAGAAGAAATCATTTGAGCAAAACTGCATGAATATATGAATAAACACCCAACTCCCAACTAACGTTCTAGGAACGGCCCTTGATTATTGCTAGTCGTTTTGACCGAACAACGAAAAAGAGGGCATTTTGCATGAAAAAATGTGTAAAGGAAAGACTGATTTTGCAGCATTTTGACGCAAATTTCTTTGTGTTTTTTCTATTCGAATTCATTTCCGTTACTACAATAAGAAATGACCTTGGGTCTTCACTAAAGATGTTTTAATAAAGTTTTTATCGGCGTCTCGTTTATTTTTATGTTTGTTAATTGTGCTTTATTTAAATACTCAGCTCATGTCGAGGTTATTCAAATCTACGCACTGCTTACTTTGTTTTCATTCTTTTACTTGATCGACCTCTCAAGCATACTTCATCGGTGTAATGTTTTTGGTTTTTAGAAATGTGTGTTTGATGCTGCTATCTGTATTTATTACAAACTTCTAACTGTGCGAAAAATCTTCCGATTCTTCAAGTCCCAAAACCCGGGTCGTAGTTTACGCTCCTTCTCCCCAAAAAAATAAATTCTTGGGTATAATTCATGTGATCCTTTTAAAGAGGGTTGAATAACAGTGTAACACATAGAGGGATCCAAAGATGGATTTAAGGAGAGGGGTGAAGAGCCTTGGTTTGAAAGGGGTGCAGGAGGGGGGTGCCAATGTCCCTACCAAATAATAATAAAGCAAACAATTAAGCAAAACCAATTGTGTTTGCTGTTTGATATAGCACACTGGCACACTTCCAAATATGTCTCTGTCATAATAAAAAAAAGATAGGATAATTTAACAAAAAATTCTGACTTGGTGCAGCAAGAATTAGCCTCCAAAATCTAATCCAAAGTAGATCTCCTTCCCTCCTCTCAAATCTACAAAACTATCCCGGATTCATCCCCGGATGTACCTTGTATTGCTTAAGACATTTCAACCAATAGGTCTCACGAATATGTATTGCCAATAAAGCAGAAATAATCAATAAAAGGCGTCTTTTCCACAGGACAAACGTGCGCCAGTGTTTGCATTAGAATTAATGTTATGGTGCTGGTCGCAGAATCCCGAGAAGCGTCCGTCAAGCAACGAAATCTATTCAATATCGACGTGTTCGGAGTTTCCAAGATTACTTGACGTGTTAACGTTTAACGAAGCGACAAGTCTCTCTAAACCTATCACAACTCGATCACGTGACTATGCAGGTGCGTTGTCAAGTGCTTTCAGTAAATTTCTGTGACCTATCACGAGTCGATCACGTGATTAGTAAAATTACGGGGCTTTTTTCATTGAATTTCGTCTGATTTTTTAATGGCTAGGCTCGTGTTGAACGAAACTTTCGGAGACAGTGATTATGTTTATTTTCAGAAACACGAATAAATGGAGTAAATCTATCAAATTGATATGCATTTGTTGCTACAAACCGTTGCGCCATAAAAACGAACCAAGTTGTCGTGACGAACGACTCTTGTAGTGCTTATGGTTTTGATTGCAACATTACACTATGTTTTTACATGTTTTTTCTCTTGAACTATTATTACGTATGGATTTTCCTTTTTTACTGAAATTCGTCTTATTCACTCTTTCTGCCTTGGTCTTTAAAACATTTCCGCCACCGTAAATGATATAATAAACGCTACCTATCAAATGCACGTCTCGAACTATCCCCGTCGAGGAGTGAGATTCTATTTTACGCCTCTATCTAATAAACGCCTCCCCCCAACACTCACAAGCAACATTACAATTATGATAATATCCTTATCATAATGTGTTGTTGATTGGGCACAGAAACCGTGCATTTAGTCTTAGTTTTGTTTTCGTTTGTTCACTTTAGAGTGATAGAAATTATGTAAACTCTATATTAAACGACTCTTATCTCTTAAACGCCTCCCTTAGAACAGCTAGAATTTGTCTAACGCCTTGGACGCTAATTACACCATATACCGTAGTCTTCAATAGGGTGAGAATTGTTTTATTTCGCCATAAAGGCTCCGCAATATTTTCTCGGTTTTGGTTTCAATGAATTCAATTAAGTAATTATGGTTAACTAATACATTTTAATTCAACGACAGGACAAGGCGCAGATGGGCAACTCAGTGTGGGTAAAGAAGTGTGGCTTTTTCACAGTAAATTTATTAAAGGTGTCACGAAAGACATTGTGGATGTTTTGTCTTTCAGTAATGGACGTTCGGATCACATGGAGGTAGGCTATCATTCACAATGTATCTACTCTCTTCCTTATTTTCGGCATACTTTGTGGAGCCTGGAGTACTACCCCTAAGTTTCATGTTTTTAGCCAGCTGGTGTCCCTTCCCTCCCCCCCCCCTTGCCTTTTTCTTTGTTCGACAATAAAACTTATTTTCATTTTTTTATTTTGTGTTGATGTGAATTTGGTGAAACTTGAACTTGAAGCTAAAGTGTTAGGGATATTCATATGATCCCGGCTGGCCGGGATTCAGTGTGGCGTGAAATGATTTCGAAGCATTGAAAAGGGCCAAAACTTCAAGGTTTAAAATACAACTGTTTGTTAAGCGCCACAAGTCATTCCTGTTGTAATTCTCAAGTTATGCCAAATTAGCTGTTTTGATTTTAAATGTTTTGCGTAGTTATTGATTCAGAATATTGTGAAATTGGTCGAAAAGATTTATATGATGATAAGTATTGATTCGTTTCCATTCGCCAAAATCACATAACGCTTGACTGAATCCCGGCTACCCTGGCTCATAGAATCAGTCCCTTAGGCCCTGTTTACACGATACCGGATTCGTTGAGCAATCTGATATGAAAAATGCACTCTGTTCACACGATACCGGATTTGTAAGACGCAACATAAGTTCTTAATTCGCCCCAGTACTTGTATGTGCGAGCAAAAACAACGATGGTTGCTAATTCAAATATTTCGTAAGAAAATGAGAAATTTTTTTGTCAGATAATAAAGTAGAGCTTTTTTCTTGAGCGTTTTAAGGTTTTGGATCAATTCTGTACGAATGAGCGCAAGGACTGGAAGAGTATAAAGTCCAAATACGACGGAATATATGTTGCCATTACAATAACACTAGGAAGAAGCTTTTCACACTACGATAGTACATTGTTAAAAGCTTAAACATGCCTAGCTCAAGATATATTATTTTTATTGGCGGAATTATTCATTGAAAACATAGTTTGTATCTCTATGTTTGCTTTCATTTTGAAAAGTCGCACGAACTTTTAGTTGCCAAAGCGGAACTTATCGGATTCGAGCGTTCACACGACAACGGAACGCTCCAGGAAAACGATACAAAGCGTATCGGATTGCCGCGGAACCGTTAAAGCGAAAGGCATATCCGGTACGAAAAGTAAACAGGGCTTTAATCCCCGATTTCCTAACGCCATAGGAAATGTGAATCCATATCTGTTTTGATATCACACCCCCCCCCCCAGGCTTCTATTTACGGTAACATTTTTTATCCCAGGCATCCAGTTTCTGCGATTAATTAATACTCTACACTTTTGCCCATGACAGGAATTTGTGCTCGACAAATACACGATACGCGTTGCGTGCAGCGTGGGCAATACGGTGTGGCTTGGGACCAAGTCGGGTGTTATACTTGTCTATTGCGCCATTACGTACAAACTGCTTTGCCAGGGAGCTTTGGCGAGCGACAAACTAATAATGGCGATGATTCACGCGCCCAAGTGTAATTGTGTGTTTGTATCGTTTTATCATGGGCAAATAATGGCGTATTCTGACAACGTTTACAGTAAATTTCGAGAAAGTTGTGATATTCCTTCTCCTAAAGACCTCACTCCATTACGCGTTTATGTCGGTGACAATTTCGCCCACAGTCTTGCCATCATTGGCGTGCCTAAGGACAACCATGGAACCGAGGGACCAGTAGCGATAGAGTACGAGGTCTGGTTAGGACGAATCAAAGGCCGCATACTAATTCTAGATGCCGAGACACTCAAGGAGAAACAAGAGATAGCCGCAGAAGATTGCGAACTAGACAATCCAATTCTAGATAATCTGGCCGTGACGTCATTGCAAACCTGCCAAACCTTTAGTGGTAATATTGACAAGTTTGATCCCCTGGCCACATCTGTATGGATAGCGGTCTACCCTGGCACGTGCGTGTATCGTTACGACGCACGTGCGAAATGCCTGTTGAATAGTGTGGATTGCTTGCAGAATCATCTCGCGGAAGAAGGTAAGAGCATTATCACTGTATCTTAATGTTTTTTGTGTGATGTTAATGAATTGGAAGTGGTGGCTTGCTGGGGATAGAAAGGGATAAGTGGGTAAATTGCAGTGAGTTTCCGTATTTCATCTATTTAGTCGCCTGTGGGGATTATTATTTTGCAACTATTGAAGTTGGGGTTATTAGAAGGGATGGGGGCTAAAAATAGGTTGGGAGCTGAATAAATTTTTACACAAATTTGCCAGCGCATCTTAATTCACGCTACACATGCTTCTATATTGATTTCTATTTGCTAAAATAGCCAATCCATTTAGCACATTTTGAAAGTTTAAATAAAAGAAAGTTCCAAGAAAGCTTAAAACACATGTCTGCAATTTTGATACAAAGCAAGTTGCCATTTTGATTTTTACATTAATAAAATTAAAACGAATCAGACATTTGTACCATTAATAGCCCTATTCACAGGACATAAACTAATTAAAGTTAAACCTGGTTAGTAGTGTTTTCACGCAAAATATTTAACCTGGGTTAAACCCGGGTTAGTTTATGACGTGTGAATAGGGCGAATGAATAAAGCTTAATTAGCTTTCGTATTTTGATATGATTTTATCGTGAGATTGACTGACTGGTGATTTTTCAATTTCACCATACAACACAAATTTTTTTACTGTCTTCATTGACACATCTCCTAAATCTATAGTAAACTTTCATTTTGAAATTAATGTTTGCATTCGTACTTTTTGAAATAGTGACGTTTTGTGATTTGAAAATTAGATAATTTATCGTCAGTTGTTTTGATTTACATTTTCGTTACTTGCTATGTGATCAGTTTTCATAACAATTAAAAACTTGTTGTAAAGCGCAAGCAGAACAGTAGCGTAAGAACAAAGTGAAACATGATTTTTAACGTATGCAACTTAAATGAAGATATGATCTTCGCACTTTACTGGACAATTTAAGCAATTGTCTCATGAACCTGAAAAACTCAGGTGACTCAACGGGATTCGAACCCATGACCTCTGCGGTGCCGGTGCAGTGCTCTGACCAACTGGGCTATGAAGTCACAGTGGTGAGCAGGTCAATTTTGTTGGGCTCATGTTTTCTCGTGAAAGGAATGTCATATGAAAGAATGTTTTATGCAGGCCATTTGACCTGCTCACCACTGTAACTTCATAGCTCAGTTGGTCAGAGCACTGCACCGGCACCGCAGAGGTCATGGGTTCGAATCCCGTTGAGTCACCTGAATTTTCAGGTTCATGAGACATTTGCTTAAGTTGTCCAGCAAAGTGCGAAGATCATATCTTCATTTAATTTCAAGCACCGCACTGCATAAAACATTCTTTCATATGCAACTTAGTAAGGATGGATCATAAATCATCTGATTTAAATATCACAAACACTTTTATAGTTCCAGAAGGAAACATGCAAAGATCATAAGTCCTTTACAGTTTTAGATGATCTTGTATCTATCTTGATCGTTTTATACACACTTTGACTTAGTTGGTAAAATAGTTGAAATTTCTATTCTGAATGATTTCGATACGCCTCTGCCAAGGTTAGCTGAGCGCTTTATATAATCAGACCTAAGTGATGAAAACTTTCTTTTTTTACCAGGTTCTCATAGCTATACCGCTGACCAAAGACACAAAGGTATGAAATGCCGAAATTTTTCTTACACAAGCCCTTGCCCTTTTAAATGTTTGTTTTCAAAGTATTGTTTCAAAACAAGATTGTCGTTTTGTTCAAACAACATCCTGTTTGAATAAAGGCTTTCTAGGAGAAACGGTTTTTTACTAACAGCCTGTAAGGTTTTCCGTTGTGACAAAGCTTTCAAACACTCCTGAGACTCTGGGACTGTGAGCGAGTCATCGCAGGAAGTAGAGTTGAATAGCGCACGAGATCAGACTTCGGCTGATATAATTTTTCATTGAAGGCTGTTTTCCCTAGGCGGTATTTTCCTCGCGCAAAATCAATTTTTCGTCATGATTAGTTGTCAACAAATAATGAGGACGTCACCAACCACTCATGTGCGTTTAAACTACTAGCTTTGAGTAATCAACCTAAAAAGGTTTTCCAACGTTACTAATGTTAAAAAAATTTTCAGTCACCGAAGCACAAGTGCTCTCGCTGTTGGTGGTCAACAAAGAACTATACATTGGTACCAGTAGTGGTGCTTTTCTGGTTTGCAATAGTCTATCGCTTTTAGTCTACTCCGTTATACGATGTCATAAATCCTATCTGGAGTCGTTGTTGCCATTGACTACCACGCCAGTCACGTGGAATCTTGATACCGCTGATGCCGCGCAAAAAACACATAATCGGCTCGTTCTGACCTTTGGGAAGGGTTACAGGAGTATCTGCGCTGGCGGTGCTTGGAATGCGTCAAAACTTTCCAAAACATTAGGAAAGGGATGTGAGCCCGTCATCCTCGTATGGCTTGCTGATGAACGCTGACGTTTAATAAGGTACTTCCCCAAGCATTTTTGGACGCTTGATTATCGTTTGCTTGTTTGAGGGAAGAAGTAGATGCAGTCCTCCCAATTTTATGAAATTCCCGAAGGCGAAAGTTTTAACATTGTTTGATGTACAAAGCATAGTTGATTTTGAACTACAGAGAATGTGGACTGAACAAATGAAGTTCATCATAAAAAATTATTGATCTTATTTTTATGGCATGCGCTGTTATGTCATGTTGTATGTGACCAAATAATTGAAGCCAAATC